GTGCGCATGCAGAAGCAGTAGCCTCAGTTGGGTAGTTGCTAGCATGCACCCATGCATTGTACGTATAAGGATATGTACGACGGACCTTGAACCAATGCCCATGCATATATGTCGTACCAATTGTACCACGTCGTACAATGCTTCCTCGCAGATCCTGCTGAACTCATCGGAGTACGTTTCCTTCACCACGCCGCGCTACCGCGTGCCTGGTGTCAACGGCGCGCAGCTGCAGCCACCCGCCCTCATCCTGGACGCCATGTGCAGCCACTTCTCCATCAAGCTGACCAACCAGTAAGTGTGCGGACGTACATGCAACTTCCGCACCTGCAGTACAGCCCTTTGCGGCCAGGAGCCTGCGTTTGCTTTTCTTTTGCGATGCACCAATTATGTCGTTTCTGCTATACATGCACCACCTGATGCCTAGTAAGCCTGTTCGCTTGCTGGTTTATAATTTAAGTTCCCTCCCGCGTTATCCACCACACCTTTGGCGTGCATGCGTGCGCAGGCTGCCCTTCAAGCAGTTCAGCACCTGCGAGCCCAGTGACAGCCCCGCCGCCGGCGTCGTGAACGGCCCCAAGGACTTCGAGTGGACCAACCTGCACACACACGGTCTCAAGGTGCGCACGGTGCCAGCAGCCCTACCTCCTGCTGCCGTGATGTAACGGTAGTGCACGCAGGGCTACGCGCAAGGAGACTATCACCTCTGCCACTGCATGCAATCTCACTGGAACCCCAACTCTAAATCAACTGAAACCGCAGCCAGCTAAAAAGCCCGTCTCCATCCTGCTTGCTTAACCACCTCGCCCTTGTTGCATACATGCTGTTTGTGTTCCCTTCGCACCAGGTCGACCCCGGAGCCGCCAACGTGAGCAACATATGCGAGCCCAGCTACTCCAACACCGCCGTACCCAGCCCTGCGCCAACCACCTCGCAGTACTACTGCGATGCCAACACCACCTCCGAGCAGTTCTGCGAAGTCTACGGCGACAACATCGTTACCATTGCCAGGCCCAGCACCGGCGGCAGTGGCAAGCCGCTCCATTTTGGCTTCTCACAGCGCCCCTCAGCCACACTGCGGTACACCTACCCGCTGGACGCGGTTGCACCCGGCGTAGCCTGGTAAGAGGCAGCAGCAAGGAGTGGGCAGCGTTAGTCCGGGTACATAGCCTGGCGTATCCTGACAGCGCCGCTTGACAGTACCGTGAAGTACCGGTAGTGTTCGATTGACAACAATGCTTACCTTCCGACCCGCTCCCCTCCGCCGCCAGGTACCACCCCCACATGCACGGCTCCGTTACCCTCCAGGAGGTTACTTCCGCCGGGCCGCTCATTGTGCCCGAGTCCTCCCTGCCCAACGGTCTGGGTGACCTGTACGTGTCAGCCTTCAAGGACAAGCTGGAATGCGATAGTCTGCTGAGGGTGAGCAAGCGAGCTGGCGCAGCCGCGCAGATATCTACGGATATCTGCGGGTCTAGGTCCTATGGCATAGCCGTGGAAGTGAACTAGGGTTGTTTGGGCTTTCCTGCCGTGTGGGTATCCATGTTGTCTTGCCACCCACTGCCCATCCGTCTGCCTTACCTAGGTCCAAGACCAGCTTTCATAAACTGCTGTGTTGTCTGCCACGCACGTATGCAGATCATGAAGAAAACCCCTCTGGAGGCTAGCACCATTCTGCAGATCTACGGCATCTGGTTCCGAAACCAGACCAATTCTGGGAATGCTGACGACGACACCATACCGTAAGCGTTGGTTGCTGTGGTGTTACGTACGCATAGCCGTTTTCCTGGGACAGGCGGTGGCATGCGCAGCGCTGTAACCTCCGACTTTTGTATGCGATGCTTTTGCGTGCACCAGGCTTACGCTACTCACCCCTTGCGCACCCCTAAACAACAGATTCCTGGGGAGGAGTGTTCACGACAGCCTTGCCAGCCCGCTGCTGTACAACACCACCAATGATGGCGACCCTCAGCCGCTCTTCACAAACAAGGCAGGCCGTGATTGGGCCCTGATCAATGGCGCTTTCCAGCCCACCATAAGCATTACTGCCAAGAAGTAAGTGGGCATGCTTGGGTTGCAGCGCCACTGGGCTACGGCAGGGGCATAACGGTTTATACACACACGGCCGAAGATGCGCATGCATGTTTCCCTTACTTTGGGCTTCACGTCATTCCACTGTCCTAACCCGTTTCATGTAGGTATACGCGCTGGCAGCTGATCAACACAATGGCCATGAAGTGGCTGGACCTGACCGTCCAGAAGGTACGACCCATGGGTCATCATGCAGGTGGATCTGCATTCGTTCCTTGTCTGTCGCATGATGGGTGCACTGTACCGGCAAAACCTCACAATTATCCCTGGTATTTGCCTTGTCAGGTTCTCCCCAACGGCACGCTTCAGCTGGCTGATACGTGCAAGTAAGCGGGGAACACATGGTATGGGGTGCAGTGGCAGCGGGTCGCAGTGTATGTCGAATCTATGCGGCCTTCTCGGGGCCTGCGTACGGTTTAACACAACCTTTATCCTGGGTGTTAGGGCTGCTTAATGGGAAGAGTCCTGCCGGCTAACCGCTGCACGTGTTGCCTTTCCCGCAGGTTCCAGCTGCTCGCCCGGGACGGCATGCCGCTGCCCTACATCCCGCGCACCATGAGCTCCAAGCCCGTCGGCAGCAACGTCAGCGCCAGTGACGTCATCCTGGGCCCTGGCAACCGCGCTGACGTGCTGATCAAGTGTGACGAGCCGGGGACCTATGTGCTGGCGTCCGCTGGCGCAGGGCCCTTCCACACCAACTACAACGGTAGGGCAGGTTCGAAGTGAAGCTCCGCGAATCATGGGTATGAATGACATGTATTCGAATGAGCGTGCGTGCGTATCGTGCGTGCCAGGCACCTGAGCCTTTGCCCCACGGTTTCGTTCTTGGCATTTATGCTCCCCTATCCTCTCCTGCTGCATGTGTAACTGCCTTGCAGCCTGCCAAGCCACCCACTGCGAGTGCTTCGGTGATGCTCCTGCCAATGGCGCCACTCTGCGCCCTGCCAACAACTTGTACGGCGGCTGGGAGCTGGAGGCTGCCGTGCTGGCTGTGGTCAACGTTGGGAGCCTTCCCAAGCAAACCCCGGCGGACGCGTTGATCCGTGACAATGTCTGCCGCACCAAGTGAGCAAGGCAAAACAGGGCCATCGGGGAGGTGGTTGACCTGCAACGCACCTACCAACTTTCGCATTGTGCATACATGCATGGTGGTAGCAGCCCTATCGAATGGCTGTAAGATTGTTGATACCGACTCCCCTTTCGTCCCCCACACACAAACAGGCTGGAGCGCTACCGCTACATGGACTACAAGAACTTCCCCACCAAGACCCAGAACCAGTGCATGTCCTTCATGAACAGCCAGTTCGGTGAGCAGGGGGGCAATCGGTTTCCGCAATTAACCTGGGTCGTGAAGCCGGGGTCTGCACGCTTGCCGGTACTACTGCTCTCGCATGCAGCGTGATGTATCTTTCCACCAAGCAAAGGGTACACTGGGTGATGGTGTTCGGATGACTGCTGGTGCCCCATCCAAGGACCATTGGTTGCCCCCGCATGCATGTAGGTGGCATGTGCTCCGTCAACAACGAGGTTTTCCCCGACTACGTGACGTACGTGGAGCAAGGCACAAACCAGATTTGGAACCTCCGCGACATCACCTTCCACCCCTTCCACATCCATGAGTCACCCTTCCGCCTGAACTACCTACCTGCGTGCACCGCCGACGTTACCAACAACTTCCAGGTACGAGCACACCCCGGCGTGTTTAAGCAGTGGGCGGTACGAATGCCACCTGCTAACAGGTCTTCCTGGACTGCCTTGCTCCAAGCCGAAGACTTAGAGGCGAACCTGCCGCCTGCAGCCCATCCCTGCACGATACCATGTTTCTCAGACACCCCGCTCCTATGTATTGCACTCTCTACCTGCCTGCCTGCAGGTTGGCGACTGGCTGGACACGCTGCTGCTCCCCACCTGCCAGGACGGTTGCCCCTGGGCCCTGCAAGGCAGTGGCGGCGGCGCGTGCGGCTCCAACGTCTCCGTGTGCGACCAGGTCACGGTGCAGTTCATGGCGACCGACTACCGGGCCCCCGCCGCGAGCCCCATGTGCAGCGAGGGCCGCTACGCCAAGTACCCGCGGGCCCCCGCGCCAGCCGCCGCTCCCAGCTGCCAGGAACGGCTCAGCGTGTACCACTGCCACATCCTGAGCCACGAGGACGAGGGCTGCATGTCGCTGTTGCTCTGGTATTGCCCGGACAGCCCGCCCACGCCCGCGCCGGCCCTGGCCACCTGCCCAACCAACTACCCGCCCTGCCCGCCGGCATAAGACCGATATTAGTAACCAGCGGAGGTGACGTGGCCCCAACGAGCCCTTTACCAGTCATGCATGTACCAATAGCTATTGCACATTCATTACATATACATGCCTTGTGAGTTCCTCGTGTCTTAGTTCCTCACGACGATATATGCCCTGCTGTGATATCTTCGGTGACGTTCGTTGTTCGATTAGAGTGCAAACATACGGCGTAGCGCACATGTATGATATATAGGCACGTGCATACATGTACTATATCGGTAGGCCCATGCGTGCATGGATGTACAGCTGTAAACCAGATAGGCTGTTAACCAGATAGCTAGGTACGATGACAACTGGTGAAGCCCCCTTGTGAATGGACCATAGCGGTGTGGTGTCCTGTCTATGCATGTCTGCTGTTGCATGTCGCTGCGGCCACGCTAGTTCTGTTCGTTGGGCTTACATACACTCAGAGGAACAGTATTCTTTGCTCAGGAGTGAGCATGTAACCTGATCACTGTGATCTAGTTGCTGATGGCCAAAGCATTACGGCAAGTCCTCATTGACGACGACAGACATGCCTGGGTTTATGCCATGCGCTTGTAAAGTGCACAGCCCAGCAGTGACCCGTGGGACACATCAGTGCACGAATAACCATACATTATTTGGGAACAGGGATCCGAGCGTCGCAGATACACTACATACAGTGGAGGTGTTGCTTCATCCACCTATTGTTACAATCCTTGCCGCGTTGGTTACGGTCTATCTGTATAACCAATGCCCGGCTAATAGAACCCTCCAATGTTGCAAAACGTCACAAGTAATTCACTCAAATGCCAATCCGCTCCAGCCTACATACGTGCCCCTGGTCAGCAGAAGTCACGCACGTAGAAGCCATCCATGGGTCCCTGCTGTCTCTCATTCACTCAATCCAGCAGTCCAAACCCTCCATGCATGTCGCTGCTTTCGCCTCAACATGTATGGTACATTAACCCCTCGGCGCATTGCAGACTTCACTCCATCTCGTGTCGTACTCTACCTCGGGGGAATTATATGCATGGTAACAAAGCAGGTCATTCAGCTCCCTGCTATTCCACATATGCATTTCATCATCACAACAACTGTTGTCTCGTAATTTCATAACAAAATTCCCCTCCAACGCCACCCCCCGTTGTCACGGAGGCTACGATGGATATCATCAGTGTACGGCACGCAATCGGTAAGAAAGCGACAAAACGGCGGCAAGTACAAATATACAGCGCAGATTGTGACGTTGTTTCTGTGCCAATGTCCTGGGTTGGACGATGAGCTGATAGCAATAAACTAAAAAAGTAGCAAGCCAAAATGTTGCGCTTAAACAAACCCATTCCGGTGAACCGTCAAAATTACCCAACAGGTTCATCCGGACTCGGCTTCCTTGAAACCACGGGCCCATACGAAATCAATGGTGAGCCCTACCTCATGATGCGGGCATACCCGCCCTCGCCCCTCACCTTCCACTCGCGCTCTGCACTCGTTGACGCCGCTCATACTCCACCTGCCCCTCCTGACAATCCACCCCAAAGACACCGCTCTTGGTATCCTACTACACGCTTCCCGTCCCTCAACTCCCTCGCTCTCAACAAACAGCCTCTTCTCAGGCTGCAAACAACCATCCTTGCCTTGCCTGACCTACACCCTACTCCTCCATCCCACACGCTCATCCTCAACCCTCCTCACCCCACCTCATCCCCCAGCTCTCATCACTCCCGGTTCAAAAAGTGCGTGATCTTATCCACCGTCAGCAACATGACGCCGTTCGCGGGCACCGCGCGCATGAGGCAGGGCGAGAAGCCCTTGAAGAAGCGCCGCAACCCGCCCTCCGCCCACAACGCGCTCACGGTGGCAGCCACGTTGGGGTAGCGGCGCTGGGCGGGGTTGATGGCGTCGGTCTGCATGGCGGACTTGACGCAGTCGACCGGGAAGATGACCAGCCAGTAGGAAATGCCGGTGACGCCTGGAGGGCAGGGTGCGTACGGCAAGGCGGAGCGCAGGATTGCTTGGAGGAGGGCGGCGGGGCGGTGGGGAGGAGAGGAGCTCAGCAGGTAGGGCTAAGACAGTCCCAACCCCAACTTCCCAACCCAGCCCAGCCTCCTCTGCCCTGACCCCTTTACGGCTGTGCACATGCCCCACATACACATGCACACATGCACATGCCCTCACACGCAACACCACCCCCCGCACGCACCCGCGCACGCCGCCACGGCCGCCGCCGACAGCTCCGCCGGCCGCACTCCGTAGTGCTCCGCCACCGCGTTCTTGAAGACGTCGAAGTTGCCCAGGTACACCGCGTTGGCCGGCACGTTGCGCAGCAGGGTGGCACTCAGACCCTGCAGGCAGGCAGGCAGGCAGGCAGGCAGGCAGGCAGGCGGGCAGGCGGGCAGGAGGTGAGGTCGAATGCGGGGGGCCGGGCAGCTACCTCTGCCACTCGTAACTGCTGGCCAGCCCAGCCCAGCCCGGATAACAGCAGCAACCAACCACCCCGGCACCCAGCAGACAGACGAGGAGGGCCAACAGCACTACCGCAGTCCCACCCACCCCCGGGGTCAACAGCAGTCCCACCCACCCCCGGGGTCAACAGCAGTCCCACCCACCCCCGGGGTCAACAGCAGTCCCACCCACCCCCGGGGTCAACAGCAGTCCCACCCACCCCCGGGGGCAACAGCAGTCCCACCCACCCCCGGGGTCAACAGCAGTCCCACCCACCCCCGGGGTCAACAGCAGTCCCACCCACCCCCGGGGTCAACAGCAGTCCCACCCACCCCCGGGGGCAACAGCAGTCCCACCCACCCCCGGGGTCAACAGCAGTCCCACCCACCCCCGGGGGCAACAGCAGTCCCACCCACCCCCGGGGGCAACAGCAGTCCCACCCACCCCCGGGGGCAACAGCAGTCCCACCCACCCCCGGGGTCAACAGCAGTCCCACCCACCCCCGGGGGCAACAGCAGTCCCACCCACCCCCGGGGTCAACAGCAGTCCCACCCACCCCCGGGGGCAACAGCAGTCCCACCCACCCCCGGGGGCAACAGCAGTCCCACCCACCCCCGGGGGCAACAGCAGTCCCACCCACCCCCGGGGTCAACAGCAGTCCCACCCACCCCCGGGGGCAACAGCAGTCCCACCCACCCCCGGGGTCAACAGCAGTCCCACCCACCCCCGGGGGCAACAGCAGTCCCACCCACCTGGAAGGGTCCCCGGATGCCGTTGGTGCGAATGGTTTGCCGTACACACTCGAACACGGAGGTGAAGGGAGCTGCAGGGCGAGAGGGGGGAGCGCGGGGGGGCAGGGTTGAGGAGGGCTATCGTAGTGCAGATTTGTGAGGGGCTCCATACAATCGAACCAAATGATATTTTTTGTGATGCGCCCACATGGCAATCTTGTACGGCACGTACGGCGATCACATGTAGCAGCCAGCCAGCTTCAGCCGCCCCCGCTCCCATGCGGCTCCCAAGGGAACCACCCGACAACGTCATCCCGTCAGCCAGCAGCACCAGCAGCACCAGCACCACCCCTGTAGCCCTGCAGCCTAACAGAACCTGAAAATTCCGGCGCCCCCTCCCCCCCCCCCCCCCCCCACACACACACGGCCACACACCTCGGCTCCTGCGGCGGTTCTGTGGGGACTTCATCTTCCGACATCCCAGTACGTTCCTACTCGCGGCCAGTTTTCTTAACACACGCGCACGCACGCATCCACGCACCCTTGTAGTTGGGGTCCTGCTTGCTTCGTATGATCTGCACCTGCAGCTGGCTCTTGTACAGGTCGATGGGCCCCTCCGTGAAGGCCGCCACGAAGCCTGTCATGGCACCCGCGGTGTAGTAGTCGGGGCGCTGCAGGGGGCGAGTGGAGCCTGGGGGGAGGCGGGCGGGTGGGGGAAGAGATGGGAGAGGGGTAGAGGAGGAGGGAGTGGTGAGGGAGGGATGTGAGGAGGGAAGGAGAGGGGGTGTACATGGCTGCATGGGCGAGGGAGGGCAGCATGTGGGTGTTGTCTTGAAGCAGGGGAGGGAAGGGGGATGGGGGAGAGGAGGTAGGTTCTCACCGTCCGTGTTGGTTGCCAGCCAGCGTTTGGAGGAGCCGAATGCGCCGAACAGGGAGGCGCGGAAGAACATCTGGCCCATGAGGGGAGAGGCGACGCCCTGGGGTGGTGCGGCGGCGGGCGCAGGAGGGGATACAGGGGGAGGATGCGGTGCAGGCGGTGAGAGTACACGCACTACAGGGCACAGAGTAGCAAACCCGGATTGAACACTAAGAGTGATTGCGCAGGATGATTGCGTCGGATGATTGCGGAGTTGGGCAAGACAGGTTACCTATCCACGTTGTTGTGGCACTACCGTACCCTGGCCCCTTTCGCAGCCAACCTCGCACAGACCCGTACGGCATCCTCAACCCGGCATACAACCCCTCTGGCGCCATGTACCTTGTAGAGGCCTCCGAGTCCCTCCCACTGTACGGTCTTCCGTGCGCAGTCGACCACCCCGGCTGCAGGGCAAGTGGGGCAAGCGATAAATACGTGCGGATGTATGTGCAAAGTAACAAGTGGTTAAGTGTCATGTGTCAAGGCAAGCTAACAAAGTTTACATACTCATGGCGAGGAAGTCAGGATGAGACCCTTGACGACCAACGGCGTCCGACGACCACGTGCCACTTACAGTAAACGGGTTTGTCGACAGGTTGTGTTTGTAGCCGGACTTTGAGGGTATCGAAAGGATGGCCCACAAACGTGACCGCGATGCCGCCTACAGACGACGAATGCAAGCTTTTGAGCAAAGCCGTCGAAGAATTGCTAAGCACCGCTCTTACTGACCGCAAGTTCCTGCAAAGACATCCTTGGCCAACTTTACAAGCCCTGCTCCAGGTGCCACTGCCGCTGGGGCTGGTTGCTGAGCCACGGCTGACATGATCTCTCTAATACAAGTATTTCACGAGCAATTAGGAGTAGTGTTAAAGCCTTTTAAGTGGATGCTGAGGGGGATTGGCCAAAATCATCAAACAACTGACCAACCGCCAACTCATCATGAAATAAAAGTCACAACCCATGCGTACAGGCTGCTTACAAGTATAGCATTCGGTAGGCAGTATTGAGATATACACTCGTCGGTATCCCAAAGACTGTAGGAGGATGTTCGCTCGTGTGCTTGCCGCCGTGACTGGCGCCGGAAAGCAGTGCGAGCCCAGGTTGAGCAATGGCGTTCGCGTGTTTAGCAATTTGCGCGACGTCAACGGCATCCCCATCGAGGTACGTGGAGGTCGCCATGGTCGCATTCGCCCATGCTTTTAACTTTCCCAATGGAACCGCCACAGGTGCACAACGATTCTGGAAGCAAGCGTGTTGTCGTTACGAAGTCGCTACCAGGCGACCGCTGGCTTCAGTTTCTGGTAAACGCCGGTTGCCGAGTTGAAGTGTGCAAGCATGAAGACATCATCCTTAACAATTCGACCATAAAGAAGCTCATTGGGAGCCACTGCGATGGAGTCATCGGACAACTGACTGAGGTGGGTTTCAAAGACTGTAAGGCTGTGATCATGCACAGTATGTTGCTCCTTTCTGACATGGCGCGACATGGCTCAAATGCATTCGGCCACATTGCAATAGACAGACTTGTACCGTCTATCATGCATTGCTGGCCCTTTTTTCTGACTACAATCCTTTCTACGGCCTGCAGGACTGGAGTTCGGAGTTGTTTGGGGCTCTGCACGCGGCAGGTGGCCGCGCTTACAGCAACTATGCAGTGGGTTACAACAACGTGCGGGTGGAGGAGGCGACCAAGAGGGAAATCCCTGTCGGCAACACACCGGGTAGGGGCAGCTGGCAGGGCCATAGGGGAACTAGGCGGGAATTAGACTCAATGGACTGAACACTACTGCAGTTACTGGAAGGGCAAGGAGGAGGCAAGAAACTCAAGTCGTTTCCCCTTGCCGAGCCTTGATTCGTAAGAGGCAAGGGGATTCGTAAGGGGCATTTACAACCCTGCTTCACCATCCTTGCAATTCGTGGATTCCATTTGCACCCCTCCTGACGCCTCACCCAATCTCCGCATCTTCCCACTTTCTCGTTCACCCAACCCCACTTCTTAACTCTCCGGCCCGCCACCTGAGCCCGCAGGTGTGCTGACAGAGACGACCGCGGAGCTCGCCGCGGCGCTGACGCTGGCTGCGGCCCGGCGAGTGGTGGAGGCGGACGGTTTCATGCGGGCTGGGAGCTACCGGGGTTGGCTACCAAACCTGTTTGTTGGAAGCCTGCTGCAGGTGGGTGCATGTGCAGATGAAACGTAAACCCGTTCTCAATAATACTAGTGCATAAAAAGAGACAAACAAAGAAGAAACAAAGAAGAACATGGCGGTATGAAAGCGGTATTGTGCGCTTCCCTGGCGCAGAACAAGACCGTTGGCATCATCGGCGCCGGTCGCATCGGCGCCGCCTACGCGCGCATGATGGTGGAGGGCCACAAGATGAACCTGCTGTACTACGATCCGTACCCCAACCGCCAACTGGAGGAGTATGTACGGCGGTACGGCGAGCTGCTGCAGCAGTCCGGGGAGGCGCCCGTGTGGTGCCGGCGGGCGGATAGCATGGAGGAGGTGCTGCAGCAGGCCGATGTGAGATCGCTGCTAAGGGAGGGTTTGGAGGGGGGGTTTGTTGGTTGGCGGGTGCGGGTATTGACCGGGGGGAGGGGTTAATCGGGGGTTTCGGGCAAGTGATTGGTTATTAGTGAAGGGAAGATACAGAGGAAAGCCGGGCGGCATCAGTTCTTCTCCCTCGTCGCTGCCCCCACGCGCCCTTCTAGACCCGACAGCTTCCCTAAGTCCCGATCCCTGCTGGCAGCCCCATCCACCGCGGGATCTTAGAATCCCCACTACCCGCACCCTCCCTCCCTCGCTCATACAGCTCGTTAGTTGCCTCTTCAGTTTCCTTATGTTTACCTCCCTCCCTCCCTCGCCCCGCCCCCCAGGTCGTCTCCCTGCACTGCAACCTGGACGCCTCCACACGCCACCTCATCAACGCCCACCGCCTAGCGCTCATGAAGCCCAATGCCGTGCTGGTCAACGCGGCTCGCGGGCCCTGCATCGACGAGGCGGCCTTGGTTGAGCACCTGAAGGCCAACCCAGACTTCAGGTGGGTGGGTGGGGTACAAATGACGGAGGAGCCTGACCAGGCACACTAACGAGCTGTGTGACATGTAGGATTCACCATGGGGTGGGGTGGGTGAGAATGAAGCGGCGGGCTGCTGCTGCGTGTGACTAGACGGGGAAAAAGTTTAGATAAATGCATAAACGGAGTTCCAACCCCGAATCCCGACTCATGCAGTGAGCGCATTCGGAGACACTGTTAGCTAGAAACACGCAACTAGACGGGGCAGGGGGCTTTGAGGGAGGGATGGAAAGAGAAGCTGCGTGCAGTGAAGGAGTTGCTGGTTCCAGAGTGCTGGTTGATTGTAAGGTATGCATGCTGGTGGTGATGTTATGAGGGAGACCAGCCTCCAGCGACACGGGGGGGCCGCGGGCGCAGCGCTCTCATGCCCCACCTCACACGCGCGTCCTCCTGCAAGCATGCCCTCGTGCAAATGCGCCCATGCCCGCCCATTGCGCCATGCATGGTTGCGCAGGTGCGGCCTAGACGTGTTCGAGCACGAGCCCGCCATGGCTCCGGGTCTGGCTGACTGCCCCAACGCGGTCATCGTGCCGCATATCGCCTCCGCCTCGCTGTGGACCCGCAACGGCATGGTGGGTGAGGGAGCGGGAAGGGGGGAAACGGCAGGAAGGGGAGGAGGAGTGGTTTGGGAGCAGGTTAGGATGAGGAAGGCGAAGCGGCATAGGAGATGAGGGCCATACATGTCTTACGCCATTCTTATTATTGGGACAATCCACAACACAAGCAGTGACAGCAGAGCAACCCTCAATCAAGCCCCTCCGTCCCCTCCTTCCATAAAAACCATGTTAAACCGCCTTCCATCCACGCCCCGCCCCAGGCCACACTGGCTGCTGCCAATGTGGCGGGTGTGCTGTCGGGGCATCCCGTGTGGAACAAGCCCGACGTCCTGCCCTTTGTGGAGGGGCCGCTGGAGCAGGCGCCCGCAGCGGCGCCCTCCATTGTGAATGCCAAGGAGCTGGGGCTGCGGCTGCTGGCGTGATGAGAGCGAGGCTGGGGAGCTGGGAGTGCTGGGCGGCTAGCTGGATACTGCGAGGATGTGGGGAAGGTGGTCCTGCATGTTGAAGAGGTGGCAGTGGAGAGGTGTCCAAGGTGTGGAAGTGGAGAGGAGCCGGAACAAAAGCACACGACTGATGGTTAAGCTAGGTGTTGAGTGCAGGTGAACTCGTGAGCTGAAACCTGCCGCTTGCGTCAGGGCATGCTGGAGAGTGCAAAGCGTGACGGAGAGGGGAGCGAGGTGAAGGAAGCTATACAGATTTGCTGGAGCCGGAGCTAGTTGTATAAAAGTTGTACTGCAATGCCTGTTGCCGTACAAACTGACCATGTGGCCGCTGTGTACGGTCTACCGCGTGTTGCCGCCGCCCCCGTTGTGCTGGGCACATGTATTTCCTGCTGTGAGTATGTTTGAGGAAACTGGCCGCGAAGCGGAACGTACTGAGATTTTACATTTTGAGTGTCCGCTGCCGGGTGTATTCGGGTGTATCTGCCCCGGCCCACCGGCGCCCGACAGGGCTGCCTCGTCCAAAAAGCGGAAGTGGTTGCTTGCTGTGTACTGTATAATATTGATTCATGCGTTAGGCGGCACGACCCGTCAGCGAGCTGTATCCTGAGTTAAAGCAAGTAATCATATGTGTCGTGTGTATCTTAAGAGGTGATCACAACACCGCTATGCGACGCAGGCATATCCCTAGGCCCGCCTGCTGTGCCTGCGTGACCCGAGCAGATCGGGTTGTGTACCGGTACTGTTGCGGTCTCGTCCTGTATCTGTATAAGAGATTGGCCTGCATTTGGGTTATGTAAGGTTTCCTATCCTGAGCTAACCTGTAACTTCAACAAGTGATCTTCTTGTAGGGACAGAAAGTACAGGAAGGGCATATTACCGTACTAAGCAGCAATCTGCACGCGACGCGTCGACCTGCTACGATGTATGTGTCATCGGCCTGCGTTACGATGCTTACCACCAAGGTAAACCATTGCAGGTATACAGCTTACAGGTTGAACAGTCAGCAAGCGCCTTGTGTTCTCCCATATACGAAAGTGTATACATCATATTTTATCGCTATCAACTACCGGCAGTTGGTCGTACTCTGAACGCCAGCATCAAAAAGCAGAAGGTTAACATCATAAGAGGCTATTGGCTTTACACTACTTAGCAAACCTTCAGGTTACACTGTAGTTTATGATACTACTCGACGTCGAGCTAAGTTGTTACTACGACGGTTGCTGGTGCGGCATGGCTAAGAAGCCAACGGTTCTCTGCTTGGGTGATTCTCACACTCGCGGCTGGCTCGGCGGTTCGTGGGTTCGGGCCCTTTCAAGCGCATTGCCAGGCCTGAAATTTGTCAACACCGGCGTCAACGGCACTCAAGCGCAGAACGTTCTACGGTCGCTACCATCTCACTTAAAGGCCTTGTCAAAGACCGGAACCTGCCCCGTGGCCATAACGTTGCTGGTCGGCACAAATGACTGTTTGCGTTCGATGGCGCGAGATGCCGGGGACTTCTGGGGCGAAGCAAATTACTGGTTGCTGAATGGCAACGCAGGGCCCACGACTTTGGCTGCGTACAAAGTGACCCTTGGGTCGGTCCTAGACTGCATCGCCGATTGGCTGCGAGCGCAACGCCAAAAGCAGCCTGACTTGCAGCAGCAGCAACAACAACGCCAGGAGAAACAACCGGGGAAGCAGCAGCCCTCTGACCCGGACACGTTTAGCACGGTCGTCGCTTCACCGTCGGCTGCTGCCAAGCTGCTAGTTCTCACGCTGCCTCCCATCGGGGAGGACCTGGAGGATGTGGCCAACAAACGCGTTGACGAGTACAACGCCATACTCGTTGACGTCGTACTTCAGTTCCAGCAACGGCAGCAACAGCACCTGCAGCAGCGACAGCAGCAGCAGCAGCAGCCGCTACTGGAGACACACCTCCTGGACCTCAATGCTCACTGCAAAGCGGCCATCGCACGCGCCTTTCCTGCTCCCTCTCCTACCGCAACCTCCGCATCCTCCTCACCCTCCTCTCCTCCCTCACCACAGCCCGCTGCTCGCCGCCTGCCGTCGTCCTACCTTCACGTTGGCCTCTCCATCACGGCATGTGCCGTACGGCGGTACCTGCTGGGCACCAGTTACGACATGCAGAGTCGTACGGCAGGCACCTGCGTGCTGACCCCGGACTGCGTTCACCTGAACGATAGGGGCGGTGAGCTGCTGCGAGGGCTGCTGGAGCCGCACCTGCAGGGCCTAGGGGTGGGAGCAGCGGGGGCTGTATCAGGGCACGTCCAAATCAGTGCAATGTGAGGGTGCAAGACGGGTGGCAGGGTTTGGAGTGGATTGAGCAAGGCATGAAGGGCAGGATGAGTGGATAGAGGAGGAGGAGGGCGGGTACGGCAAGGTTCTGAAAGGAGAGGAGGAGGAGGATGGGGAGGCCTGGGGAAGCGGCGTCATGGAGAGTTTTGCGTGGTGAGGTTTCACGCTCATTTCGGTGGTAGGGTTAGATGGGGGCGATGCAAAGGCGTTTTGGCTTATGGTGAAGCAATGAGCGAGGTATTTTGACGTGAAATGTGTTAGGTAATCCGGTTAACATCAACGGTTTCACATTGAAAACGCCTTAGTATATGTTGTTGGCCATGGCAGCACACCCTGGCCCTACGGTTTGTACTTCGAATCGCCAGCAACCTGCTATGCAAAGACACATGACAACGGGCTGCAAAGCCGCCTACCAGTTTGGCTTCCTGCCAGCAACCTGTCAAATCCGTGTGCGTGCCGTACGCGTGGCGCCAACAAACTTTTCGTTACAGCGCTTCACAGCAGCTACTGACCCACAACGCTGCTGCTGCGTCGTCCTGAGGTCCGCTCCATGAGAGAAGTGAAGTTCAAGCGCGCGCGTGTTTGTGGTAATGCATGCGCCTCAGGCATTATTTAGCAGCTAGGTCCGATCCAAATCCGATAACGTTCTCCTGCTCTTGATACGCCCTTTTACGCCCCAATCGTCTACACTGTGAACGTTCTTTGCGTGACATCCGCGCCTTGACATGTACGGCAATCTGTGACAAACACATGCCACTTCCCAAGAAAGCTAAACGATGTGAACGGAGCGAACCTCAAAACCAGACAAAATAAGAAAAAGACACGTGTATCCCTAGGATAACACCGACAACCAAAGGGAGAGGTTTCAGCCCGTTGCAAAAGCCAAAGCAAGAACCTATCCAAACCTAATAATGGCGGTATAACTGCTACAAAATCGCACCTATACACTGTAGCCCAAGGGGGACAGGGACCACAGCTACGAACTAACCGCTGTACCCGTGTACACGCGGACTACAGCCGCACGTAGAGGCCCCATGTGTCAGGAGGGGGAGCAGGGGTTCTGTTCCGGTATGATCCAAGAAAGCCCCTCCCCCATCCCGCTGGCACAACACGGGACCAACTTCCTGCTAATGGGCTAGGCCTGCGCGGAGGAAGGCCATGACCCATATGCCCTCACCCTTCACCACTACTAGCCTTCCACTACTCAAGACACACAATTCTCGCCTACACAAGCACCCAAGACACGAACTGAACTAACCTATTGCAAACCAGCATCCAGCAAATCTGAGATATCAATGCAAACCCCCAAGGAGAACCATCCCACGCTGCGAAGGTATTGTCAGTTTGCTGCTAGGGTATCTGGGTCCCCCGAAGCGTGCACTGTTATTGCCTATACTGCCCCTAATCTGGCCTATGCTAAGGAAAAACCTGCTTACGGCATCGTACGTACGGCATCTCATATATGGTGCTTACGGCCCTCGCCAAAGCCATCACTCACTGCTTTTCTCTGCTATCCAGCCACCGTCGATGCACCAGCAGAGTGCTCCCGCTGCTGCGACCCTACCACGCAAGCTGCACCTCAGCAACAGTTCACAGCATGCAGCAATGCATTTTATCCCAAACAGCTCACGAGCACATTGGTTGGCAAAACCAAACGAATCACGAAAAGGTTATGAAAAGTCAAAAAGAGTTATGAAACGTTAAATGAGTCGAAGAAGGCAGCAGTCTGCTAAAACAATGGTATGCCCTTCCTAGAGGGCACTCGACTGCAGTTCAGCACAGATGTAGAAGCAAAGGCTTGTTGGGTGCAGCCCATCTCCCACCCCTACACCTGAGAGCATGTATGACGTGGCCTAGTTCAAAACCCTCCTGGAACCCAAATCGACGTGCTAACCGTGCTCCCACCACCATTTGAGATACATTCACAGTCATGGCATAGACGGCCAGTGCCCCTGTCGTAACTCCCAATCGACAGCACAAGCTACCACCACAATGTTTACACTGCCTACTGCTCGCTAACTACTTGTACTCTTGCCACAACTTGCCATAACTGCCGCATCAGAGTCTCTGCATCGAAACTGACACCGGCCTCTCGCTCATGTCCGGGAGCCCTCACGGCCCTCGAGCCCGCATGCAGCAGCAGCACCTCCTGCACCTCGCTCAACACCCCTACTCCACTCACATAGCTAGAGCCGTACACATAGCTAGAGCCGTCATCACCACCACCACAACTACCACGACTATCATGCGCGTATAGCCATGACAGTACCCTACACCCATGCACCGTTAACCATCCGGGCCCACCTACGGTCCTTCCTGCCACCCAAATCACTCAACCCAACAGCCGCCCAAGCAACACGTCCGACATCCAAGCCCGCAATTCCCCGCCCGCAACCACACATCCACCCACACCCTCCCTCCCGTCCTTCCTTCCTGTATGACGTCAAGCGCTGCTGCTCGATGACGACGCCATGCCCCACAGCATCGCCTGCACCTGCTCCACAGACAACGTAGCCAGCGTGGCTTCCTCCTGAGGGTTGATGCCCAGGTTCAACGGCTCGCCCGGTCGGAGTTTGCTCATGAGCAGGTCTGCAGCGGCCGCAGCCTGCATGCTGGTCGCAAAACCCGGGCTGTAGTACCACCGGCCGTCGACGCCGGGTACCTCCGCACGCCAGCTGCCGCAGGGAAGCTCGGAAACGTAGCGGTATTGCTGCTGGAGCACCACCGTTGGTTGAGGAGCAGGAGGCGGTGGTGGTTGGAGCTGCGGTTGGGGCTGCTGCTGCAGTTGCACATGTGGGTGTTGTGGCATGGCGTGGTGGGCTTGGTGCGGTTGCAGGTGGGGGTGCTGCTGGTGCATGGAAGCGGTTGGAAGAACCTGCGGGGGCATCGGCTGCTGTGGCTGCATGTGCGCGCTGAGGCCCATCTCATGGACTTGTGAATGCTGCTGAGGGAACTGCGTGGCCTGCTGCTGCGGCTGTGACGTGACGGCCATAGCCGCACCGTTCGAGGCGGGGACTTGCATGGAAGCAGCCCCGGCTGCTGGGTACGACAGGCCCGCCGGGAACGCCTGCGTATAAGCCGCTGGAACCGCTGCGGCAGAGATAGCAGTAGAGTGGTGCGAATGGCCTGTCGGCGCCAGTGCCGTCGGAAGCGTTGTCGCAGCGTAGTTGCATGCCGCCTGCACAGGCGCGGCGTTACCGCCAGCTGCTGCTGCCGCTGCAGCGGCATAGGCGCTGTACAGGGCGTACGGCAAGTAGCCGTACGGCGTTGCGACGTAGCCGTACATAGCATAGGGGTTGTTGCTGTTGTTGTATGGCAATGCAGCCCCAGCGGCAGCGGTTGCAGTCCTTGCGTCAGTATCTGACCTTGCTGGCTCTTGCGCCGCCTGCTGCAATGGCACTTGGTACGGGACAACAGCTGAAGCATCTGCCGCCTCCGGTTCGGCCTTGACCGTCACCTGCGCCGCTGGTTGGCTTGGTTGCTGTGGATAAGGCTGCTGGTACGACAACGAATCCATGTACACGGCCTGTGCCTGATGTTGTTGCCGCTGCTGCGTTTGCTGCGCTACGACATCTGCCGCTGCCACAGCAGCAGCCTCACTGCCATCCTGCACGCACGCGATCCCAAGCTGCTGCTGCTGCTGGGGGAGCAGATCATGGCCCTGCGCTTGCACGCCTGCAGGCAACTGCTCCTCTGGAGGGCATGACAAGGTGCTCGGCCGAGGAAGCACTTGCTGGCATGCCTCGTGAGCCGGAGCCAGGGCCGTAGACACCGTTAGGAGCTCTTCTTGGTGACTCGTGGTAGGAGGTGCCATGCTGGCTGTTAGCGCCTGGCAGTTCGGCACGCTGCCATCATTGCCCCATTTGATTGCGGGTTCCGGAGCAATGTAGCTAGCACCCGCTGCTGCTGCGACCGGATGCGCATTCGGAGCTGCAGTCTGCGGTTCGTACGAGGCCGGAAGCTCCGCCTGGATCATCAGCGCCTGCGGCTGCTGCTGCTGCTGCGCTGCCTGCTGAGGTCCAGGATGAGGCTGATGCAGTTGGCTGTGAGGAGGCAATGTCAACGGCTGCATGTCCGCAGGCGGCAGGGCAAGCGGAGCGGCGCCTACCCCGTTTGACGCACCAGTGGGCTGTTCGGTGGCTGCGAGTGAAGGAGCAACCTCCCCAGCAACTGCCGCATCGCCCATGACGCCTAGATGCAGCGGAGCTTGGGGGGCGGAGGGCTGCGCAGCGGCTGCCGACAGTGCCACTGCTTCGGCAGCGTTGCCGTTACACCCAAGCGTCGCAACGCCAGGTGCAGGAGTGCAAGGCTGCTGTTGCTGCTGCTGCATCTGCCCCTGCGCAAGCAAAAGCCATAAAGCTGCAGGAAGGCTGGAGGCATGGGCCGGGCCGGGGGCTGAAGCCGGGACGGCGGCGGCTGTCCCCACAGGAGGAGCAGGCTCTGAGGCTGCAACCATAGCCGGGGCAGCAGCCAGTCCAGCCAGAGCTGCAGCAGCGGCGGCGGCCGCGTTTTTTCGTGGTGAACCCGCAACCGCAGCGGAGAGAGCACGCGCAGCTACGGCAGCAGCACGAGGTGGGTTGTAAGCCTCTCGGCTCCCCCCGCACTCAGCCGTGGCCGGGAGGGCAGCCGCTCCTTCTTGAACCCCTCCCGCCAGCGTCTCGACTCCGCCCTGCTGCCGCCCGTCCTCGGCCGGCTCTAGCTTCGGCACCGCTGCCGCAACAGCTCCGACAGCAACAGCGGCAGCAGCTGCTGCAGGCGCATCAGTTGGCTCGTCGCTGGCCGGCAGCTGCACGCCCATGGAGAGCGCAAAGGCGTACGATGGGCCCTGCTCCCGCAGCTGCCGTTCGTACTCCTCGACGCCGCAGGGTGTGAGGGTGTAGTAGTAGGGGTGCATGCGGTAGCCCATGCCGCTGCGAACCACCTTGCCCTGCTCGCCCAGCCTGCACAAGGGTACATGTATGCCAGTCAAAGTGGAACTCTTGGTCAGGGCTCAACCGTGAGCCGCAAAACAGGCGCGAAGCTCGCACGTGGGGCACGCAAGCGGAAGGAGAAGCATGACTGGGTCGAAAGAACGCCGAGGATGGGTGAGAGTGTGCATTGAGAGGAATAAAGGGCACACGGGGTAGCAAGACGAGCCTCGTATGACGCTCACTCAGTCGGTCGGCCAACCAACTTACAGCCTGAGAGCTTTGCTCGTGTCAGGGTTGTTGCCAAAGGTGTGACGTAGCTGCTTCTCGTAGACCTTGGGGTTGCGGCCGATCATGAGCAGGATGGCGCCCGCATTGCGAACCACGTTGGTGATCTGTAAGCAAGCAAGCAAGCCGTCAGGGTCAGGGATGATTGGCTCAAGGCGCTGGCATATGATGGTAGCGCCTGAGGTGCGAGAGACAACAGCCTTTTACGGCATTCAAGGCGCCACAGCAAAAGGTGGGCAGGTCCGTGCCGAATGCACCCTAGCATGCCGTGCGCCCTTCGCACATACCTTGCTGGGGTGGCGAATGGGTTTGCTCTTGAACTTCCCCGCGTTAGCGCGCTGCCGGGGCTTCGCACGCGGCTGCGGCGTTCCCGCTTGCAACGATGACGACGCAACACGGTCCAGCGCCGCTGCCACGCCTCCACTGTCCTCATCATCGCCAGCCGCCGCCTCCGCTGCCTCACCGCTCGCAGTGGGATCCTCCTCCTCATCCTCCCCGTTCCCGCCGTCGGATTCCTCCGATGCCGACGGCTGCGCCTCTGAATGGGGCAGCCCACGCCTCGGCGGCTGCCCACGTGGCGCGGCTCGACGGCTGCGGCTGTGCGATTCCACATTCGCCGCCGCCAGAAGAGCAGCCGCCGCCGGCGCCAAGGCCGGAACCGCTGCCGCCTCGGATGCCTGCGGGCTCTCCCACCGCTGCCGTTGCTGCTTCAGCATGGGGTGCTGTTGTTGTTGGCTGCCATGCTGCGATGCCGGTGCAACACCTGCTTCAATGGCGTCCTTCCACTGCAGGAGCAAGCTCGAGCCGCGCTCCAGGCTGCCCAGCCCCCGGGAGCGCTTGGATGCCTGGGGCTCGTTCACGCCGCCAGAAGCTTCTGCAGCAGCAGCAAGGATGGCAGACGCGCCGCGTTTCCGAGAAGACCGCAAGGCTGCTGGGCTGTCTGTCGTAGCCGCGACGGAGACTCGCGCACGGTAGGTTCCCGCCTGCGCCTCGTCTCCACACGCGCCATCAGCATCCATTGCGGTTTCACCCGCCGCAGATGCCTCACCGCCGCTTACGGCCTCGGTGGCGGCAGCAGTCGCGATGGCGGCTGCCTGGGAGAGGGCCTTGAGTTGTCGTACGGCAGCGGCGGCGGTAGCGGAGTACGGCAATGGGAGCAACGCTGACTGCGGTACGGACGTTAGCGGAGGGAGGCCGATTATAGGCGCTGACGTCACGCCACAACCACCGCCACCGCTGCTGCCACCGCCGCCAGCGCCGCTGTCGCAGCCCTTTCTCCCTGCGGACGTCAGCGAGGGCGGCATCGGAGGCGAAGGCGAAGAACGGCGGCGCCACGGAATAACGCCCGGGTGGTTATCATCCTGATCTCGCTCCCGCTCGCGCTCGCGTCGGTCCAGGGCGTATGGGCCTTCCCCCGGCGGTCCCCAGTCCCCGCCATCCATTGAAGAAGACCTCGTCCTGCCAGCTGCACCTGCAGCTGCCGCAGTCTTGAAGCGCTTTGAAGCAGGGACAGCGCCACCGCCGCCCACTCCGTTGCTTCCAAAGCCATGCGCATGGTTGCCGTACACGTCATGTGGGGTGTCATGCGCCTGCTCCTCCATGCTTGCATCGTCGTACTCGCCAGCGGCGGTGGAATGCTGCTGCAACTGCAGCGTTGACGGCAAGAGCGGCGGCGGGGGGCGAGCCCTTGGAGGCCTGCCGCGGCGCTTTTGCTGTTGTTGCTGCTGCTGTAACAGTAACAAGTGGTCTTGAGCGGACAGGGAAGCCGGTCCGGCGGCCGGGATGGAAGCAAGCGCGTGTAAGGAAGGGTACGGAGGCGCCAGAGCAGCAGCACCACGACCTGCCGCCGTCGCCGTGACGGCAGCAGTCTCCTCAGCCCCCTCGCGTGCCTTCAGAGACGGCCGACGCTGCCGGCCGCTAGCGGGCCGACCCAGATCGGCAGGCGCCACAGGCGAAGGCAATGCAACTGCAGCGGGGGCCGCCACGAGAGCCCCAACAGTAGCAGCAGCTGCAGCTGCGGCGGCCGAGAAGCCCAATAAAGGCTGGCTAGCCGGTGTAACAGCGCGGATGAAGAGGTCCCCCTCGGGCGTCTCGGACAGTGACAGCAGCTGCAACCCGCGCAGAGGCCGGGATATGCCCTGTAGCGCAAGTTTGCGGCCATCCTCCACTTGAACTAGCCTGTACTGCATTTTGCAGTCCTCCATCTCGCCATCAATCTCGTACTGCACAAGCGCGTGCTTGGCTGTCATGCGCTTAGCCGCTAGCCTTGGCGGCAGGACCAACTCCCACCCAATCAATACCTCCGCACTGCCCTCTGTAGCTTCAGCAGCGCTCCCTCCAGTAATTCCGCTGCCAACAGCCGCCGCCGTCACCGCAGGATCTACCGAGGAAAGCCCGCCGGCGCCAACAAGGCCGGCGGCACCGAAGCCTAGAGGTCCTCCGGCGGTACCTCCCAGGGCCGCCGCGGCAGACCCGCAACCGCTGCCACCAAGGCGTGACGGCTGAGGCAAGGATGCAGCTAGCGGCAGTACGGCAGCGCGTGCTGCATCGTCACTGCCGCCAAGTCCTGCAGCGCCCTTGGCTGCGGCAGCCGGCGTCGCCGATTTGAGTAATGCCGGCAGACAGAGGTTCCGGAGACGCTCCCGGCTGATGTGGCTGATGTGGCCGTTGCAGCCGCCGGCGCCGACGTCAGCGGTAGTGGGCGCAGCAGCGGCGGCGGAGTTCAACGCGAAACGCGACACGGGCCCGACGGTAGAGGCGACTGGTGGTACGGTAGCCGGGGCTTGAGGCAGCCCTCCAGAGCTTGGAGGCGTCTTGCCAAAGCACATCTGAGGCACCAAAAAGTCAGGGAGCAAAGGGAGGACAAGGGCAAAGGTTAAGCACACGCCAAGCACGCTAGAGGCACAACGAGGTAACAGCGGTGTGCCATGTCTATACGGCGGCGCGGGAGCCGGTCACCGGCAAACCGCAACGCGCACCAGCTGAGAGGCATCTGCATGGCTGCAGTCCACACCCTCCGAGGCGCCATCACCCTTCGCTGTGTTGTCGCCCCGTGTGCTGCTGCCACGTGCTTCCTCGCAAGCACTCGGGGACCGCTGCTGCTGTCCGCATGGCGATGGGGCCCTCTCCACGGGCGCATGAGATCGCATGCGGCCGCACGCGGGGCCCGTAGAAGCCGGACAGCAGACTTGGTGTTTACAACGTGGTGGGCTTTCAGGTGGCCTTGTGGTGTTGGTGGGTGATTTGCGGGGCTTAGGTCGCTGTGCGTTCCGTCAAGAGGCCATGGTTTCGGTGCATTGGGCATGCACGTGAGGACAGAGGTGGTGGAAATGACGCGTGTAGCGAGTTGACGAAGAGGCAGGGTTCAGCGCACGGCGGGAAGTTCCAGAAGATGAGCGGCAGCGTAGCAGATGACGGCGGTGACGCAGCGAGCGAGATTGCCAGAAGGACGGCATACGTGTTAAAAAGAGGAAAAGTAGCAGGGTTGTATCACAGTAAACCGAAATCTCGGCGCAAGCAAGTCAAAGGTCCCCTGGAACCGCCCTTTCTTCAACTCTTCCTGATGGCTCTAGGGCAACGCCCTCACCTGGTGGTCTGCAACAGCGGAAGTGTACGGCGGCGAAGCCTCGTACGATTGCTTCTCCACAGTCTGCGCCATAAGCTGCTCCGTATCGTAGTGACATGGGCAAAACACGCAGCCGCACTGGTGTGCTACACTCCTTGCCGCCGCCGTGGCAACAGGGGATGCCAGTGCGGCGTCAGGGTGCCCATCCTGGCAACCAACAGCAGCAGCCGCAACTGCTGCTGCAACTGAGGCCAATACACCAACAGCTCCTGGTGAGCAGGATTGCGAGCTTCGCCTAATCACAGACGTCCCAGTTGCCCTGTCATCCTGCTCAGCAGCTGGAGAGCGGCTGTTGCTGCTGGCACCTGCGTCGGCCTCAGCCGTAACACCGCTAGAGCCCAATCCCGGGCCGCCTAGATGGGCCGTGGTGCCATCGCTGCTGGTACCACTCACAACCCCGCCCTCAGCAGCGCCGCCAGCAATCACGCACGCCTCTGTTGCGCCCGTGCCGCCATCACTGGCGTCCGGGCTACCCTCGGCAGGCGGCGTTGGCTGTGAGGCCAGGGTTGCAGCAGCTGCAGCTGTGGTTGATGCTTCTGAGGCACGTGAGCGCACCCAGGCCAAGTCGCCCAGGCATATGTGGATGTCGGTGCTGCCGCGTCGCTTCACATCCACCAGGTGAAGGTTTTGAAACTTTGCGGCTGCGCCAGGCTGGCCTAACCGAGCGACGTAGCCAAGCTACTCGGGGGTGGGAGGGTGATGGTGGCACACGGTTAGGCTACCTCACGCTGAAATATGGATAGCACTTGGGCCTAGGTCATCGAAGTCTACAAATGAAAAGGCATCATATAGGCGAGTCGCACGGAAGCTCGCGAGGACCAGGCAACATAAGGCGTGGCTCGAGCTGACCTAGGGCGGTTGACGCCCGGCCCGATGATGAGCACATCGGGGCTTTTATCCATTCCTAATGCCACTGTAAGGAGCGAAACGTCCCTAAGCGATATCGGTAGCAACTATTCGCTTGTGCAAGCAGCGTCCCTTGTAACTGTTCTATCCTCAGCAGATACGCACCTGATGCACCAACTGCATTACAGCAGCATACTTCATCAAATCACGTTTGCCGTTGACCTCCACTGTGAGGGATACCGGCTGGTGAGCATGCCATGCAAGCCCCTCACGGACATACCACTCCTTCGGGACAACAAGTGGCTGCCAAGACCTCTCCTCTTGCCCAGCTCCCTTTTGCCCAGAGTCCGCTTGCGACTACAAGGTAATCGGCAAGCACACGACGCGCGCCATCTCAGCTTGCAACAGCGGATGCCAGTATAAACGATCAAGCGCAACATTGATTGCCTTAAAAGATTTAATATGGGTCAACGATGCGCACCTGCACCTGTACCGTCTGCCTGGGGTCAAGTGTTGCCGCCATGCTTCTCCGATAGAACCCGCAGCACCCAGCAGACACACGCAAGGTGCCAGTGCCACTTGGGTCGGTGTAAGTGAGTCCACGGAACGACTTTGCAGCTGGTCGGGGCTCTAACGCTGGCCCAAGTGGCCGCTATAGAACGCAGTAGAAGGCGGGAGTGACCTTGGCCCAGACGGTTCGGGTATTCGGTGTAGCAGGGTATTTCGAATAGCAAATAACAGAAAGGATCACTTTGACGCTGGGCCAGGCTCAACTATCGAGGCTGTGTGCGTTTTGGCCCAGATGGCGGGATTCAAGGGTGAGCACAGAAAGCACAGAACAGTCCATCTGTAAAGCGTGTATGAGTATTGTTAGTGGAAGGCAATCTCTCTTGATTGTATGCGCCTGGGTTATTCATCGACGGCCCGGTTACACGGCAGGCCGTAAACATGCGGATCAGTCCAGGAAGGCAGGGAGCGGCATCTCAACAGAAAGCTTGCATTATAAACCTATATTCATTTCCTATGCTGTAAAGGTGCTTGGCCCAGTTCCGGGGCATGACGGGAATCCTCGCAAGTTCGAAGGCTTGCAACACTTCTGGTGTGTCTTTGGCATTTTCGCTGCCGACCTCCAGCAACATACAGCATCGAACCTTTCCTGTCAACTCGTCTTATATGAGTGGACGTTTACGATCGCCTTTGACCGTCCTTTAAATCTCAAACCCTACAGAGCCAACTAACCTGCTGTATTGGGGAAGTAGGCTAGAGGAATAACGCTGGTATGGGCGTCAGTTATTTCCTAAGCGTATGTTATTTGGGTGTGTGGTTGAGTGAAGGTGTCTGTTGATATTCATTTCTGCACCGCCACGTTACCGGTACTTGCGGAGACTTAGGTGGGACTTTGCTGCCACCCATTTATGTTATCCTCATGGGAGAGCTACGGCAAACGCTGAAGAACAGGGGTACCCTACCGCTCATTACGCACGGCAATTCCCCAGGCCATCCTTGCAACCATCCCTGGGCTTCCAGGGCTATCGGCGATTGCCGTCGTTCGAGGTGACTACTCTTGATGTTCTCTACAACAGGAGCTTAAGGCGCCCTATCTGCAGCTGGATACTCTCCTGTTGGCCACCCTGGGATAGCATGGCACATGCCTCAATGCAGAAAGCGAACCATGTGCGGCGTCCTGGGGGTAATAACTGCCGATCCAAGCACATGGGTTCATGAGAATAGGTACCTGCGTTGCCGCTATGATATGAACCCGCCGGCCTAGGCGTCCACCTGGCATTCGACACGGCCCACATACATACCCCTCCACACTTCTATGAGTTAAGCTTCCATGCACGTAGTGTCTTCGTAAACCTATGTAACATGACTGGGTTGGTAAGCCGCTGCTGGAAGCACAGCTTGGACAGCGCCGTGGCGCAACGACGAAATGTATCAAAAAGCAAGGCACGGTCACTGCTAACCTGTTTACAATACAACTAGGCGCTAAGAGTAATTGCTAAGATACACGTATTGAAGTTATAGTAGACGTCGTCACAGATCCACGCTTTCATGATTTTTCATCCCATTCGTCGTTGCTCCTCGTACCAACGTACGGTTGAATATCTTTGCGGAGCACCCGATAGCCAGAACAATTACCCGATTGAATGCTAGAGAGGGTTATCATATCCATAAAGGAATCCAATATGTGCTTTTTATGATTCTAAGCTTGACTACTAAACACTGCTATTCCTTCTATGTCATGTAAAAATCAATAATGAGTTCTGCTCATATTCTCTCTACATTTCAATCCACGTTTCCTGGGTTATATCAGTCGCAGCAGGGAAGCGATGAAGGAACGCAAGAGCAAGCTGACGCCAGCCCTTTGCCTCTCGAAAAGGAGCAAGATGGAGGACATGATCCATACAATGCCCGCATTGCTGGCATTACCAGCAAGGTACGCCCGGCAAGCAGCATGCGTCGTCGTCGAGAGGATAAGACTGGAAGTTACTATGGATGCGGTGCTGCCTATCTAGTAGTTATTGCGTGCACATGGCAATTCCTACCTTCCTGGTAAGCCGCGTCAACCGTACATGGCCCTCCCCTACCCCTTAGTTCGAGCGCCTACGCGCGTCTGCGGACGAAATGGAGCAATACCTCCGAACAGCCGCAGAGGAGGCGAAGGAAGCGGAAGCCAGGGCGTTAGCAAAAGCAGACGAAGGTGGGCATGCCCTGGGTGCTGTAGCCGGTTAGGTGCAGTCACCGGGGTCGAGACAACGACGCGGTCGGCTGACGGTCCCCCCTTGCATGCAATTGCCATTCCCTTCAAAGCATTGCGCCCCTACTGCGGCTGGCCCTAATGGCTGCCGCTGAACAATGCTGCTGTCTTGCACTTATCGTGGCTGCGGAGGAAACGCTGACCCAACGGGCTTGGGCGCGTCTGCACCATGATTGCTGAGCTCTGCCGGCGGGCATGGAAGGGTTTGGCCGTTGGGTGAAAGCAAAGCGCACAGTCTTACAAGGCTGGGCCCTGCTGCACACTCAATGCGGTCCTGGTAGCCATATGTGCACTGGGCGGGGGCAAGGGTCTCTTTCTCGCATTTCAGGGTTCCGAGTTTTGTGGTGCGGGGGGCCTCCATGACCGTGAGAGCTGAGGGCCGCCGTGCACCTAGCTAGCCCAATGGAAGGGAACTATGTGAAAGAAGCGCTGCAGGACTAGCAATGCCCGGTATGGCCTAACTCTGGTAGCACGGCCATGCCTCCAGCCATACCGCAGGCTTCACCACGTGTCCACCCTCGTTCTGACCGCCTCAGCCCATCCGCACCCCACCCCCATGCTTCACGCTCCCCTGCAATCCTAACCTCCACCTTCAGCCCCCACAGTCGTGGCTCTCTACCACTGCCTCCTTCATAGGACTCTTACCCAACCGCCTCCCGCCCACCTCCTCCTCCCTGCACCCACGCACCCGCCCGCAACCCCCACCCCACCCGCTGCCTGTGTCCCTAGAGTTCACCCCCGGCTGGCGCAATGTGGGTCTGCCGCTCAAGCCCTCACACCTGCAGCTGGACGGCGGCACCATGGCGGGGGCGCGGCTGGTCAATCCGAAAGCCATTGTGCAGGTGGGCAGGGGGCAGAGTTGGGCGGGGCGGGAAGCGTTTGGGGCAGGTGTTGCGTAGCATGGTAGTCGGGGGCAGCACAGGAGAGCGCCCGCTGGGAGCCCGTGAACGTGGTATCATGGGCACTAACAAGGTTGCTTTGTACTGGAGATCTTGTGACGTTGTGAGGTGGATCTGGATTAAGCCCCTGGCCGCCTTGGCCTTGGGGCGCTCGGGAGGGGCTGTTCCAGGGGACGCGGGCCGTATACACCGCACAGCAAGGGAGCCAGCTGGTTCAGGTCGACGAGTGAGCTGCCCCTTCCCACCACCTACCGTATCCCCCTAGGGAGTGAATCCGCCCCAACTGGCCACCCTTCCTTCCTTCCTTCCTTCCTGGCCTGACATGCTTGCCCCGCCACTGGTCCCACCCGCAGGAGTACCACGCCATCAAGCGCCACGAGGTGCTCAACCCGCCCCGCATAGCCGAGTACGCGGACACCTCCGCCCGCCCCACCTACCTCAAGAGCACGCACACGCTGGATGTGGGTACGGCCGTACGGCATGCTGTACGGAGAGTTGGTTGAGGATCCATTCTTTCGGAGTGGGAAAGTGGAGACCGGGATGCTATTTTGCATACCGGTGTCCCCGAGAGACGCTGTGGGCGTGTGGTGAGGTCCTACATGCATGTCGCATGCTGCTTGTGTCGCTTGTGTTGCCCCTGCAGGTCCGCAAGACGCGCACGCTGTCTCCGGAGCGGCTTGCGCGGGTGCACCAAATCGCCGCCAAGCACCTGACGTGGCACACGCTGACGCCGGATGAGGTGGCGGCACGCATGGAGGAGGCGGAGGAGCGGCGGAGGCTGCTGTCGCTGAAGATGCCTCGAGCGCAGTTCGAGCGGGAACAGAGGTAGGGAGCCGGCAAATCCTGAAAGTCGCTGTTGGTTGCCCGTTACCCAACTTCGTTGACCGTTGCCCCCACCCCCCCATCCCTCACAGGATCATCCAGTCCATGCACCACAAGCTCACCTTCCTGCGCAACCCGCGGCACCCGCTGCCGCCCGCCGTCAAGATGCTCATGGAGCAGCGGCCGGAGGCGCAGCGCTGGGCGGGGCCGCGCGCGGAGGTACGACACGGCGTGGAGCCGCCCATCAAGGCCAACATGACGGCGCGGGATGACGTCATCTTTGTGGTGGAGCCGGCGGAAGTCATGTTCACGGATTACGGTGGGTAGCGGGGAAGGGACAGGACGGTCCGGTCTTCGTAGGAGTCTCGTTTTTGCGCTCGGCACTTGGTTTTCCATCTTTCCCCTTCACTTCTCATGCCTCACACCATTTCCCTGTCCCGTTGCCTCCTCCCTCTTCCCGGTCGCTCTCCAGCCGTGGGCCGCACCTACGAGAAGCTCGTCCGCGTACGCAACGTGACCGCCGTGTGTCGCGGCCTGCGCATCTTCCCGCCCGCCTCCCAGTACTTCCACGTCTCACTGCCTCGCTTCCCGGGGGAGTCGGGCGTTCTGGCGCCGGGCATGGCGGCGGAGCTCACGCTGCGCTTCTGTCCCGACTCGCTGGGGGACTATGAGGACGCCCTGGGGGTGGATACATCGCACACGGGGCTGCGGCTGACGGTGCCGCTGAGGGCGCGGCGCCCGCCGCCGTCGCTGACGCTGCCAGAGGTGGGAGAGGGAGCCGGTAGGGGGGTGAAAGGTAAAAGAAACTGACGAACTGTATGACGAGGCTTCGCAGCCATGGGTTGCTGGTTGGGAGAGGGGCGGGAGGGGTGCTTGGGGAGGGAAAAGAAGGGTAAGCATGCGTTGTGCTTGGGAAGGGAAGGGGCAGGAAGGGAAGAAGAAAAGGAGGCTCAGAGAGGGTGGGCTGACGAAGTAGCCCACCACCTGACATCGCTTACGCGCGCCATTCCTCGTAACCTACCCACCCCCGCACAGGAGATTGAGATGGGCCAGGTGGTGATCGGCAATGTTAAGACGGAGCAGGTGGCGTTTCGCAACCTGGGCGGGCCGGGGCGCTTCAGGATAGTGCCGGAGGCGGACTGGCCGGACTTTGCGCAGGTGTGAGGACTCGGGGCTTATGGTTCCTGCAGCAGGGGCTTGTGGGTTCTGAGGCAGAAGGACGCAGGGGTGCGCGTGCGGGACTGGGTGGGGATGAGGCACGCTAGGCTGCCTGCCCTGGGGCTCGTGATGAGGGGCAAAAGGACGCAGGACGTAGGGGTTGGGCAGGGGTGAGGTATGCAAGGTTGACAGCGGCGGCAAGGCTATCCTGCCGTTCTCCGTCGATAGCTGCACAGCCTCGTTGACTCTCCCATCACTTGCTCGTGTGCACCCTCCCCATGCGCCGCAGGATGCCCCCACGGATCGAGCAGTCATTGGGCCGTTCAAGGTGCGTGCGTTCATGTGAAGTTGCTTTGGTCACCCTCACCCTCATTGCATGCATCCTTCGGGAATATGGACACGTATGTGCCAAGGTCTTCGATACGCAAATACCCCCTCGGCCTACGGCCCTAGCCGATGGTAGTTAGATGCAGTCCCACGCGCCCCCCCGCCTCCGCCACCTGGCATGTCCCTTCCCATCCTCTGACCCCTTGCACCTCCATCTCTCTCCCCCCCCGCTGACTTTCTTGTACCTCCCGCCCTTCCCATCTCGTCCCTGTCCCTCCCTCTTCCCCTAAAGATCTGGCCTCTGTGTTTTGAGATGGCGACCAATGAGGAGATCGCGTTGAATGTGTCGTACGAGCCGGTCGAGTGGGGCAACAGCGAGGAGCGGCTGGTGCTGGTGTGCGACAACTGCCAGGTGTGTTTGGGGGGTTGGTTGGGGGGCGCTGCTGCCGCTGGGGTAATGGTACGGTACAGGAAGGCTCGGCAAGCCTACCCTCGTTCGGGTGTCGCATGCGTCCCCCGCGCCGCAGCTCCCATGTAGTTTACGCCGCCGCAACACGTGTGTGTTTCACGCCGCCGCAACCCCCCTCCCGCTCTCCTTCCCCCCCCTCCCGCCGCCCAGGTCAAGACGTTCTCCCTGCTGGGCAACGGCGTGTCGGTGGACGTGCTGCTTCACAGCGTGGACGGGCGCATGCTGGAGCCGCGTGAGCTGGACCTGCCGCTGTGGTTCGGGGAGGTGGCACCCAGGTGGGAGCTGCGGGTGGGGGTGCGGGTGCGGGGGGGGGGGATGTAGGTGATGAGGGGCGGGTCTTATTGGAGCGAGCGAAGTGGCCCCCTTGTGAGCTGCGGGGGGGGTGCGGGTGGGGGGAGGGAAGAAGGAGAAAAGTAGACTAGGTGGGGTGGGTGTGGAGGGTAACGCAACTAGACCAGTAAGCCCCCTGGGGTGGGGTGCGGGTGGCGGGCCACATGGTGGAGCGAGCCTTTGGCGCCTTTCGGTAGACGTAACGGTTCCGATACCTATATGCTACATGGTACCGGTAGCGGGCCTAGGCGGCCGCATGCGTGCCGCTACCAGTGGTGGTGCAACCAGGGATGAGCTGCCGCCTCATGCCTGTCGTCTCTTGCGACTTGTGACTCACCGTGGGATAGCTAGCCAGGCTTGCTACTCACTAACCCTTCTCCACGCGTCATCCATGGCTCCCACCCTTGCCCGCATCAGGTCGGGTTTCTCCAAGACCGTGTCCGTTCGCAACACCACCAAGCTGCCCTTCGCCTTCGAGTGGGCCCTCACGCGCTTCCCTCAAGTGCAACACAAGCGCCGAGCCAACGAGCCCCTCCAAACCGAACAACAGTACGACGAGGAACAAGAGTACGACGAAGGCCATGTACTGCTTGTTGACAACAAGGCCATGCGCGGCGGCGGCACGGGTCGGCCGGGCCTACCCTCCGCCTCTGCCTCTGCAAGCTCCGGCCTGCCCAGCACCAGCGGCAACGGCGGCGTCTTCGTGAGCTCCGGCGCCACGCAGCAACGCCCCGGCCAGCAATCCAGCGGCGAATCCTCAGGCACCCCCTGGGGCGTCATCAGCGGCAGCGGCGCGCATGGGCCGGATCCCCTAGCCCTCGGAGCGGTGGTGGAAAATGTGTTCACGGTGGTGCCCCAGCGCGGGGTGTTGCAGCCGGGCGAGGTCATGGAGTTCCTGTTTACCTTCACGCCGCCTGCATGCGAGCGTTACGAGCGCTGGGCGCAGCTACGGGTGGATCGTGCTCCTGTGGCGTTGCCGTCGGACGGAAGTGGCATCTTGCGGGGATCGGGGAACGGCACCGGCAGCTCCCATGCAGCCATCGCTGCTGCAGCCACATGCGACGTGCTGGTAACGGAGGTGGGGCTAGAAGGGCTGGGCCGGCTGGTTCAGCTGCAGGCGCACCCGCGCCTGGTTTCGGTGCCGGGCGTGCTCATGCCCAAGCAGCGTGCCGTACGGCGTGTCGAGCTCCGAAACCCAACTCGGGCCCGGGTGGATGTACGGGTGGTTTCGGACCACCCGGCGGTGTCGATCGAGCCCAGCGCGTTGACGCTGCCACCGCTGGGGTCTTCGTATCTGAAAGTAACCCTGACGGCGCCGGAGACGCCGGGGCAGTTGACAGCGCGTGCAACGGTGGAGCCGCAGCATGGGCACGGGCCGCCGGTGCCGCTGCTGCTGCAGGCCACTGTGGGCGCGAGCCGTGCGGAGCTGCGGACGTCGCGGCTTGACTTTGGGTTGGTACGGCTGGGTTGTACGGCGGAGCGACCGTTGGTGATCCGCAACTGCAGCTCCACGTGTCACACGGCGTGGAGCGTGCGGGAGATTACGGAGGCAGTGATTGCGGCGGTAAGAAAGGGCGGGAGTTGCGTCGGAGGAAAAGAGGGATGCGGCGAGCATGCGGTCCTCTTACCCATTTTGATGGTGGTTCCTCTGCCTTTCCTCGTCGAGGTGGCGATCAGTGCCATTCTCCTTCGTGCCATCTCCCCTCTGCTGCTGCTCTCCTTCTCCCCACCTTCCACCTCCCGCTCCCTCTCATCACTTGCAACCGTTGATCGGTTGCATGCATGGCGGGTTGTTAGCACCGGTATCGTTGCACCCACCTGGTCTCCTTTTCCCCTTGCATCCTGCAGGAGAAGGCCCAGCTGCTCCGCACGCAGCTGCTGCAGTCCGTAAGCATGCTGGACCCGCTGGCCTCCGCCGCCGCCCAAGAAGCCATCGAGCAGCGCTTCCCGCACCAGAACCTGCCGCAAACCCCATCCACCCAACCAGGCGCCGACCTACAACAACCCCCGCAACAGCCGGAGCAGGAGGAGGAGGAGCAGGTACAGGAGCGGCAGGGCTCAGCGGGGCTGGAGGTAAGCTTCGGCTTCAGCGTCATGGGCGGCGGTGGCGGCGGCGGCGGCAGCCGCAACGCAAGCCCCAGTCGCACCAGCCGCGGCCCGAGCCGCCTCACCACGCCCAGCACCCCAAGACGGGGCAGCAAAGGCAGCGGCAGCGCAAGCAGCAGCGCCAGCAGCGGCATCCGCATCACGCACCTCACCTTCCAGCCCAGCAGCGGCGTGCTGGCACCGGGGGAGGAGCTCACCATTCGAGTGACCTGCCATGCACTCACGGACGGTCGCAGTCGAGCCATCATCCAGCTTCGCTCCGGAACCGCCGCCCTTTCCGGCAGCAACGGCACCATCACCTCCTCCGGCCCCGCTGCCGCCGCTAGCAAAGCCCTTGCCAGCACCAGCACCAGCGCCGGCGCCATGGTTCACGGTTTGGACCATATCGCCTGTATCGAGTCGTTCGTGTGCGCTGTGACGCCCACCTGCGTCATCGATCGGCCGGTGCTGGACTTGGGGGTGACGTTCGTGGGGGTGCAGGTACGGCAGTTCTTGTACATGACGAACCTGAGTCAGCTGCCGCTGGAGTTCAGGTGGAGCAGCGAGAGCGCGGACAGTCCGGAGACGGGTGCGCTGGCGGACTTGAGGGTGAAGCCGGAGAAGGGGCAGCTGGCGCCTGGGGAGGAGGTGGAGGTGCAGGTGAGGGGTAAGGGGCGTGGGGTCCGTATGGCCGGGTACCGGTGATGAAGAAGGGAGAGAGCTGGCGGGAAGGAGGGAGGGTGCTTGGGCGTGGGGCCCTGTCATGCATCCACATCCTAGCACTGCCACCGTCTCTAATTCGCAACGCTTCCTTTTATTACCAACAGGTACGATACACGCCCCGGGCCGTTGGGCAGTCCGTTATGTACGGTGTCTGCGAACTGGACGGCGCGCCGCGACCGCTGGGCTTCCGTGTCACGTCGACGATCCAGAGCCTAGATGTCACATACGACCTCCTGACGCAAGAAGAGTACGACGAAATGCAAGCGGCGGCGGAAACAGCGCCGCCCAAGGTCACAATTATGGCTGCGGCGGCGGCCGCACAAGCGGCCGAGGAGGCGGAAGAAGATGGCGAGGAGCCGCCTCCCGGCCCGCTGCCCGAAGTGTCGTACTTTAAACGCGGCCGAAACGGCAGACCCGAGGTCGATATCGAGATCTTTGCCGGCATGACGAATCTACCTCCGGAGGTACTGACGCGGATTTCCGCGGGTCGTACAGGAAGTACGACGACCGCCAGTGGTACGACAAGCACTGGCGGCGGCGACTCTCGTTCCCTGGAACCCCGTCGATCCTTCCGACGTCGTACGGCAACGGGTCCCGGCTGGCCGCCGCCGGCGCCGTCACGGCACCTTGTCGCGGACTTTGGCAAAAACGTGCCGTTGGGCGAAACACGGCAGATGTATCTGGTGGTAACGAACCGTACAGCAATGCACACGAGCATGCGGACGTGGTTGGAGCGGTTCGGCGTGGAAGACGCGGCGCGGTTCACTCGGCGCCGTACGAGTCCGGCTGCTGCGGTTGCTGGCGGCAGCCCGGCTGGTGAAGGTGGACGAGGAAACGGCAGCGGCGGGGCTCATGGTCGCGGGGCGGTGATCGATCGGCGGGAGTCGGGCATGTCGGGCGGAGGCGAGTCGGAAACCGCAGCAGGAGGTACGTAGAAGCGGGTTCGAGCTGGAGAATACTTTCGGAGGTATTCCCCTGTCCGGTCGAGTCCCTATCTCAGATCGCCAACCCCCCATTTCTCAACTTCACCTCTTGCACGCTGCCTCCTTTCCCTCACCTCATCCTCACCTTACTAACTGACGCCTTCCACCTCTTCGCCGCCCATGCCCCGGCCTTGCTGTCATCCCCACCTCACCCTCTCAACCCCATCCGCCACCTCACCCTCAACCCCATCCGCCACCTCACCCCCATTTCTCCCCCTCACACTCCTCCCTGCAGCCTCCGGCCTGCGCATCCGCACCTCAAAGTACACGCCCATCAAGCTGATCAGCGAGTCCGATCACACACCCTTCCGCGCCGCCCGGGGCAACGAGATGATGGCCACACGTCGCCTGCAGGAGGAGGCCGACCAGGTGGGGCACCGGACCAGGGAGGAGTGCCGGGAAGCGGGGGGCCTACCGTGCTAGCATGGGGCGCCGCGTGTTTCTTGGCTTCTCTCGGGAGTTCCTGCCCATGTGACCTACGCCGCCAACCCCCTTCGCTTCCCCTGCTATCCTCCGCACCTGCTCCGGTCATGCGTCAGGCAACGGGCATGGGGACTCGGGTGATGATTCGTTTCTCTTTCTTCCGCCCTCACCCGTTTCCCCGCTTCCTCCTCACCCGCTTCCTCCTCCTCCTCAGGCTCTGGGCGACAAGGGTCTGGCGGTGTCGGTGACGCCCCCCGAGTGCACCCTGGCGCCCTGGAGCCACAAGGTGCTATCGTTGAGCTGCTTCAACGACATGTGCGGAGCCTACATGGACATGCTGCATGTAAAGGTGGGGGCAGGGGGGGGAGCAGAGGGTGACCGGGGGTAGCGCTGCATGGGGGCTCGCTGTGCGCGGAGTGTACGAGTGTCACAGCTGCATGTGCAGTTGGTCTGGGGGTTGCGTGGGGCCGGGTTGAGCACACCTGCTAACCGCCACCAGTAGTCAAACTACCCCTGAACCTTACCTACCGACACCACCGCACCACCCCCTCCCTGCGCCCCCTCCCGTCGTGTCTGCGTATGCACTCACCGCATGAATCGGCATATGGGATTGGGACTCCCGTTGCTTCACTTTTCAACAGCTATACCCGGTATTTCCGCCGCGCCCTCCCCTCCCCCAGGTCGGCGACCTGCCCCCTCGCGACATCCCCGTGTTGGTGGGGGTGACCGGCACCCCGCTGGTCGTACAACGGGAGCGGGTGCTGGTGAAGGGGCTGCGGGAGCGCTCCTGGCGGGCCTCCCTGGAGTGGGGGCAGGTGCCGCGAGGCGTGGAGCAGCAGCGCACCTTTTACGTCTTCAACACCGGCTCGCTGGGTAAGGGGGGGAGGTGCAGGAGGCGGGAAGGCTGGGGGGGGGCGGAATGGTGAGTAGAGGGGGAGGGGTGCATGGTAGGGGGATGAGGTTATGCCTCGTGCCTGCTGTAGTTTCCTCGCCACGGCGTGTGCTGCACTGCCTGCGACAAAATAACTGACAGCTTGCCGTACCTCCCCGTTTCCCATTGCCTTCCTAGTTCCGAACTTCCTAATTTCCTAAACCCAACCCCAACCCCACCCGGCCAGACATGCACGTCTCCTGGCAAATGCTGCGATACCACGAATACCCCGACCTGGAGAAGCTCCCGCCCACCACGGACGTGGGCTCGGGAGGCACCGGCTACCATGACAGCCTGTACGGCGGCCCCGGCCGGCTGCGGGACACACGTGCGCAGTACAAGATGTACGACCTGAAGTTGGAGCCGGACGAGCGCGCGGGGGCGGTGCGGGTGGTGGCTACCCGGCATGGCGATCCGGACGATGGGCCCTTTAGGGTGGAGCCCACGGAACAGGTGAGGAAGAGGAGGAGGCAGAGCCTTGGGTACCCCGTAGCTACCGCAGCTAGCCGTGAACATGCGCCCCTGGCCGTGAACCTGCCCCTGTATCTACCTACAACCCAGCATCTACTCCCCCCAACAGCCGCGAGCCCTCTTTCATTTCTATGCCGGTAACGCACCCTCCCTTCTCCTCCCGACCCCTCCTGCCCCCTCCTGCTGCAGGTCATCCGCGGCGGCGGCTCCGCCAAGTTCACCGTCTCCTTCTCCGCCTCCCCCGAAGCCACCCAAACCATCGAAGCCTACCTCCACGGCGCATGCCGCGTCTTCAGCCCCGAAGCCGCCGTACAGCTGCGCCTCTGGCCGCGCGGCGAGTCGGGCGACGGGGTGGGCGTGCTGCTGTCCGGCGCCTTCCACCCCTACGCCGGCGCGCCGCCCACACCGCTGCAGCCCCTGAGAGTGGACCTGCAGGCCATGTCGGTTCCCAGTCGCCTGGAGCCGGATGGAGTGGAGCAGCTGGCCTGGCGCGTGGCGTCCATCCACCAGCCGCTTAGCCACCCCAGCTTTGTGCGCTCGGTGACGCTGAGCAACACACAGGCCTGCCCGCAGGTGGGTACAGGGGCGGGGTGGGGTGGGCTTGCTTCTCCCTCCTCCGCCTTCTCCCGCCCCACATCCACGCCCTCGCATGCTCCTTACCCGCGCATGCCCCTCCATGCCGACGAATTACTCCATGCTGACCCCCCTTTCTCCCATGCCGCCGGGTTTGGTTCCGCCCGCTGCCCCGCAGGTGTTCAGCCTGGGCGTGGAGGGCCCCTGGGACCTGCTGGCAGCCACCCCCAGCATTCCGCAGGACCCGGTGGCATACCGCGGCACCAGCACGCTGCTGGGACCCGCGGTGTCGTCAGGACTGCTGGGAGCCAACGCGGCAGGTGAGCCAGGAGGAGGAGGAGGAGGAGGAGGAGGAGGAGGAGGAGGAGGAAAAAGAAGGATAGTGATAGTGGTAGTAACACCGCTTGGGGCTGTAGGAAGGGAAATGGCTGGTGGCGCGTTTGGCTTTGGAAGTGGATATACGCCGGCACAGTACCGGCAAAGTGCTCAACGCCTAACAACAGATAGCAGCCTTCAGGACAAAGCTGTAACCACTGTTTCCTTCCTTCCTTGCGCGCTCGGCTGTGCTCCCGGCTGCTTCCTCAGATGGCGGGCTGGTGTTCCTGCCGCCGCGGGAGAGTGTGGACGTCACGCTGCGGTTCGTGCCGGGCAAGGGAGACCTGGAGGCGCTGCCCGTGCGCTTCGCAGCCATGCAGGTGCGGGTGGGAAAGACAAGTCATGGGGATAAAAGCAACGGAAAAAAAACGGAGCATGTGTGTGTAGAAAGCTGGCCATGCGTGTGGTGGTGGGGAGAAAAAAAAGAAATTCCAATGTGTGGTGTGAGAATGAGACAAGTTGCTGTCAATCCCTGGTGGAATCAACCGTGAGTCGAGCCGAAATGGTGGTGGGGGACGACCTGTAACGCGCGTAAGGCGGTATATGATGCTAGCTGGAAAGGTGAAAGTATGGAGCAGCAGGGATACCGGTGTACGTGCATGGCAGCCATGCGGCTGCATGCATGGCTGCAGCAGTAGGCCAGCACTCTTGGGCGCGTCCTTGCAAGGGTTGCGATGCAATGCAATGCACCATATGTTGTCGGCTGTCCTGAACGCTTGTCGCTTAGGGTTTATTCTCACCAATCTTCTTAATCCCACCCTCACCCCATCCCATCTCATCCCATCCCGAACCTCCTTACAGGCCCGGCAACGCGTGGTGGAGACCACCACCGACTACAAGAACACCGGCGCCCTCACCGTCTCCTTCTCCAACGGCGACACGCAGAGCCTGCAGCTGGTGGCGGAGATGCTGCACCCGCGCCTGGAAGTACGACCGCGCAAACTCAACTTTGGGCACGTGCACCTGCTGTCTCCCATGGAGCTCCTCGTGGAGCTGTCCAACCCCACAAGCGTCGACGCAGCATGGGCGGTTACAGTGGAAGGCGTCAAGCCGAGGTTTCCGACACTTCCCGGCGCTGGCGCCGCAGCCAGTGCGCAGGCAGAGGCTGCAGTGGGGGGAACGGGAGGTGCGACGTCGTCGGGAGCGGCGTCGTCCGGCGCCGCGTCTGCGGGTGCGGGCGGCGGCGGGTCGTCGACGGCGACTCACACGCCCCGTAGCGGTCGTAGCAGTACGACAGGCGGTCCTGTGCCGGAGACGCCGGGAACGCATAGTCGATCGAGCTCAGTGGCTTCCAGTCGCGCCGCCGCCGCCAATGCCGTGACGACGGCGACTTTGGCGGCGGCTGGTCAGTCGCTGTCGCGAGGCGTTACGGCGGTGAGTGGCGGCGTGCCGCCACCACTGAGGCAGCCGGCGGTGACGGCGGCGCTGGCGGGCGTTACTGGGATCATTGCGGAGGCCCGCATTGGGCCGTACATCGTACGGCCGGCGAGTGGGGTGCTGCCCGGGAGAGGTCTGCGGCTGCCGCACACTCAGAAGATCAGTATCACGTTTGCGCCGACGGAGGCGGGTGCGTTTGACGGTGAGCTGATCTTTGCCGTACTCCGGGGCAAGGATTGCTCGGTGGACATAGATGGCATTGGCAGCATTGATGAAGCGGACGAGCACAAGGGAAAGCTGTTTGTGATATAGCTGTGATTGCTTATAGCTGTGGTTATGGTTCAGGTCGGTTATGGGAGTGTCGGTTATGGTACATTGGAGTACCGATACCGGTATCCGAATGGAGGATTACAGGGTGTTGGGGTCGGCGGATGACGGCGTCCATCCCTCTTTGGTGTTGCGATGGTGCATTTTGACGCGCGTGTGGCGATTGCATTCTTGGCATGGGTACCTTGCATACCCGACAATGCCGTGACTTAGGACGAGGCTTTGCTGGCTGCCGTTACCGGTATTAGACGTGCATTCAACCATGCAGTTACCATTACCCGACTACAGCGTGAGGTATAGAGGGAAGGGGTGTGGTTTAGGGTACCACATCATACATGACCCATATGGCATGACTCCGGTTTTGTTCTTGATGAGTGAGGGGGGCTGACTTCGGCAATGAAGGTACGTAGGTAAGCCAAGGCGTGGGCGGTCCATGTACGCAACCAGTATTGGTATTAGTTGGCACCAATAACTTAGACGATTAGGTGGACTAGAACGGAGTCTTGTTGTAGCTGTCGTCGGGCGTGGGAAGCCCCGAAATGGGGTGAAGAGACACTGGCGATATTATTGACGAGGCGATACGCGGGCAAGGGTACCACAATGGTTTCACCCGCAGTACAGCTGGTAATATATGTCTGCTTTAGGAAAATTGATGCTTGGGGAACAGTACAGAGTATGTATTCATATCTACCAAGCTATGCGGTGCTGCGACTCCAACACATAGAATTGCATTCTCGTGACCGAACGGATGTAAACTTGCTGCCACGTAACCGCTGCTTCGAATACTATATGTAGACCTTTAAGTTCACAAGAGTTATAAATTGGCAAACTTGCGTCGCCTCCGTTTCCTGGCCAAGTCATTGCCAGCCGTTAATTAACGGCGTTTCGCAAATGGCACCACTCCAAACCCAAAGATGTTCAGGGGGACAGAAGCACGCAGTAGCAGCAACAGCAATCAGTCGCATCGCTCCGTGCTGTCCCATATCACGGCTCCAGCGGGTTCGTGCCATCGTAACAGCAGCTCCTCCTGCTGCGGCAGCTGCAGCGAGCGTAGCTCTGCCTTCCAGCCCCTCCAAATCGCTCCAACGCAGCGTCCCGGGCGTCTTCCTTTCAAGAGAGGAATGCTTGCACCTTTTGAACCGTGTGGCTGACGGGTTCATTACACAACAAGCTGGGCCCTCCACCAACTCCAGCAGCCACCCGGACGCCTTAGCTTATGTCAGTCAGAACGATGACGACAGTGGCAGCGAAGCCAGCCTCATTTCGCAAGTACTGGACGTGTTGTACGACGAAATGGAAGAGGTGTTTATTTCTAAGCGCGGCTACCTGATCCCCTCAAGGTGTGCGACCCCAGCCTCGCTCAATCATGCAAATTTCCCCAACCGCGCCGCAGTCCTAGTTACCGTACTTTTCCCCCGACCATGCTGCCGCGCCCTAGTTGTGTCACGGGTATCCCCGACCATGCTGCCGCAGGGAGGCAGCTCTGGTGGAGTCCACAGGCGGGTCGCCCACCTACGGAGAAATCACCAGCGAGGGCATCCGACAGTTCCTGCAGCGGGTCCCCCTCCAAAGCGACGATGTGGGTCGCGTCTCATGTCATGAGCTCATGACGTAACGTGAATTGCCGTACCATCATGCATCCCCACCAACGCCACCCCCATTCAGCCGTACGGCCTCTACTCAGACCGCAAGTCCACGGCAACCAGGTCCTCCTGCCGCTACCACCAAGTCCCCATCCCTGAACCCTCCTGAAACCCTAATCCACCGCCCTAAACCCTCGAACCCCCCCCCCACACACAGATTCCTTAACACCACCCTACCGGCACCACCCTCTTGCAGGTGCTTGTGGACCTGGGCAGCGGTCTGGGCCGTCTCACGTTGCAGGTCGCCTGCTGCGCCCGGTTGCGTCGCTGCGTGGGCCTGGAGCTGTCCGCCTCACGACACCAGCAGGCGAGCTGGCTGGCTGGGCAGTTGGCGGAGCTTGGGGGGCTTGCAGCAGCGGCGGGGGCGGGGGCGGAGGGCGAGGAGGAGGATGCAGAAGAGGCGGGCGAGGAGGGGCGGCAGCGCGCGGCAGCGATAACCAGTGCTGGCACGAGGGGTGCGGCTGGTGAGGCTACGGGTACTACATCGCGTTCAACCGGCAACTCCTCCTCCTCCTCCTCGTCGGCGGTGTTAGCGCACGCGCCGCCGTTTGCGGTGCAGCCCCATGCAGTAAGCCAAGGGCAGCAACATCGGAGCATTGCGCCGCACGACCAGGAAGTCTCATCAGGTGATCAAGATTCAGAGCTGCAGTCGTCACCGGAGCGGCCGCAGTCGCCGCAGTCGCCGCAGGAACTGCAGCAGCACCAGCAGCAGCAGCTGCTGCTGAGCCCAGTTGAGCTGCGTTGTGAGGACATCCTGACGGCCGACCTGCAAGACGGCACCGCATTCTTCCTCTGCTCCACCGCCTTCTCCGCCGCAGCATGCCGCGCCATAGCCGAGCGGTTGGTACGGCACCCGCCCTTCCGCCTGCTGGTTACCTCTCGGGCGCTGCCCTTCCCCTCGCCGCTGACCCAGGTATGTTGAGAAGACTGACCGCGAGTGGGAACGTTATTACTGTGATTGCTGGAAGAGGATGTCCCCACAAAAGCGCCACGGGAACCGAGGAGTGGGTTGGCGTATGTAGGTGTGCGGGGGGGAGGCACGCATGGTGGGAGGTGGATGGTTGGGTTGGTGGCCGCTCTGAACGTTTCCACTTGGGCCGCCACCCGTCAAAGCATCTTGTCCAGAAGTGCTTTCGTTCATAGTTATTAATCCTCTTCCCCCTGCCCTCGTCCCTCTCCTTCCCCTACCCTTCCGCCCCCTAACACACAGCTGGGCCAGTTCCCATGCAACTTCTCTTGGACCCCAGCCGGCACCGCCTACGTCTACGTGCGCAGCCTGCAGCAGGCGCCGCCGGCGCTGCTGGCAGCATTCCTGTCGCAGCAGCTGCCCTTCCCTCCTCGCTACTGTGACGGCATGGGAGATAGCAGCGATTCGCACGGAAAGGGTGACGGCTATGGCGGCAGGGTGGGTATTACCGGCAGCAGCAGCAGCGGCGGCGTGGCTGCAGGCGGCATTGCGTGGTTGCCGTCGACCAGCTTGCTTTCGGTGGTTCCGGCGGACCTCATGGTGTGAGGTCACGAGGGCAGCTGCGACAGCAGCAGCAGCTGCGACAGCAGGAATAGCGGGTGAAGGGGCAAAAGCAAAGTACCGGTAAAGCTGCGGCGTGGAAGGCATTGGGCTAAAAGCTTGGGGGAATGGCGTGCGACAGCTGCGAGCTGTTCTTTTGGGCCCTGAAAGGTTACCGGTATTAGACCCGGGCTGCCGATGGGGTCAGCAGTGATCTACGTATGTGATCAGTGACTTGTGTGCTTTTACTCCTGTGATCCGCGGCCTGTGTGGCCTGTGATCTTGTCTGGTCTCGCAAACGCGTCGTGAACTCTTTATTTGTGCATACCGTTATGTATGGAAATGGGTGTTGCATGGAACGCGATTTAAGTGTTCCCTGGCGTGCGGCGGTTGCAATGTAATGCCAGGTAGTGCATTCCCTGATACTGCGTGCGGATGACAGGCTGTCCACATGCTGGTGACGTGTGATGGGGGCAATATCGGTAGGGGACCCCTCAGTGGTTGAAGTTACCGGTGAGCTGATGGCATGAGAGAGGCGGCGACTTATAGGCAACGACTCTGCACGGAAGTCATGAATACCAGTTGTGAGTGATTACAAGTGCGCCGCATTAGCGGCTTGCGACCACCACAGTCTCGTGACCGTGTTAATGGGTTTCTGCACGTGCGTACGCTGTGTCGGTGCCAGCCAGGGGGCCAGGACACTTAAGCAAACGTAGTTCGTCCGGTCAGGGCCCTCACAGGCTTCCGCTGTAACCCTCAGGACATAGAGCTACACATCAGTACTGAGAACTTGAAACAGCTGTCGTTTCTTGGCATTATGACAATGCATCTATGCATGCTTGCTTCACGTTCGTGATTACACTGGAGAACGCGGGGTGGTGCATGGGTAAGCTTACGTGGCACCGTCCACCCGCGTCCATGTTGGGGGTTGGTGCGGAAGGACCAGTACGTTCATGTTTAGCCATGGTTTGAGACCACTGCGCTTACAGCCAAAGGTCCTTGGCACCCATGGCTTTGCGCTTGTGTTCAACAAGCACTATGTCGTCACGAAATAGCGAAGATGCAATTTCGCTCCGAACCCGTGGTTCCAAAGTCTACATTCGTTAGGGCACGCCAACAATCTTCCAATGCCATTTTGGTTACAATTTTAAACATGCTAGGGTTGCAGCGGCGCGTTTCGGGCTCAAGGCCCTTCAGTACAAATACATGCACGCCGACGCGCCCAGTTCGGCACTGCGTTTCCACTAGAAATAGGCGCTGCCTTACAGTTACAAACATGTTTACAGGCATTGTTCAAGGCACAGCCAGCGTCGCAACCGTAGAACGGCGCGACAACTTCTCGGCGCTTGATATCCAGTTCCCAGATGGGAGAGTAGATGGCATACAGATTGGCGCTAGCGTAGCCATAAATGGCACATGCTTGACTGTTACGCGAATTGCCGGCAACACCCTTAGCTTCGATGTCATGATGGAGACGCTGCGCGCAACCAATCTGGGCGGCCTGGAGCCAGGCAGTATCGTCAACTTTGAGCGTTCCGCCAGGGTTGGCGATGAGATCGGCGGCCACAATGTGTCTGGCCACGTGCACTGCACCGCAACCATCGTCGACATTGTGCAGACAGAAAATAACCGCCGTCTCACGTTCGCCGTCAGCAACCCCGCCTTCATGAAATACATCCTGCCCAAGGGCTTCATCTCCGTTGACGGCTGCAGCCTTACGGTTGGCGAGGTCTGGGACGACAAGTTCAATGTGTACCTAATCCCGGAGACCATCCGCGTCACGGTCTTCGGCGTCAAGGGCGTCGGCGACAGCGTCAACATTGAGATTGAGACGCAGACACAAGCCATTGTGGATACCACTGAACGCGTGGTCGCTCAGTACTTGGACCGACTGAAGGGGCAACAGCTGCAGCAGCAGTAACTTGGCAGCGGAGACGATGCCTGGAAGCAACGCCCCTTGTGCTCGAGCGAACGTCCGGCTAGGAAGCGTAGCTTGAGAGTATCCTGTCATGCGCTTGTAGCTGCTGAGTGGGCTGTGTGGTTGACGTTGAGGGGACAGGGCATGCTGCATGCAACGGCGTGTAACGGCGGTCATGCCCCAGGCGGGTAAATAAGGTCGCTGCAGTTCAGTTGTTGCAGCTATTCATACAGGAATCCTTGTGGAGTGTGCCAACTATATGAAAGCGTCATATTGCGAGGAGCTTTGGGTTGGAATGGGGCAGTTAGATGAGTTACTGCTCGCATTGACCTTGACACGTGCATATGGAGGCGGAAGGTGCTGTTGGTAACGCGGTTCCAGCCTGAATCCAGTCGAGAGTATGGACGCGAAGAGCGGAGTGGTGGTGGTGTTTTTTCGTGCTCTCGAGCGCGCGCGGCGCTGGGGTTGCAACGGGGTCTGCAGCTGTTTCCCCATCCCTTGTGATGTGAGACAGCGCCTTTCGTGCTGCTGTGGCAAGGCAATTGTTAGGGTGCATGTCAAGCATATGGTAGTAAGAATCCTGGGAGTTGATGACACGGACAGTACAACAAGATACACCCGTACACAGTGCAAGTCTGTTGCACTGTTGGGCTCTGCCCCAGCATTGCGCTGTGTTATAGAACAATAGAAGTTGAAAAGTACAAATAGCAGGTGGGCTCGACAGGCCTCCCACTAAGGATTAGCAACAGCGGATGTAAACGACATTCAGGTACATCCCTGCACATGTTGTAGCGTCATAAGACGTACGAATTTCCACCTGCCACGACAGTCCTGCGCACAATCGTTACTCAAGGCACACATAAATGCATTCATCCCAGTGTGAAGGACCCATGGGCCACTTGGCCATGGGAAGGTATCTTTCACCTCCACAAACAACTGAGATCGATGTCGGTTATATATCATCAACACTGCCAAAGGAAGCTGCACACACACACAAACTGCTCCTCGCGGCCAGTTTCGTAAACAAAGTTTTGCTCCTGGCCACCAGAAAAAGGAAGAAAACAAACGCGAAGAGGATTTGTCACGTCATGTCAACATGGCATGTATGTACGGCAGTCTTACGGTACCCATATCAAGCCATCCCTTGGTATGGTTTGGCCATGATTTCAATCAGGGGATAAGGTGCGAGACGTCTCCCTACATGCGGACACGACATGGGCAGCTCCTGCGCACCTCAGATACACGACCGTACCTACACTAAACACTATAGTCCTTAGGATACTTAAAGCCCAACTGGATTTCAGTCTTACATAACAGCTTACCACACTACGCCTAGAAGCTAGCATGCATCTCGTACCTATAAACCCGGCAGAAACTTCATGTGCTCTGTCCGTCTTCCTTTCCTCAACCCCTGCCCCTCTCTGCCCCGCTATCCCTCTCTGCCCTGCTACCTCCGGTGCACCACATCCGCCTGAACCCATGCCAACCCCAACCTGCCGCAGTGCTACACAGTCCTACACACCTGCCCGATTAACAAGGTTAACAACAACGCTCCCCACCCACACCCTAGCACCAGGGATACTTGTGGTCGCCGCTATCCTGCACCACCGCAATGGGGTGCCGCTCGTACCACCCAGAGGGTCCTGTACGGCAGTTCGCAGCGTAATCACACCACGCCACGTAATCCGCACGCGGAAGTACCTTGGTGTCCCGCACCGGCTCAACACGCGCCAGGCTCTTCTGCATGTCCATGTCCTGCCCCAACGTCCTCTTCAGATCCAAATCATGTGAATTTAACGGCATGAAGCTCCGCCCGAATTCCGGCTTGGATAGTGCCGTACTGCGGACGGATTCACGCAGCGACTTGAGGGCTGAGGATGGCAGCGAGATGGCGGAGGGGGGTAGCGGCGCCGCCCATACCCGCACCGGCTCCTTGGGTGATCCCAACCGTGAGGCCGTTCGCACGCCGCCCTCGCCTCCCAGCGCCATACTCCCGAGATCCAAACCAGCGGGGCCGCCCGCCGCCGCCTGAGGAAACGCGGATGAGTCCGCCGCCAGCTGCGGAGTGAGCTCCAGCCCGCGAGAAAAGTTGTTGAACATGCGTAACGTGTCAAAGGAAGACAACGCCGCCGGTGCATCGCCGCCGAATGGCAACAAGCCTGAGACTCCAAGGGATGCGTTCAGGCGCTGCTCCTCAGCAGTCTGGCTGATCTGCCGCAGTCCGCCCGTGGTACCCACCACCCCCGCCTGCGCCGCCACCGCAGCAGCGGCGCCACCCGCCAATGACCCCGTCGCGTCAAGCGCTCCGCCCGCACTGCCCGACCGCACCGTCCCTCCCGAGTAGCTGCCTCGGGGGACCGGAGACGTGTAGCCGCTGCTAAGTCGGCCAGGAGGAGGAGGAGACGGAGAAAGGGAAGGCGAGGGAGAAGCACTCGCTCCCGCCGCTGCAACGGCGGGTAACGTCGTACTAGCGGTCATGCCTGAAAAGCTTCCTCTACCCGCCGGCGCGCTGCCGCCGCCGTCGGCGGCGCCGTCACCGGCGGCGGAGGCGGCAGCGACCAACGCCGCTGCCGTACGATTCATCGTGTCTAGCCATGACGCCGAAGGCTCCTTTGCCGTCACCGTGCCTGATGACGCCGGCCGGCCGCTGCCAGATCGCCGCCGCCGTACCGGAGGCAACGGCGGCGGCGGGCTGTCCCAGATGTTACCCGAGTTGTAGGTACCGCCGACTTTGCCGCCGCCGGCGGCGCGCTCTGCCGTAGTTCGTACAAGTACGACATCCTGGTCGTCCGTGAGTACGAGCTCCGGCAGGCCGAGCAGCATGGCTGTGAGGGTGCGCCAGTCGGCTGTGTGCTCGCGCTTGGGGAAGCGACCTGAGATGGCGATGGTGAGGGCGCGAGTGTCCAGGGAGCCCTCCTTTTGGTAGTCGGCTTCGGTGAACATCTGTGGTACGGCAGTACAGAGGCAATACGGCAGTACAGCGGTGCAGAGGCAGTAGAGGGAAGGGGTTGTTGTAGGTTGGAAGTGGCGCACACATGGGGTGAGATTGAGCATGGGGAAGAAGGGCAGTGGGTGTAGGGAACAGGAGGGACGCATGTGGAGGATGCATGCCTGTTACCGTACGCAGCGGGGATGGCACCCATGGCTGATGGCACCCAGGCATCCTGTTCGGCTGACAGTCTGCTGACCCACCTTTGTGAGCAGCTCGCGGTCAAACACCAGCGTGTTGCGATCGAGGTAGGCCTCGCACATGGCTTGGGAGATGCGCCCCGTCTTCCAGTCGCCAACCTGCATGTTGTACGACAGGAAAGGTCAAGCCAGGTGGTGTACGAATGGGATGTGGAGGCGAGGTGTGCAGACGGGTGTGCTGGGAAGGGGTATCCAGTCTTAAGGTCGGTTTGCACCTGAAACCCTAACACGCAGGGTGCTGTGTTTGTAGTGGGGAGTGCAATGCAAGAGGAAGCATGGCTAATTGAATTGGTAGATTGGGTGGTGAACATGCGGCCACAGTAAAGGTCAGGTGCAAGGAGCAAACGTACCTTGCGGACCAGCGTGGGAATCACTTGGCTATCGAGATGGAGTGGAGCAGGACCCTTTCCTTTCCGCTCGGCCAATACTGCAGGCCGCGGCTTCTGCTTCTGGTCCTTTTTCGCCTTTGGGTCAGGAGCAACTTCTTTGAAGTCGAGAGTCATTGTGTCGCGTCCGGTTGCTTAGGAGGCGCAATAGATGCCGGCTACACTTTGCTAAAACGTCGACGATGGTATAACCTGGCCTCCACTTGCACTAAGGTGAGGGCGATTGCCAAATAAGAGCGCCTCGACGGTGTGTGATAAGAGTTCGAAGTGTGTGAGGACTCCTATCTCACTAAGCACAGTCCAAAAACTCTAGCAAAGCTCAAAGTCTTACTCATAAGACGTTATACTATCATATATAGGTTGCGTCTAGTAACCGCTTGTCAAAAGAATGTAGATGGGGGCACGGAGAAGGTTGATTAACGGTTTCGTACAGGGCTGGTCCTGGGTCTGACGAGTCGTTGGCATGCTTCCTGCGTCTAGGCACAGGAGTACATACCTGTTGTTAGTTATTTAGGCAAAGCTAGTATGTGTCGGGGACAGTCCACAGTTTAGATTTGATCGAAAGCCTTGCCACCAAAGAAGGCCACCTTCCCTAGAACCCCGCTTTTAACTACTTAATATGCATCAAGTATGAGGGGGAGTACGTATCGTGGTGGACACCACCACGGGGGGCAGCATGGTGGCAACCCCCTCAGGAAATACTCCCTCTTCCTTGGGCTCGCCTTAGTATTTGCATTGCTACCTACCGTGAGTTAGATCATATGTCATGGCTTTCTTCATGATCAGCGTCTTGTTAAAATGGCGAACCTTTGGGCGTAGGTACTGGTCATGCACAGTAGAGTCGACCAGTGCAAGACGATACTGGAGCGACTTGGGCGGGAGCAAAGAGGCTTTTCAGGTACAGCTCACAATCTGCAAAAGCCCAAAGCCCGGCTCCGGGCACCGTATTGACACCTTGAAATACACTGTTGGCGCAGCAAATCCGTTCAGCCATTACAACCTCTGCAAAATACGATTGCGGCTTGCGGGTCTGACGGCTGAGGCGCGTCAAAATGCTCGGGTAAGCGGCCTGCCGTAAGCGACCGCCCCGCTACCGTCCCGTGCGGCCCTTCAGGCGCTTCTCACGGATAACAAAGATGAGCCGCGCAACATGATTGGGCCCACGTTAAACCCTGTGGCCGTTGCTTCCTTAGCTCTCTCGAGCCCGCTCCCATCCTGAACACTCCCTTCCTAGCCCAATCACGCCCCGCCCCCAACCTCGCCAACAGGAGCACCCTCGCAGCTCCAGCACCGGCGGCGTAACTAGTGGTAGCAGCAGCAGCAGCGGTGGCGTCAATGCTACACAGGCTAGCAAAGATCCGCAGCAGTCCCAAGGGCAGGGACAGGCAGCAAAGCAGGATGCAGGAGGGCAGTTAGCAGGCGCCAAAATCGCGCCACAGCCACCACCCTCTCCTTCACCGCCACCGCCCTCGCCACCACCACCACCACCTTCCCCTCCCCCACCCGCACCTCCCCCACCCGCGCCGCCACCGCCCTCGCCACCTCCTCCGTCACCTGCGCCCTCCCCGCCACCTCCCTCGCCACCACCTCCCTCGCCACCGCCTCCCTCGCCAGCGGCTTCACAGCAGCAGCAACAAACGCAGCAGCAACAACAACAACAGCCTCAGCCTCAGCAGCAGGGCGGCAGCAGCAGCACGGGCACCAAGGCAACCAGCGGTCGGGCTGCCTTCCACGAGTACGACGTGTCTAAGCTGATCTCCACAGAGGTCTCCGCGACGGCCACCGATGTGCACAGCGACAAGGAGGACTGGTCGGACTTTGACCTGCCCAAGACGCAAGCGGATGTTGACCGGCTCATGGTGCGGTTTGGGGGGGGGGAGTAGGCGAGTAGCATGGAGGGGTGGATGCTTGGCTGCTTTACTGCTGGTGGAAATGTGCCAAAGGAAATGGTGACATGGGTAGCGAGGAAGAAACTAAGCAACCATGGAGACATGGTGGAGAGCCCATGAGGGCCAAGGGAGGGTTGGGGGCTGGGCTCCAGGGCTAGCTGAGCTGGGGCCTGCGGCTACTGCCTCGCGCCCTACTAGCAGCATTGGCAGTGACGCCCATAACACCATACGGTCTCACTTTTGTCTCACTCCTTCCTAACCTTCCATTCCTGTCAACCGCACGTCGCCTCTGCCCCACAGACCCTTCCACACGTGGATGAGTGCTACTACTGCAAGGTCTGCATCCCCAACTCGGCGCTGCGGCTGAAGCAGCCAGGGCAGCAGCAGCAACAGCAGCAGCAATCCCAGCAGGCGGCGGCAGCTAAGACCACGCGGCGGCGGTTGCTCAGCGCACAGGAACGAGCCAGCGAGGCCTACCGCGCCAACCCTGCGGAAGCCGAGGGCCTCATCTACGGCCTCAAACCACTTGAGGGACCCTTCTCGGCGCATGGCTTCTCAAGCGGCGGTGGCAGCGACTCCGGCTGTAACAACGGCGCATGCGGCGGCAGCCGCAGCAGTAGCAGCAGCTCCTTCCACTCCCGCAAGCTCAGTGAGTACCACGGGGCTCCTGAACAGGAGGAGGAAGACGTTACCGCAGAGCAGGCGGCTGCGGAGGCTGAGCTGTACGACAACGGTAGCAGCAGCCAGCAGCAGCAGCTGCACCGACATGGTCGGCGACTGGCGGAGGAGGAGAAGTACCAGGCGCTTGACACGACGGAGTCGGGTCCGGATTACCACATCGGCGGGCGCATTTACAACATCAGCAACATTGCGCCCGGTCGCCGCATCTTCCAGTCCAAGTCGCACCTGCCCAACTGCACGCTGTGCCGCGGCTGCGATCACACGCTGGTGGGTCGGTGTGGGTCGGCGGACCCATGGTTCAGCTGCGGCTTGTGACTCTGGATGGCGAGGCGATACTGGGTGCTGCAGACCTCTGGGCCGTACGTGGTTTTCCGTGCAATCCCTTTGTTGCTGCCGGGTGTCTTGGTGTCCGGTTCATCCACCGCTTCCCTGTACCGCCCTCCTCCCTTCGTCATCCTCTTCTTCGCCGCCTCCAACACATCCACTTCCATTTCCATCCTGCACACCCTGCAACGCCCGCAGGAAATGATGGCGTCGGGCTCCATCCTGCTTGGCTCCTACTACGCGCACGAGCCGGGCGGCAGCCCCTCCTGGCTCTTCCGCGTGCGCACCGACCGCACGGCTTCGGGCTGGGCGGTGGTCAAGGTGTGGTGCATCCCCGTGCTCAAGCCCAAGCAGCGCGGCCTGGGCATGTGCGACCCCAAGAAGGTCTACGCGCAGGTCAAGCTGCTTCTGGCGCAGCAAAAGGTGAGCTGATGCGACTGTGGCCGAGTCCTTGTTGTCGTTGTTTCTGTACTGCACGTCCGGGGACTTAATGCATGGCCTCCTTAAAACCCCCACCTGCACCCGCACCTGCACCTTCCGAACGGCCGCTTACAGCTCGCCGCTCTGTCATGCACCCTATCGATCCACCCCCATGCGCTAAACCTATTGCCCTGTTTGTCGGCCGCCGCCTCGCCACCTCTCCCTTCCACCTCTTCCTCCTCCCCGTCCCCTCCCCCTCTCCATCATCCTCCCCAGCTGACTGCCGAGTGCGGCATGAACGAGATCGTGCCCAAGGTGTGGGTGGAGCCGTTGAACGGCGTCATGCCCGGCTCGGGCTTCCACGTCAAGTGGCTGGGGCTGTGGGCGGACATCGCGGACGGGGTGTCGGTGCAGAACATCCAGGTGGGGGCAGCAGCGCGGGGGAGGGGTGAGCAACGGGGGGAAGCAGCGGGGGATGAAGTGAGGATGAAGTATGAATGTATGATGCTGGGGGCAGCAGGGGCAGGCAGCAGGGAGGTGAAGTTGCGGAGGAAGCGGGTTGGGGGCTGTGGACAGGAGAGATGCGAAGGCGTATGTACTTTTAGAGCGGGCGGGTCCTCGGGTCCTTTCCAGCGAGGGCACATGGGATAAGATGGCTCGCTGTGCTACTCCACCAGTCCACCTCTCCTCCCCCTCCTCCCGCCCATGCATGCATGGATTCCATTCACCAGGAGTTCGTCTCCTACGTTTGCCACTATTACCGGTACCTCTAACGCATAGTTCTTCTTCTTCCTCCTCCTCCTCCTCTGTTCCCCCCCCCCACCGCCCCTGCAGGAGGCCGGCAAGCCGCCCCTGCAGCCCGAGCTGCTGGTGGAGCTGCTGTCCAAGCGCATCAACCACCACGAGCTGGTGCAGGGCGCCATCTTCGACCTGCTCTTCTCGCAGTGCGACAGACACCAGCAGAACATCTTCCTCACGGAGACCGGCAAGTTCTGGCTGATTGATAATGACCAGGTGGGAAGAGGAGGGAGGGCGCGGGGAAAGGGAGAGGGGAGAGGCTTTGGGTTTGCAGCAGGGGTGGCTCCAGGGCGAGGGGACGTTTACGGGTGGTTGTATGCTGGACTTGCTGCTGAAGAGCTTGAGAAGGGAAAGTGAGGATGACGTATAGTGGCGGTGCCTCCATTCTATTGCCGTGCTGTCCCAGCTGCTGCTTCCCAGTGTGATGTGAGGCGTGCTGACCCTGCGCGGACATGATGCCGCCTCCCGCCCTGCTGTCCACCTGCTCTCCCTCGCTCACCCTACTCCTCCCCAACTTCCCCACCCTGCTCCCCAACTCACCGCCCCGTTCCGCTCTGCTCTGCGCGTGTCCCCCGCCCGCCCCGCAGGTGTACGCGACTGCCTGGCGGCGCTGCGGCATCGACTCGCTGCTGGTGCCCACCACCCAGAAGTTTATGATCAACCACCTGGTGAGAGGGGGCGGGGCGAGGGGTGCGAGAACGCTGGGTGCTGGAGGGGGGGTGGCACGAATGGCGTATCACAGTACCATGCCGGTGTGCTGGCGTGTGGTGCCGAGACGCCGTAAGGCGGTGTGCTTTCCCGCATGCTTGCTTCTCCTTCCTCTCAGCCGTGCGAATCACCAGCCGAGCCAACCCGCCGCACGTCACTCGCTGCTGCGCAGGGCTTCTTCTACGTGCTCAAGTACCCGCAGAAGAACCCGCCGCGCGGCCCCGCCAAGTTCCTGTCGCCGCTGCTGCTCATGGACTACCGCTGCCATGCGGAGGTGCGCGCGGGGCCCTGTGGGGGGGGACCTATGGGAGGGCCCTGTGGTGATGATGGGGCCGTAGGGGGGATGGAGAACGTGGTTTACTTAGTACGCTTAAGAGCCGGGCCTCGCAAAGCCGACGATGTCATCACCCTGCAGCGCCCTCGCCTTTATCCCTATCCTCATCCCTGTGCCTGCTGCTGTGCCGCTCCGTCCCCGCCCCGCGCCACCCTGCTGTCCGCCTGCATCCCCAGGGCGGCTCCATCGGCAAGAAGTTCACCCCCGAGCTGACGGAGTGCCTGTCGCACATCAGCAGCATGAGCTCGCCCGACATCCAGGAGCAGTACGGCTACCCCGTGCTGCGCATGGCGGACGCGGTGCGCAACAGGTCGCGAGGTGCGTGGGGGTGGGGGAGGCGGGTGGGGGAGGCGGGTGTGCGGATGAAGCCACATGGATGGGTGTGGATGAAGATGGATGAGGGTGAGGAGGGGGTGACCTACTGATGTTGATATTGGTATGGTTGCGTGGATGAGAGGGGCGGATTGGATGAAGGCTGTCGAAGTTGACGCATGCAGTGACTCGACTGTGACCGATTCCTGTCTGTGCGGATTGTCCACCTCCAATCCTAACCCCCAACCTCTCCGTGCCCCCTCCTTGTGTCCCCCTGCCAGACCTGCTGGCGCACGGCTACGAGTGGACGCTGCTGTACGGCCAGCCCACCAACCAGGCCATGCACCGCTACAAGATCGCGCCCAAGTGCTGCGACATGCACTTCAACCGCTCCGTCAGCAACTACGTCTGCGACACGCCAGGCTGGAGGGTAAGTACGGGTGTGCCCGCACGGCAGCATGAGCAGCAGGCTACTGTACCGGTGTTTCTAAGAAGCGACGTAAGAAAGCTGTTTTGTGGTACTTCAGTTGGCTTCAGTTGGTGGGCCTTTTCAGTGATGTATTGCGTGCATGTGTCGTACGGGCTGAGCCGTGGGCGCCATTGCTACGGTACTTATTGGAGGTACCGTTGATCCTTGTGTTGGTGCTATGCGCCTGCCGCTGCCCCTGACCGATCCTGTCCTGTCCTGTCTTGCAGCAAATGACGGAGATTCCGTACGGCAACGCATGGCACGGAGGCGTCTGGCACGGCACCAAGGGCCTGGACACGGGCTCCTATGTGGGTGGCACATCGTTCCTGCCAGAATGGTGGACATCCGCTGATGAAGACAAATGATGGTGAAAACAGCAGTTGGGTATAACAGAGGGCGCAGATTCGCTCCGAAACCTAGTCCAATGGGGACCAACTTTGAGGACGTGGTAAAAGCCAACACGAGAACTGACCTAGAAGGTTTAGTATTAGGGCCTCGTGACGCTTCTGTGATGCTGAACACCGTTTTCGCGCGCGGATGTGAACACGTTACAAGATTAGACATTGTTAGACAGCCTTCCTTTATGTTTTTACTGGGGTTTTGCAATGTTGGGGTAGCCTTGCGAGGCTATGTAGCCTGAACGCAGGTGGGATGGCGCGCATACGCACTAACACGCGGTCGTGTATTGGCTGGTTGGACTCTTCTGGGCTGGCTGAGGCAGCTATACCGTGCTTAGCTTGAAGGTGCTGACGGACCGGGTGACCGGCAGCCAGTCCTATTGAGGACTCTGGACGGACGAGTGGGGATAGCAAGGGATGGTGCGGGTAGTGTCCAAGCTGGCGTGCAACCACGAATGCGATGTGCCATTGGTGAGATGGCCGCAGCATGCTTGGGAGGATAGCAGCGGGAAAGAAACGCATTGATGGACACTGCGCGCGACTGACATGTGACATCTTGCGTGAATGCACGACTGCGCCTTTATTAGGGTGTTAGCTGTAAAGGGCTGTTCAGGTGGGCTACTTGGTTGCTGGGGAAGCCACTCTGCGGCTTAGAAGCCCCAGGACACCTTGCTGACAAGGTGAATGGAAGAATGTGTTATCAGCTTCTCACCATATTCAGAGCTGCAGGCCGTCCACTGGGTACAGCAGAGCTAGCACAAGCACACACATTTCCATCCGCTGTAGCGCAAGCGGTCGGCAATCGTATACAGGCACGACAAAGCCGTGTTCGCGGGCGTGATACCTATACCTCCTCGTTATGCGTGTCGTACGGTATGCGTGCGCAGCATTACATGATATTGAAGTGCTGGCAAAAGAGAAGAGTCAAGCCTTTCTTCAAGTGATGGCTAACATCGATAGAGAATGAGCACAGCTTGCGAGGTTGCGACCCGATCCTTGTACGTGAGCGCACGGCAGTCTAACGGCAAGCAACATACATCTCTAGTGCATGGGTCGTTACTGCATATGCACTGCAGCCTTGTAATGTATTGAACAGCAATGGACCTGAATGCAAGTCCCGCTTTTGAGTCTCCAAAAACCCTCCAATACCTGTAACAGTTCCACTAGCCATCGGCTCCATATCATACATAACATTATGCGCACTCATTAGCACATATCCGCGTCTGGATTGAAGGAAGCATGAAGGCGTTGCCGGCTGAGCGCCAACCTGGCGACTGGACGCCGTTCGTTGTGCCATGGACTTGGTATCAGGCACGGCGGTTTAGCTGGTTGTGTCCCCAACCAGTTCTGGTCATCTGTGTTGTCGATGGTGTCCGTGACGAGGCGCCTCCCATAGCGGGTGTGGTGTATCGCGACAAGCAGGCAAGTCGCTGCTGCATGACTGAGCCGGTTGAAACCCACAGCAGAGACGTCCAAGGGAAGAACTTAATCATACGTACCGGTACAACGACTAGCTACATCCTGCTGCAACCTGCAACACAACTGCCACTGCCCCACCGCCACGCACCCTTATAGCATCTCTACACGGGCACCTTCCCGCCCTGCATGGCAGCACCCCTACCGTACTCACCCCGCCCCCGTTACCCTCCCCACACTCCCCACCCTCCCCACCGCTCCCATCCTCACCGCTCGTCGTCCCCCCTCCACCCCAGTTGGGGTTCGTAGTAGAATTCAACCACATGACCCAAGTGCGCCCCTTCCTGGGCACTCACCTGCTAGACGTGGACCGGGTATCCAACCACCTGGTCTTCTACCTCACCCGCGGACCCTGCCCCTGCCAGTGCAACTGCCAGCAACCACAGCACCGCCCAGCTGACAGAGCCCCAAGCACCGGCCTGCATCCCAATGCCGCCGGCAACTTCAAACAGCACGTAGCCGCAGCAGCCTCAGCAGCAGCAGCCCTCGCGGTAGCAGCTCAAAGACAAAAAGAAGCCGCAACGCTACAGCAGCAGCAACCGCTGCTGCAGCCCGCCGCCGCCGACGGCATTCACCAGCTGCAGCCGCGACGGCACCACATCACAGCAACAGGCAGCGACAGCGACAGTGATGGCGAGGAGGGCGAGGGCGAGGGTGAAGGCGAGCCCATGCCGTTGGGTGTACGGCAAGGGGCTGTACGACGGCAACGACAACGGCGACAGCAGCAGCAGCAGGGCGGGGTGGTTGGAGTGGTGGTTCCGGAGCGGGGTCCGGGGGGGCTGCCGCAGCGGCCCTGCAGGTGCCCCTGCCATGCGGGCAAGCTGACTCAGGCGCTGGTGTCGTGGGAGGTGGCGGAGGAGCTGGAGGAGGAGCGGCTAGAGGAGCCGCCCAACAGGAAGCAGGTAGGGGGCGTGTAAGAGGGGGACGGACTGCACGTCTGCACTCCAAGGGAAAGTGGGGGCACCCTAACGCCAGAAAACAGGTAAGGGTTGTGCTCCTTAGGGTACCTGATGGGGATGTGACTTGTACCCAAACATCAGTCTAGCAGGAAACAGATATCTGGGTTGCAACAGGCCGCAGGGAGCCGCATCCCAGCTTCACCACATCCTATAGCTCCCCTAGTGAACTTACCATACCGGTACCCGTCGCTCCGCCTCTCAGGGCGGCGATGCTGCGGAGGGTCGAGCGCGAGGTGGCGCCGCGGGGGGTAGGAATGGCAGGGGAGGAGCCGGCGGCGGAGGAGGCGGTCGTGGCGGTCGTGGCAGGGGCCGCAGCAGTGCCCCGCAGCAGCAGCAGCAGCAGGGACGTAGGGCGCCCCTTCCCCGCATGACCGCATCACCGCTGGAGACCGCCACAGCCCTCGCCGCCGCCAGCGGTGCCGCTGCTGCCGCTGCTGCTGCTGCCGCTGCTGCCGCTTCTGCCGGTGCCGCTTCTGCCGGTGCCGCTGCTGCATGGCTGGGTGCAGCGCACAACACAGCAGGGAGCCCCGACTACATGGACATTGGCAGGCAGGTAGGTCACAAGCCGCTGGGCGCCTACAGTGCGGCCATCCAGGGTGGCATTACGGAGAAGCATTGTGTTCCCGCCGGCCCCTTCGTGCGGGTGCTGGTGGAACGCGATGGGAGGCTGCTGCAGGGGGAGGATGCGTCATGCATGTGTCGTATTGTGTGGTACAGCACGGGTTACGGCTATTGGCGGTTGTTCCCCACGCCAGCGCCGGCGGTTGGGTGCTTCATGGTGGGTTGGGGGGTGCTGCGGGGCTGCATGCTGGTCATGCGAGTGAGCTCGGGCAGGGCGGAGGGCGGTGGGGGCAGCAGACGAGGGCGAAAGCGGCGGGCCGTGGAGGCGAGTAACGATGCACTCGGTGGTGGGGAGGAGGAGGAGGAGATGGAGGAGGAGGAGGAGGAAGGAGGGCATGAGAGTGGGGAGGAGGAAGGCGAGGAGGAGGAAGGAGTAGGGCAACAGGGAGGCGGCAAGGCATGGGAACGGAAAGCTGAAAATTAGCGCTAGAGCTAGAGCAGGCTTGGACTTCGGATACTGACCGTACTAAAACGTAAGGGGCTGGCGCAATGTTGGGATTAGCTAGCGTGAGGTAGTTGCCTAGATAGTCACTTTTGCAGCACCATCCACCGTTTTGATTGCATGGTTTGGGCAGGTTAGGATATGTGTTTGGTTGGCGCTCGGGCGTTGCCGTCCATCCACCCACTTCTGCTTGAGTGGCGTTCGGCCCGGTGGCCTGGCGGCATGTGCCTCCAAACACGCTTTGCACTTACAACCCAATCTACAGTGCCGTACCTCTTATGGCCTTGCGATGCTGACCTCCAGCTAATGTACATACGGACAGGCGTACATATGTGTGATGTTGGCTACACTGCAGGGTTGGCTGAGATGAGAAGCGGCACTGCTACTGCGCGTTCTGCACGTTCTCTGTTAAGGGGTCTCAATACCTTCCTGGCCCCGTTACGACGATGTGCATCGTTGACGTCTGGTTTTAGGGTGCTTCCGCTCTCCAGGTTTTTCTTTTGTTCAATCGTGTCGTTCGGTTGGGTTGCGTGGAAGCAATGGTTGAGCTCGAAAGAGTGAGTGCGAAGTGGGGCTCTGCTAACTGATTAATGAGGTCAGAAGCAACTCGATGTGCGCACGACACGTTACTACGACTGGTTATACGTACGTTAATATTGTAGGGCAAGGAGGTATCTTTAATACCCGTGGGTCATGTACAGGGGTTATACAGCTATGCAAACCCTGTTCTTTTTATGGCAGTTGCCGAACGCAGGTGCTCGCGGTGTTATTTTCACCATGTGGCCTCGCTCCTTGACCATCCAGCAGACCTTACAAAAGCCCAATAACGGGCAGCGGCATCAAAACCCGCATTCCGAAGCAGTACCAGCCTCTGCCTGTACAGTCATGTATCCACTCCCCGCCCCGCCTGAAACACTACTCAAGGAACCTCGTGTCACATACTCGAGCTGCTCCGTACATGCAAATCGTGTGCGACTGTGCCTGCCTGCCCTAGCTAGCCGCCCAGAATGGTGCTGGACAGCCCCAACGCCACGTTCGGCCGGGTGTCCCTGCCGGTGATGCGTTCCGCCGCGGAGAACCCTGGAACCGCCAGCCGCTGAATGATGGTGTCCGTGATAGTTCCCAGGTTGGCTCCGAAGGTGAAGGTGAGGGGTTCAATGGGGTCGAAGGAGCCTGCGGCAGCAGCAGCCGGCCGTTCCCGGTAGATATGCCGGTGATCGATATGGGTGATAGGTATGGAGCGCGAGCCGCGAGGAGCTAAGATGGCTGCGTACGTATGACACATGCCGCTAGTCGCGACTTCACACATACACATGTGTGCAAAGAGGTGTGTGCGTGCGCCCGTACATGCTGGCAGCAAGTTGTACGGCCGGGGGTGGGGATGTGTTTGGGAGCGAGCCGGAGGGTGAACCGCTTGCACGCAGGGAAGTAAGGAGGAGCAGCGCGTTCAAGGAAGTAATGAGGAATGACGCGTGTTTTCTCGGCCTCCTACGTACCTAGGTTGTTGGTTATGATATTCCGCTGTAACACGCCTTCAAGGCCAACGAAAGACCCCATCGTCGCTGCTGCTCGTACTGTGCCGGTGTTATCTGCTGTGAAGGTCGGAAACCGGTTGATTTGGGTGCCAAATCGGTAGTTGCTGAGGCCCTGTGGATTGGCAGGATGACATGCATGAAAGCGGGGGAGGAATGTCAGTGCTTGTTTGTAGTGCGTGGGTTGCAACGTTGCATGCATTGAAGTGCCCTCGTCAGAAAACTATCCCATAGGTAGGTAGGTAGGTCAACAAACCAGCCAGCATAGGGCATGCATCAGCTATACGAATGCGCATCCGCCCCTGCATGCGCACCTGCGCACCCAGCGACCCCCCAGCCAGCACAGGGCTGTTTCCAAACTGAAACAGGTAGTCGTAGGTGTACGGAATGATGAGGGATGTGGGCGCTCCACCGATCCCTCCAGCTATGGTGACGATGGGTGTTGTCTGCACGCAGCTCACGGTTCCGTTGTCGTCCCTCACGAGGCTGAAGAAGGAGGCGCACTGGGACTCAGCGCAGGCGGCGAGTCCGGAAAGCGCCGAACAGTTAAACTGACAGTCCAGGGGTGGGGTCAAGGAGCGGTATTGGGACAAGGGGTAATGGCAATGGTACAGGGGTAGTGGTAATGGTAATGGTAACGGTAATGGCAATGATACCGGCAGTGGTAAAATGCGCAAACGTAATAACCTAGACGCGGTTTGTGTGCAGCACGCTGTGTCTTGTCGAAGAACATGCAGAACCTGTGGAGCTGGTAACGTCTAAACATTCTTGTGCGACCCATGGGTCATACCCAAGTGTACCTTTTCCAAAGTGGCAATCCTGAGCCGCTAAGTTGTTGCGGCTCTAAGCCACCATTGAACAACTTCCACTACCGGTACTCACGTTCAAGTCCTGCACCGGTACGAGGAACGACTGCGCGAGGTTCTGTGCTCCTATGCCGCGGTTTGCGCCTGAACCAAGTTGCAGCAGGCGCCGCGCTGCCTGCGTGACCCGCAGCTCTCCTCCTTCTCCTCCTCCTTCCTCTGGTCCCATGTCTAACGCTGCTGCGGGCGATACCAGGCCCTTCCATGGCGGCAGCAGCTGCTGTGGGGGCTCTCGAAGGAGTATGTGACCCTTGTTTGCAGGACCTACTGCTGACGGCCTCTCCTGATGCTGCACACCCGTATTGCTGCTGCTGCTGCTGCTGCTCAGGTAGATGACAGCAGCAGCAGCAGCAGCAGGTGAGACGCCGGGCGAGAGCCGCCATGCCGCAGGGTTCACGGCCTCTTCACGGACTCTTGGCGGCCAGTCAATAGTGGCACCGAGTGTGGTGTTGGCTGCTGCAGCCTCGTCAAGAAGTACCTCCTCCATGGTACCTGCAGGTTTACCTTGGTTGCGGTGCTCCAACCTTGCTGTCTTCGCCGGGTCCGGACGGCGGGAAGATTCATCAAGCTCATTAGCCGTGTTAGGGTACGTGGCATCCCGTTCGCCGCGCACATGCCTGGCCGCGGTAACGGCGGTGGGGCTGCCGTCAGTGGAAGTGTAAGCAGCAGGTCCCGCCGCCCGCCCCGTTAGCCCTGCTGGGTGCTGCTGGATTCCGGAGTCCAGTTCAATTTGCCGCGGGCGTTCCGAGGTGCCAGCAGGGGCTGTGATCACTGCTGACCAAATCAGGGGTACTTGTGTCGCCGTTTCAGTGCGGCTGCGGTTCGTTACTCCGGAATCTGATGTGCTACTGCTACTGCCGCTGCTGCCATCTTCAGTGAAAGTGCGGCTACTGTAAATACTGTTATCAATGCTGCCGGTACCAGTCGTACAACCCTGGTTGATGCCGCTGCTGTTGCTCCCAGCTTTGCTGCAGGGGCTGTACGGTGTAACGGGCTGTTCGTACACCACCTTTCCTATGCCATCCTTCACGTCGTACACTCCTCCAGCCGCATGCCGGCCATGGGGACGGCTAACAATCTCTACGGCGGCTTCCTGCCTTGTGGGCAAGAACATGTCGTCGCCTGCTGCTGCCGCTGTGCCCGCTGCTCTGTTCCCGGATGTTGCCGCCTCCGCCACCACCGCGTCAGCCTCAGCCGCGGCCGCGGCCGCTTTCGCATTCCGTAGAGGTGTTGGTGAGAACCGCTCTGACGGAGGCTGAGGTGGAGGCCTCTGCAGGTACTCTAACGGCTCCGCATCAAAGTGCCAACAGAGCTCCTCACCAGCCTCATCAAAGTCGTATCCGTAATCCCACTCGTTCCGCATGTTGCAAAGCGTCAGGGACAACCCAAGCCGTGCCAGATGCTCTACATGCTGAAGCGCTGCTGATGCCGCCCCCTGCTGCGTTTCCACCGCTTCATCCTCCAACGATGTAGCAAGCACTGCTGTTTCGTCAAGGTAGGCAACAGCCAGGTCGTACGTCTCTTGTTGTACATCATCTGTTGCAGCCATCAGACCACCGTCAGAAGACCACCACCAGGCAGCTTCCGCTGCAGCATGGTCCTGCTGGACTTCCCTGGGAGGAAGGAGGGACTTCCCTGCTGTTGGTGCTGCTGCTACTGTTGCTGCTGCTGCTGTTGCTGCTGTTGGTGCTGCTGCTGTTGTAGCAGTAGTAGAAGTAGAGCTCTGCTGCTGGGCTGCTGCTGCCTGACTAAATGTGACGAGGGGCGCTAGAAGGAGAAGGAGAAGTGAGAGGAGAGCGAACATGGATACCGCCGTTTAAAAGCGGTTGGCGGCAACGCTGGTAATGACACCCGCGGCAATGACGCTTTTAGCCCAGTCCATTAATGCTCCCCAGCAGGCGCCATCGATGCTCTAACATCCGGCCTCAAAAGTGTTGCGAATAACTTGTTACCCTGAGGGAGTTACCATTACGACGGACTATTACTTGGCTAGCGTAAAGGGAGGAGGGATTCGGCTGTGCCGATGTGCGTCACAGTTGGGGAGCTAGAGGGTTTCGGAGCCCGTTGGGTGTTCCAAGAACCCTCCTTTTTAGCCCCATTGACCTGTGCATCCATGCCACGTGGGGCAACCTATTTAACGCTATTCACATTATGGCTTGAAATTGGTTAATGTGTATTGTTATTGTTACATGGCTAGGTATGCATGCAGCGGGGTATGCTAGCGGGTCCTCTGTGGCCGGCACGGGGCGAGCAATACCTCAACGGCAGTTATTGAAGCAAAGGCAGCAATGAATGTGAATTTTTACTCGGTCGGGGACGCCTAACGCAAAGCAGACGCCCTCTGGCAGCAGCAGGAGAAGCAACAACAGGCAACACAGGGTCTATAGATATGAACACTCATGCTAGCTTCCAGGTCGTCCTGCACACCAGCAGTCTGGCTCCATGCAACCGCCTCACCTGCCGTACATGCTGCCGTACAACGGTACTGCAGCTGCTACAGCTTACGCTCCTGCAACTGTTGTTGCTGCTACGGCGAGATTGCAGCGCGGCTACAGCTGCTGCAGCCTCGTTACCAGTAAATGCCACACCAGCAGCAGTAGCAGCAGCTGGTTTCAGTAGTGCATTGGACGGCGGCAGTAGCAAAGACTCTGCTGGCACCGCATCTTCGCTGGGAACGGCTGCAGCAAAACCAGCAGGGGTCGTTCAGCAGCATGCCCCAATGCCAGCAGGTCATCAGACCGCAACGCAAGCAAACCCGGATTCGCGTCCCTTGGCACCCACCGGTAGTACGGAGGATGACACTGCTGCTGGACACAGAAAACAGCATCAGCATGCGATCGGCGGGCCGCATGGCGCCAGCAGCAGCAGACGACGTACACCGGGAAGTACCGGTCCCCATGCAGCGGTGCTGCCACAGTCGCTTGAGGAGCTGCGATCTCTGCTGGCGAGCCTGCTGCCCGGCCTCAGCAGGGGTACCGGTAATGTAAGTGTGTGACGATGAGGCCGGGCCAAGCGGCCGGCGTATGCCGGTATCCTGCCGCATGGGTTAGGAGCTAAGGGTGGCAGTCTCAACCTGCCGCCCTCCAAATTGACTTTGCTTTCTTGCCTTGCAGCAGGGAAGCTGGACGATGGAGAACCACGGGTCGTCAGCATCTCCGCGCCAACCGCATGATGATGGGCGGCGTGCTGCTGCTGACGGTGACTGTGGCACGGGGGCACCATCCGCAGCTGCTGCTGCTGCCGGTGCAGCTGAACAAGCAGCAGCTGCTGCTGCCGGTGCACAGCAGCTGCCCCTGCTGCCACATCGCCAGCTCCTCGAGGCTTCAGGAGGCCAGCAGGGGGCTGTTTACACCGGTACGGACGCTATGCAGAACCAGCAGCAGCAACACACGCAGCTAGCAGCAGCCGCATCAGCAGCCTCCGCGGCATCCGTGGGTATGCCGTTGGGCGTGCTTCAGGGCCTTGCGGAGATGTACGGGTTGGCTTCGGCTGTTGGGCAGTTTAGCTCCACCTCCGCGGATACCATGACGGATGCTGCCGCTGGCGAGCCTCCATCAGCAGGCGACACCACCGCAGCGGTTGCCATGGGCAGTAATCTAGCAGCAGACCGTAGCAGCACAACGCAGGCAGGAAGCAGTAAAGCAGGCAGCACTACTGCTGTAGCTGCAGGTGCCACCAGCGAAGGCATCAGCAGTAGAAGAAGAACTGACAACCGTGCAGGCGTCGCGGCAACGGCGGTAGCGGCGAAAAGAGCGGCTGATGAGGCTGATGAGGCAGCAGGCACAACGGGCGGCAACAGACCCACAGCAGCAGGCTCTGCTGCTGCCTCCGTCATTGGGGGTCCGGCGAGTGGACACCCCGGCTCACCAAGTGCGATTACGCCGTCCTCGGCTGCTGCCTCCAACAGCACCCCGCAACCCCGTCCTGCATCCTTGAAAGCCGCAGCTGCTCACTTACCCAGGCCAAGCAAGGCCTTGGCGAGCGGCGACGGCGATGACCCACGGGTCTGGTCGTCGCAATCAGCAGCAGCAGCAGCAGTACCCGATAATCCGTCTCAGAGCAACCCGCTGCCCAGGCTGAAAGCATCCCAGGACTCCGTTTCAGTAAAGATGTCCCTTCCATCTGCATCGGTACCCTCAGCGGTTGTCCTGCGTCGGATACCTCCCAAGGGCATCGCATCAGCCTCAGCTGCCCTCCTAGGCGCCTGTGACACCGCAGTAACGACTGGAAGCAATGTTGCTGGTGATGGTGGCGACAACCACAACACCAACAAGGCCAGCCCTGCAGGTTGCAGCACTGGCAGCAGCAGCATCAGCAGTGGCGATTCCACTACTTTACCCGATCACATTCTGGATCCAGATCTCTACGACGCGGATTACGTAATCCCAGATGAGCACCTCATGGACAATGCACTCTTTGACCCGGTTTACCGGGTCGGCATGGCCCCTCTGGAGTGCAGCGACCCGCATGCGGGACCCCTCCCAGGACTCTGCAGGGCAGCTCATGCACCCATGCTGACTCAGCTCCTGCAGCCCCTGTACGACGATGACTATAGCCAGGATTTTGGATCTGCCGTACATGGCACCCCGGAAGCGGTGTACGGACCCGCGGGTCAGTTGGACGCCCTGCATGCCGCAAAGCTGCTTAGCTCCGGCACAGAGCCGCACCCTTGGTCCATGATTCCTCCGGATCACAGCCGTGTGGGGTCCGGCATGACAAACAATGCGTCTTTGACTACAAACACCCCTGCTGCCGATGCTTTGTCACTAGCAGCTTTCAGGAATGGAACAATCAGCTTTGTCAGCGGTGGAAACGGGACTGCCGGCGGCTTCAGCAGCAGCGGCTATGTGCCGTATACGAGCCGCGTTCTCTTTTCCACCATCCCCTTCCTGCTCAATGTTCCGTACCCGGTGTCACTGTATGCGGGTACGTTGTACCTCTCAGAGGCTGACCCGTTGCTTGCAGCGATTGGGAGTGCCGCCAGAGGGGGCTTACTACTCGATTACTACGTAAGTACAGGAGATCAAGATGCCGTACAAACCTGCTCACTCACTCGCATGCCCCACATTGGGACAAACCGTCGCGCCATGGCACATGACATACCGATGACAATCCCTTGTGACCCCCTGTATGTGCGACAGTAATAGGTCAATTTTAGCTGCGGCCTGGTTAACCCCTCTATCTCCTCCCCTTACCTCCTACATTCATGGCGTGCTGCATGGGTCATGTTGCCTGATCTGGCAACAGTTGGAGCGCAACTACTACACGCCATTCACGTTCGCGCGTGTGGGCCCCAGCGTCGTAAGCACGTGGGCTACCACCGCTCGCTCCCGAGGACAGGTGGGGACGCGCGCGGATACATGCCTGCTGTGTGCGCTTGGGTCAGTGTGTGTGCTTCCATGCGTGCAAGCGGAGACGAAGAGAGCCCTGAGCCTGGCTAAACCGGCGTGCCGTTACCCATGCCAGTCCGGTACACAACCCCTGATCGGTCAGGATTTATGTATGAATGGTGGCAGTGCAAGAGGCCGTAAGGATGGCAGCTAGTGCCCAGAATGTCAGCATGTGAGCGGCCACAGCAAACCACTTCAGTGCTCCTGCTACTCTCCCCAGCCCGCCTCTCACCCATACACACACGCACACACAACCCACATTTGAGACACACTCCCTAACTCGCCCCAACTTCGCTCCTTGCATACCTCTCCACAACTCCACAATCCAGCTGCACCGCTCCCGGGCGGCATCCCGCTGCCCTCTCTGGCCCCCTCGCTCTCTCTCCCCAACATCATGCATGCATGGTCGCCACACAGCCGGCTTTCTCCTTGATTGTTACTCTCTCTGCCCTGCATGCCTCTCAGTGTACCCTCGCGGCTCAGTTCACCCAATCCCTGCCCTAACAGATCGGCATGGCCGCCAAGGCGCGCGCACTGGCTCAAGCGCTGTACAGCTACCAGCGCAGCCGCTACTTGGCCAACGACGTGCAGGTGGCGTTCGGCATGCGCGCCTTCGCCGGCAGCTCGGTGGGGATGTACTTGTTCAATAACCCGCTAATCAACAACCAGTTCCTGCTGCAAGGGCCAGATCTGGGGCCGTGATAGGGAGCTTGTTGGCGGGTGCGGTGGCTTCGTTGACGTGGCATGCAGATGTAGATGCAGTTGATGTGGCGGGGCAGCTGAAGTAGGTACGGTATGCCGTACACCGTGACATTGCATGTTGGTGCACATTAGATGGGTTAATATGGATCAAGATTCCGCATTAAGCTGGATTTTAGGATTAGATGGGTGGGGTGTGCTCGCGGGAGGAAGGGGAGGATACGATAAGGTTGGAAGGTTCCAATTCTGCGTTCTGCGTGCCGTGTGTGTTGCTTACATACAAGGGTGGCCACTTCGCCTCTGCGTATGGCGCTGAAGTCCGCTGAACACCGGAACACCCTGAGCCCCGAAGTTATGACACATCCGAAGTTCCCACCCTTGCCACGCGATTAATCTAAATGAAGCGCGCAATTGACACGCAAGCTGAAGGCACCGTCCACTTAACTCCTATGCTTTGCTGCTCTCCCTCCGCTATTTTACCATGCCTCTTCCTGCCAAGTCGCCTTAGTGAAGCACGAACCATTTCAGGTACAAGGGCGCCTGACAGCTCAACTCTTCGCGCTCGGTACAAAACTGTTCCCGGGACTAACCGGTGCAAACCGACCAAAAAAATACCAGGCTTCGAGGATCTAACTGGGTCAAGATCTAATAAGCAACGCAAACCCTTATAGCTCACGTACCTATGTACGCTTTGTATCGGAAAACGCCCTGCAAAGCTACATGCTATCCACAGAAGCGGCGCCTGGGCACCGCCTACCGGAAACCAAGGTTGAGACCAATGAACACCAAAGCCCGCACGTCCCATGGGTCGCTGGATACACCCAACCTTTGCAACGACCACTCCAGCACTCCTGCCCACATTGCCACATTCCTCCTCTCTCCTGAACGGTTTACCTTCAAAGGCCACTAGAGTCTCTGTTGTAGAGGCCAGAGACTCCGCAGTTACGGCCCATGCATCTTTGCCCGGGAACCAGTGTCTTCTCAGCCAAAGCACGGCCTCGCATAACGCCCCAAGAACGCATGCGGGCCGGATAGCCGTTACTTGTCGTAAAAGTCTCCTCAAAAAAGCATATAATAAGGAATAACGCAGCTGCGAAACAGCAAACAATAGCAACCCAAAGCACGTTGGCTGGGATCCGCTATCGACGAATGCGTTATTCGTAAACTCATCGTGAGCATTAGCGGCCATTGTAAAACGCCACCAATGTTCCTCGAGGAAGGAATTTGGCTAAATAAGCAGGCCGAGCCATGCAAGCAGACTTATTCTACGCACATCTCGCGAACCTCCAGGCTTCGCAAGCATATACCCATGCCAGCCAGTCATGCTCGAGCGAAAGACGCCGCTGCCACAGCAATGATGGCGGCGCGGCGCAAGAGGATGGGACACCCGAGGTTCCCGCCTCCGGACAACAAATCCGAGCAATTGCTGTTCAACCACAACCCCCAACCTCCAACTTCCAACCGTACACAACCGTCGCTCCTAAGAAGCTTATACGACGCACTTCCGACGCATTGACACGGACACAACACAGAGACAACACCGGCCGAAAGTAGAGAGAAGAGGTAACAACACGGCCGGCGGTGCCATTACTACATACGTGATGTACGAGTCAACCAGGCTGCGGTCCAAACGAGCCCGCCTTTTCCAAAGCGCGAAGGTGACGGTACCGGCAAGACCCAAGCCTCCCATCCTTGGGACACACCAACGCCGCGTACATGGCAGTCTGCACTGTGCTCGGCAGACAGCTACCAGGATCCACACATCCCCTGAAAACGGAAAGCACACGCAGCCCTGCATCCCCCCGTGCTGCACCCGCCGTTGCTTTGGAGGTTGAGACTCAGCTTCGCTCGGCATCCACGCCATGCCGTTCATCCGCTGACCTGCCAGGACGCCTCTCGAGACGTAACCAAGGGCTCAACTCCTCAACCCCTTATTATCACGCTCGCTTAGGCTGCTGGGTGATGCTGCCAGCAGGGTTATCGCTCCACCATAACTGCCTCCTAGCTTTTTTCTGTTTAGCAAACACAGAAAGCCCGACCGCCGCACCCTGGATCGCCCATTGACCTTTGCACATGCTAAACCCGCCGTTGCAAGGCCATGCCAACGGAAAACCGATCAAGCCAACTCAAAAAAGGCAAACTCGCGGCCAACACGCCACAACTCATCGAGGGTTGCGATGTATGGACCTTCCAGCAACCCTCCAGAACCCTCCAGTCCTAACCAGCTCTGCAGCGACTCCAAGGGTGAGGGCTGTCTGCCCCATACTCCTCAAACTCTAAGCATTCGCCACCGAAGACACTGCCTGTACCGCAGCTGCTCCTGCTGCTGCCTCTGCCGCCCCCGCATCAGCATCTCCGCCTTCTCCAGAAACAGCGGCGAGGGCTTCCCCAGAGCCCAGCGGCGGAAGCTGAACCGGCAACCCGGGCGCTATTGAAAGCTCGGCTGCTTGCGCATGGGGCTGCGTTGCCTGCGGCGGAATGCTAGGGCGGGGCCGGGGACGTGCGGCCAGCTGCAGCCGCTGTGGCGATGGCCCGGGCGGAGAAGACGTTGAGGAAGAGCGGTGCCGAGTTGGAACGCGCGAGGATTCGGAGTCGTCCATGCTGCCGCCGTTGCTGCTTCCGCTGCTGGGCTCATGCAGAGCCGAGGGATACCGCTGCTGAGCGGGCGGGTGCTGGTGACGGGACGCAACAGGACCGGAAGGCGGAGTGACGTTGTTGGCAAATGGTGACCTAGCGGCTGACATCGGGGACGAAGCGGAGGAGGAAGAGGAGCTCCTTCGCTGGCGCTGCACCGCAGGTCGGCTTGGCGGCGGTGTCGGCGGCGCATGTGGGGTGCCGTCCTCGCCGTCGGCTGCTGCTGCTGCTGCTTGCCCGGTTGTGGCTGCCCTGCTGCTGGCCTCACGCACCTCTCTGGACCCAGCAGTGCTCGGCGCGGAGCCCGGTCGCTGCGGATCTCCGCCTAAGGAGCTGGGGTGCAGGGGGGCAGGAGGAGAAGCCGTGTGACGTCCCGCCGGACGGACCGTACGGCTGACGGCACCGCTGTCATGGCTGCCGCTGCTGCCGCTGCTGCTGCCTTCACCACCCGTGCTGCCGCCTGCCGCACCAACACCGTTGCCCCTACCGTGCTGCTGCTGCGCATGCTGCGCGTGCTGGGATTGGTGTTGCTGCTGTGGGAAAGGCTGGCGGCTGTGCGGCGAATGTTGATGTGGCGGGACCGAGCCCGGCGGACCGAAGCCGCCGCCGCCACCCATGCTGCCAGCCGGGGCCGCAGGGCCCATCAAGCCCAGGCGGATGTTCCTCGCCTGCTGCTCAACCGGCGCGACACCAGGCCGACCCATGGGTCCGCCGCGTCCCATCAGCCGCGCTCCAACCATGCCCGCCATGCCCATCGCCATGGCGCCACCGACGGCATGGTGGTGCGGCGGTCCCATGGGTCGCGTGTCAGTGGAGGCTGCGGCAGCGGAGCGTCTTCCGTCACCACCGCGCCTCGCCGCCGCCTCCGCCACTGTCGCCGCCGCCTCCGCCGCTTGACGCCGCCGCTTCAGCCAGCGCGCCACCTCCACCGGCACCACCGTGATAGAGCCGCCGACGTAATCCATGTCCATCCATACCTTCATTCGCTGCAACGTCGCTGCCACCGCCAGGCCTGTCGTTGTATCAGCCTTGTATCCGCCGCCGCCGCTAGCGTCACTGCCCCGCTCGCTCGCCTCCTCGTCCTCCGAGCCCTCCCAGCCCTCCTCATCCTCATACCGCCAAGGGTCCCTAGCCGCTTCGTCCTCGTCCTCGTCACCGCTCAACGCCGCCTCCAGCTCTTCATCGTAATAACTGCGTACGGCAGACGCCCCCGGACGGCCGTACATGCCCTCCACATTCGTACCGTCGGCGTGTGCAGGGGCCGTGGCGGTGGCGGCGGAGGCGGCGGAGGCGGTGGAGGTTTCCGTACGGAGACGGCGGGCTCGGGCTCGGCGACGATCGTTGCGTCGACGCAGCTTGGCTGCCGCGTCAGGAGGCATCTGGGGGGTATGTGTGTTGGGGAGGGGAGGGGCGAGTCAGTAAGAGGGAGGCGTTGGGTCAGGCGAGTACAAGGGGGAACGCGCAGGGAGAGTGTACGGCAGGTACATGTCGAGAACAAGTGGTTGGGCACGAAACCCTGTTAACAACCCACTATAGCCCTTACCGAGGCCGTGTAGCGGTTGACCACCCTCTCCACGTACGACGGCCACTTCACCAGATCCGGGTCAAACGGCGGAACCAGCAACGTAATCGGATGGTAGTACGACGCCCTCCTTGCCGCCGCCGCCGCCGCAGCAACAGCAGATGACCCGCCGGCTCCGCCGCCACCTCCGCCAGCGGCGCTAGCCGCGCTCTCCGCCGCCGCCTCCGCCTCAGCCCACCTTCTCGCCGCGCGTCGTTCCAAGTTGAAGAGCATGTGCAGGACATACACCTCAGCCACCACCGGCGGCATGCGACGCATGTCCATGACAAGCGGTTTGTCCGGGTCGTAAGACGGCAGCAGCCCGCGACTGATCGCCTCCTCCAGCACCACGAAAGCCCTGTGTTGCGGGGCCGCCAGCCGACACGTGACAGGAACACATGACACTTGTACACTCGTACGGCAGAAGAGAAGCGGGGGCATGGGCATGGGCAACGCAAGGCAACTAACCACCAAGTTATGTACGACGCGCTGCTGTTGTGCCCATGCGACCAACGCAAGGGGGTACACGCCGCCTTCTACGGACACCCGCCTTACACTATCGTACATCGCCGCGCACGGCACGCACCTGGGTTCAAACGCCACCTCGAACACGTCCATGCGGGACCGCAGCGCGATGAACGGCGAGAGGTGCGAGGCAGCTGCTGCCGCTGCCGCTGCCGCCGCCGCACCCTGCGCTGCCCCCAGCCCGCCGGGCACACCAGCCGCCGCAGCTGCTGCTAACCCAGGGTTGGGATCCTCCGGAGGGAGCATCTTGGCACGCATGCAGTTGAGAAGGCTGCAGTGGCGGGGAGGGGAGGGGATTAATAAGGATACAGGGGGGTAGGAGAGGGGAAGGGCAGGGGCGGAGTGCAAGTGCAAGAGAGGCAGGGAGGGTTGTTGGCGCGATGCAACGGCAGGGGGAGGGCGTGGAGGAGGTGGTGATGGGGTAAGCTGGCGGCGACAGTTTTAGGGGCATACAAGGAACATGCCCCAGCGAATGGCCCTTCTCGTCCCTTTTCCTTGCATCTTCCCTTCCTCCTTCCCTTCTTTCAACCCCCCTTCTGCCCCTTGCCTCCCTCGTCCTCACATGTCTAGCAGCTCCAGGGTGGGTCGGAAGCCGCGGCTCATCATGTGGTGGAAGGCGGACAGCGCATGGCTGGACCAGTCCACCTCATCCGGCCGCCCGTCGAAGGGACTCGAGCGATGCGAAGAGGAGGAAGAGGAAGTGGAGGAGCCCGACCCGCTGCTGCTGCTGCCGCCTCCCAGACCCCCACCTCCGCTGCTGCCGCCGCCTCCGCCCCGTCGCAGCTTGTGCCCTCCCAGCACCTCCAGCACGCGTTGCGCCTCCTGCCGGCGGTCCGCCGGCATGGCCAAGCCAAGCGGTTGATGGTGCTGGTGCTGGTGGTGCTGGTGGTTGTGGGGAGCAGCGTTGTGCGCGTGCTGGCTGCTTCCGGGCTGTGGTGAATTGGGCTGTTCCTGGTTCTGTTGCTGCTGCGAGTGGGACTGTTGCTGAGGTTGTTGAGTCGAGGAGGAGGACCCAGTGGTCGTGTTGGCGCCATCACTCGCCTCAGCTGCTTGCCCCGCCTCGCCTGCCTGACCCGCCTCACTCGCATGGGTCGGTTGAGCATCCGCAACAGCCGCAGCCGCCGCAACCCCCGCCGCATGCGCTGCCGCCAGATGCGGCGGGTAGCCCCCCGGCGTCCACAGGTAGCGGATTTGGTTGTAGCAGGCCTTGATGAGCATGTAGTAGATGGTTTGCGCGAATTTGAGTTGCAGGATCTGGATCTTGTTTGCATGCAGCAGCGCAAACACCTGGAAGGCCAGCCCCGCCTGGTCGGTTAGGGCGCATGCGTTGATGAGGATGCGGTAGGTGTTGAGGTTGGGGCGCCGGCCGGCTGCAACCATGTCGCTCAGCAGGCTGACCACCTCGCCGAACCTGGTGACACGAGCGGGGCGGAAAACACAAGAGCGGGGGGAAATAAAGGAGCGGGGGAAAGGGGCGGGGGAAGAGTCAGGGTATAGGGAGCAGAAGGCATGCGTGCAGCCCTCCTCTATGACCACCACTCCATGCACCATTCCACCCATCCATCCATCCCGCCTCTCCATCTGAATTCCACCGTTTCACTCCCGCCTCCCCCCCCCACCTGAACTCCATGGCATACACATCCATCAGCCGGTTGAACTGCGACTGCACCGGGAACACCCCCTGCCGCGCACACAGGTCGTACACCCGCCTCGCCAGCCCCACGTTTCCGCGGTTCAGGCAGGCGTGCATGATGGCCGACACGGAGGTGCCGGAGGGGCGGATGCCCTCCGCCGCCATCTCGCTCAGCACCTCGAAGGCAGTATCCAGGCGCCCGCAGCGGCCCGCGACCGCCATCAGGCAGGCGAAGAACTTCTTGTCGGGGCGTACGGCACAGCGCTGTAGCGCGGAGTAGATGTCCAGCGCTCGCTCCCAGGCATGCGGGATGGGCAGCATGCAGGCGGACAGCGCCTGCGTGTAGATCTTGACCTCGGTGGTGAAACCCTGAGCGGCGGGGGGAGGGGGTGGGGTGTGGGGCGGTGGGTGAAAAAAATATATAATGAGACAATATAGGATGTGGGGTGGTGGGTGGGGTGGGGTGGTGGGTTGAGGAGTGGAGTGGAGTTGTGGTGGACCGGCGCACCGGTGAGAGTCAGGCGGACAGCAGTACCGGCAGGCGAGCAGTGAGTGAGCAGCAGTCTGGTAAGCCCCTCATTCGCACCCTCCAACCTCCGACCTGTCCCTCAACCCCTCCTGACCCTTCCAACCATATTGCCGTTTTACTCCTCTGTGCCCCCTCCTCCTCCATTCTCGCTTTTCATTTCTTCTTGACCCAATCTCAACCCCTACCCCCTTCCCGTACCCTTACCCTCCAGTTGCAGCACTTCTCATTTTTTTTCTCCCCTCACCCTGCTCCCTCCCCCACCCTCACCCGCTGCATTTGTCTTGTGGCGCCCTGCCAACTCCTACCCCCATTGCTTTGCCCTAACTTGTGGTCTCCTATGGTTTGGTATGGTCTTTGACCCCCCCTCACCCGTTGCATGGCCACCTCGTACACCCGCAGCGCCTTCTCCGGCTGCCGCGCGCACACACACGCCTCAATGAGCGACCCATAGGTCGGCGCGCCCGCCTGCACCCCGCGCTGCTGCATCATGCCCAGCACCTCAAACGCGCGGTTCAACTCGCCGCTGCGACCCGCGCACACCATCAACGCGTTCCACACCGGCGCCTGCAGCGCCACCCCCGCCGCCTCCGCATCTGCGACGTACTGAAAGGCGCGCTCCAGCAGCACGTACTGGTCCTTGCGTTCGTGTACGACGGTTAGATCTCGTTTCATGGCCTCCGCGCAGGTTGCGATGAGCGTGCCGTACACGTGGGAGTCGATGGTGTAGCGCGCGGAACGCAGTTCCAGGAAGATGCGGTAGGCTTTGTCCACATTGCCCACGGACTTGCAGACTGGAGGAGTGTGGGAGGTAGGAGGTGGGGGTGAAACAGGAGAAGGTGGGGGTGGGAAAAAGCATATGGGAGGAGGGGTGACTGGATGGACTTTGGGGGGAGCCCGGACGGGAGGGATGTGTGGAGAAAAACGAAAAGAGGCGGGCAGAGAAAGCTAGTTGTAAAGCGCATTGTGTGAACGCAAGGCTTGTCAGTCTCGCGCATCCTACAGATGGCATCGTCATTAGTGAGAAGACGTACGGTCAACTACCCGTTGCAAGTTTCCCAGACGGCCTGCGTACCCTTCATCAACGTTGTGAGCATTTGCACGTCAACAGTGCAGCCGCTTCTGCGCGCCAGATCGACGACGGTGAGTCCGGCATCGAGGTCCCTGCATTTCGCGCATGCCTGCAAGACGCTGGTAACGAGCTTTGCCGGTCTCTTCGCGTGTGGCAGCGCCAGCTTAAGCAACTGCACTGCTGGTTTGACCCTTAGGCTCAGCGCAACCTCCGTGATAAAAGAGTCATAATGCCATCTGCGCGACAGATCGAAGCTGCAAGTGTAACCTGCGTCCGTCAATCGATCGGTGAAGCAAACAGCGTACCTTCTAAACACCGCTTCAACAGTCGACTTGCTGCATCCCTGCAGGACTCGCACAACCGTATCATATTCGCCTTGCTTCGTCAGCGATTTCAACGCTGCTACCACTGAGGCCGTGGCCTTGCCCTTTAAGGCTGAAAGCACCTCATCTGCAGAGGTATTATTGTTATCGCTCGTAGATGCAGGAACGTTGCGCGTTTCAGCGTTCCAAATGCTGGAGCTGCTTGTCAGTACCGACGAACTGAATTCCTCTAACTGTTCATCCGTAAGAGGAGTGTTCCGTTGTAGCGGTCCATCGCCCGCAGGCAATTGTGTGGCATGCTGGACTGGGCGAGGCCCTGAGGAGGGAGCGCGCGACTTATCCCTCAAAGCGACTTGCGTAGCTGGCGGCGCGAAAGCACCAGCAGTGTAGCGAGCACGCGTCGCTGGAAGCTCATCTGGTTGACTGGGTTCTAGCTGGTCAAGGCGTGGAGCTGAAACCCGTGCAAGACACGACCTGCACATGCCCATGCGAGACTGGCGGTTCACAACGCTTGCACACCGTTGTAGCGCTGACGAGCTGAAAGCGAAAGCATCAGGCCAATGTAAACGAAACTGCTTTATAATGTGCTAATGCTTACCTAGCTGCGTGGACGTCCCGCACCGGAAGTGCCTGACAACGCTTTACAACTCCAGTGACCGCGTGCGACATAAGCAGTCCTGCTGGCCAGAGGCCAGCAATTCGTCTGTGACCAAGCTATAAAGTCCCGTAAATGAGCTAAAAGCTGATGAATATGCCAAAGAGCCGTGGAAAGTCTTTCAGAAGATGTTCAGCTTCTTGGCAAACTCAAGAAGGTCAATGAGGATCGATATCAATCTTACGTAGACGCCGCATTGAAATCCTGAACACACGTGGGACCGGAAAGCTTATCCAGTGACCGGTACTACATAAGCCCCAAGCGCCAAGCAACCGTTCACCTTTCAATCTTAGGACAATGGGTTTACGCCAACTCAAGATGCCATAACCAACGTTGGAGCATGTGTGCTAGGACGTTTGGGAAAAGCATCCAGTGACGGCGCTTCAACTTCATTAATTTGGGTTATGATGATCCTTAGCGCAATGACAAATAATTGTGGGCCGGGATCATAAGCATTGGTAGAGCGGTGGAGAAAGCATGACGTTTTGGTTGTTCAGGAGCGAATAGAAAGTAAGAAATGTCCATATGCTTGCTTGGGCATAGGCAGCATTCTATATGTCTTCACTGCAGGGTCTTATTTGCAAAAATTCGTTTTGCTAAGCATCTTAGCCCTTGTTTTATGAGGCCAGCTAGAATGTGCAAGACAATAAGCAAGGACTTCTTAAGGATACTTCTAACGACTTGGGAGAACCGTGGAATTGCCTTGTATTTAGCGTAAGCACAACATGCATATGGATTTACGTAGGTGTGAACACCATGGTTGGGCACGGTCGTACATTGTTTCTTCTACCTACAGACTCAGGCCAACACGGGCAACTTCAATTGCACCTTAGCTACATTCTGCAATTTGCGATAAGACAGCAGGCGCTAGCCCTTGTTACAGCCCACTCCTGCTTTCCTATGAGGTGCGCCATTGATCTGCAGCTTATTTGCATAAAGCAAGGCCTAACAACGTATTTTTCTATAACACCACAGTACGAAGGAGGAGAAACCCACACTCGCGTAAGTGCATTTGCTGCAAGGGAGCTTTTTAAGCCGCCAGGGCTTTAACGTTTCATTGCCCTTTCCCGCAGTGGCGTTAACGTCAAGACCCGCAAGCGGAACATCGTTATCCCTGAGGATCCGGGCTCTTTTGCCGATGCTGTAGTAACGCTTTGCCAGGATGCGGCAGATGGCGTCAGCCTAGAAGCGGATCTTGAGGCGGCCGCTAAGGCCCTTGATGGAGCCGAGCTCGAGTATTCGCGCTATGGCGATATCTTGTTCCAAGTATTCTTTGCTGGCGGTCGCCTGGGGACAGGCGCGCAGCTGGCGGCGGAGGACAAGATGCGACTGAGCACCAATGTGCGTAGCAAACGTTGTTCTATCCCTCTGCTAGCCTCTATACGCCGTCCCCTCAACAATTTCAAACAATTGCAGATTTTGGCCTGTGAGGCCAACCGGGATTCCATCAGCCCGTACTTCAAGCTGTTCCAAACGCTGACACGGTACGGCATGGCGCATGGTTTGCAACCTGCGAATCCCCGGGGGAAAGCATTCGCTAGCCGTTCTCTCCACGACCTGGGCCTTCTATTCGGGTATCCCAAAACCTGTTCCCTGTCGTGGCCAAACCAGCACCCAACAACCCACCTCCACCTCACCTCGCCTTTCCCCTGCCTCCCCTGCCTCGCTTTCCTCCTTAGCCGCCGGCCCTTCCTGATCCGCGGCCTGGAGAACACGCTGGTTAAGCTGATGCTGTCGCTCGAGTTCTTCGATGAGGTCGGCCGCAAGAAGCTGGGCATTGGTGAGAGCTGGGGTGCGGCTCGGGGTACGGTGGGGGGGAAGAAGTAGAAGAATACCAAGTTAGGCAACGGTAGTGGCTTCCCGCTGTTAAAGCCCCTGATATCTGGCGTGGTGGGAAGGGGTTACATAGGCGGGCTGGGCACCAGGAAACGCAGGAAGGGGTGGGAGGCGCCGGGGTCGCAGCTGCGTGCCGTGTTACAGAAGGCGAGGTTGGTGTCCAGTGAACCTAAGAAGGGAGTGCGCTGGCCGAGGTCGATGGGACGTGGCCCTGGCTGTCCAATGCTGTGCGCAAGGGCGATGTGGGCCTGCCGCCGCCACGCGTCCCCGTCTTGGTGGCTCCAGAAGCCTTTCCCAGGGGCCGCGCGCCTGCCGCCGTACTGCCGCATGTGCGCAAGCTGCCAACTCAGCGGCATGGATTGTACGGCAGCAGCTGCCGCAGCAGGAGGGCAGCAGCCAGCAGGGGTGCTTGGCGGGTGCTGCCTGCGTCCCACACAGCACTAGTATGCGGCTGCGGCACCTCACCCCTGACCCCTGCTACTGCGCCGGACAGCATGTGGCCACGCGTGTCAGCACCAGGAGGGGGTCCTGGCGCTGCTTTCCGCCGCTCCGGTACCTCCACTGCAGCCCCTGAAGGCAGCACCAGCAGCAGCAGCATGCGAGCCCTGGGGCTGGGGACCACCCACTGAAGGGAGCCGCGCTGCGGGGTTGTTGCGTGCGATTGTGCGCAGTGGATGGGGTGGCTGCACGGCATGCATGGGGCCTGGGGGGCTTCTCCACACCTATGAAGGCGCGTGTGCATCTATGTGCGTGCATAGATGCGGTCTTAGCTGCGGAACAGCGCCTCCTGCTCTGCTGCTGTCCCCTCCTGTGCGGCGGGGGCGTTCCAGGGCACCTACCCGCCTCTAGCCGCTCGCGTGCTGCCGATCCCCCAACCCCCATCATCCGCCACAACCCTTTTTACACACCGCCCTCTTTTTTCGTGCCCATGCATCTGTCAACACCGTGGTTCGGTTTAGCTCCTACCCAAATCGGTTCAGCCCGGTGCAAACAGCCCCATACCCTTCACCCCCACACGCCGCCCCCACCGCCTCCCTTGTCCCTTCCTCGCTCTTCTTCCACTCCGCAGCCCTGGCCCTGACGTTCAGCTGGAAGATCGGCGTGGTTCCCTCCAACATCTTCGCGGCGCTGCTGAACGACCGGCTGGTGGCCAAGGGGACGGTGCTGGAGGTCCTGACGGTGTTCTTCCAGGTGGGGCGGAAGGGGGGGGAGGGGAGGGGAAAAATTTATTTAAGTGAAACAACGAATCCCAATCCCATATCCCGACTCATGCAGTGAGCGCATTCGGAGGCACTAATAGCACGCATAGGGGAGGGGAGGGGAAGGGAGAGGGGCGGAAAGGGGTAAGGAGGTGGGTAAGGAGGAGGGGCAAGGAGGAGGAGAGGGGTAAGGAGGACGTAACTAACTACTAACCCCATGATCTGGCTTCGTCATGCTGGGCGGGGGCGGTGGATGGATGTTTGATCTGGGTTGGGCCGCAGACAAGGTGCATCACAATATAATGCATCGCAACAGGGGCCCAGCATCCTCCGGGGTTTTCGGCAGCCAGCTGTGGGCGACGGTTGAGAGCTAGGAAGGAGCAGCAGGGGACGTTTGTTCTGCGGTGGTTGTTACCCACTAACAAAGTCTTTAAGCCGCATTGCGTGTGGGGCCTGCGGGGGCCTAGCACGGCTTGGAGGGCGCTTGGGTGGCGCAACAGGCCGTGATGGGGACGCTGCCGAGGGACGATAGCGCTGATCTGGCGCGTCTAATCCCACCTCGCCTACCACCGGGCCCCAACACCCCGCTCCTGCTCCTCCTATCTCGCGGCACGTTGGCTCCTCCTTTTCAACCTGCTCCCGTCCTCTCCTTCTGTCCCCCCCCCCCTTGCCCCCCCTAGGAGTTCCTGGCCAAGGACAGCCTGGAGGACCTGGTGTCCATGCTGGTCAAGGCCAACATCGCCAACCGGCTGGTGGACTTCGCGCCGCCCACCAAGAGGGTGCCCGCGGAGTTCCACCAGCTGCTGCGGGTGAGGGGGAGGAGGGGGGGAAGGGATGAGGTGAAGGAATAGCAAAGCAGCTCGGTCAGAGGATTATCGGGTGGGGAAGGGCTTTAGGACGGATGGAAGGGGCTGGAATTGCAGGTTGAATGGGCCGCGGGAAAGCGCCGGAAGAGATTTGCGGGTAATTAGCAGGAAGCTCCACAACAGCATTGTCGCTGGTTGCTGGGCATCCTTAGCTAGCGTGCCGAGTGTGTATGCACCCCGCGACGCACCTCACTCTCACCTCCCCCCTTCCTCCCTCTTCTCCGCCCCCCTCAGAACGCGGGTCTGGGCGCGCTCGCCGACTGGGACGTGCAGCGCGAGACCGACGTGCGCGTGAACGAGCTGCAGGAGGCGCTCACGGAAGCCATCACCGCCGACCCGCCGCTGTCGGTGGGCGAGGTGCTGTCCATCGCCAAGGCCAAGAAGGGCGAGAGCAACCTGCCGGACACGGAGGTGCTGCGCGTGAGCTGGCTGGCGCTCATGAAGGCCATCAACCTGACGGGCAAGAACCAGCAGCAGATCACGCAGGCGCTGCTGCAGAAGCTCAAGACGTACGGCAAGCTGTTTGCGGCGTTTGCGAGCAACGGCAAGGCGGAGCTGGCGCTGCTGAACACCATCCAGGTATGTGTGGGATGTGCGGGGAGGGAGGGGGGGAAGTGAATGAGTGGGGAGGTGCGCTGGGGGTTGGGGTTGGGGGGGGGATTAGATAAACTGAGCCGCTGAAACACTGACCCTGACCGTAGGTTACCGGAAATTGTTTGATGATGTCCCAGATGTCGAAGTGGCACCCTGTGGCCCCCGCTGCCCCTTCAAGTCTTCATGTGCTCCGTCCCTACAGCACTTCGCACCTATCCACGCCCTATACGAACCGCAACCTTCGCAACCTGCGCAGGTGTTTTGCTACGAGGACACGCGCATGCTCAAGTGCTTCACCGACATTGTGAAGCTGCTGTACAACGCTGAGATCGTGGGCGAGGACACCATCCAGCACTGGTTCAAGAAGGGCAGCCACCCCAAGGGCCGCGCCGTGTTCGTCAAGGACATCGAACCCTTCATCAAGTGGCTGGAGGAGGCAGAGGAGGAGGACGACTAGAGGGGGGCGAGAGGGAAGAAGGGGCTCTCCTCTCTTGGCGAGGAGGAGCAGGATTTCGGATATGTGCACAAGACACAACCGGACGGTTGAGAAGTGCTTGTGTAGGGGAGCGTGTTGTGCACAGCTCTTCTGGCTGATGGTGGTACAGCAGCCGTAGGGGATTAGTAGAGGAGGTACATGGCGTCGGGTAGTGGCATGCGCAGCAAAGTTGGTGGCGGCTTGGCGGTTTGCAGGCTTCCTATGTTGACGCACCTGGTGGTCGTCCGTGACGGCTTCTAGGCTGTCACTTGATGTGGTGGGGAGTAGAGTTGGGAGACGGCTCATTATAGTGGATGTAGTAGGGGAGCTGGAACTGGAAGTAACTGGGATTGGGGATCGAAGGGTAAGGTATTAGTGGGTAGTAGCGAGGAATTCGGGATCTCCGCCTGTTATGATTTGGGTTTGGCGGCTGAGCCAGGTGCCAGACTGGGGGGCACTGGAAAGAGCATAGCTCGAGATGGTACAGCATGGCACGAGGCATGCAGCCACGATTAAGTGTACGGTTAGGGTGTTGCCTGCCCCACTTCACAATGTTAAATGGTCTATAGGCCCCGGCCCCGTGTAGACGTAAGTTGCAAAAATGAGCGCGTTAGCCCAGTGCCGACCCCAACGCATGCCCACATTTTGGGGAGCGGCCCATCCGGCTATGCAAGTGCTCAGCCGTTTGCCTAGGTAAGATGAGGGGGTTGAACAGGCTGGCATGAGAGCCGCCTCAAGCGATTGTTGTATTCAGCAGGGCCAGCGCGCCGGATGGCAGCATGGCTTGCGACGCAAAAGGCCATGGCTGTCTTGATGTATGAATGCAACACAATGACAGGTATACTGTCTGTGTAACTATGGACAGCGTACAAGCTGAACTCTTGAAATTTGGGGATACCGGAAAGGCACGTTCAAATTGTATCCAAGCATGTGACGTACCCCCAACAAGCTGGCAGTAACCGCCTCCTACATTGTTGTTCCCATGGGAGGAGCAAGAGTTAGCAACAGTTGGAAACGTTGCTTGCCCCGCACGGAAATGCCGTACGGTCATCATGGTATAAAAGCTCGCCTGCTTTCTGGAAAGAGACAGGTTGTGAAGTGCTCAATTATTCTGTCTAACTATACAATTCTTTATCACCTTTAACCGCATCAAAGCAACACTACTTCAAAGGCCCGCAGAGCCCCGCGGCTTGGTCATTTGCCTCGCGCTTTCATGAGCTCTCCCGACGTGGTTCTCCCTGGTGACATCTCCAACCTTGGCGTTGGATTCGACCCGCTTGCCGACTCCGCCGGCGCCGACGAGGGCAACGCTGGAGAGGATGCTGTGCACATCCGTGTGCAACAACGCAACGGCCGCAAGTCGCTAACAACTGTCCAGGGACTCAAGGAGAAGTAAGTTGCGAAACTGGTCCTGGCTTTGGAGGGGTAATTTTCTACCAAGGTGCCATAGTTTCCCATGAGTTCAGTCCAGTGTTCTAGGCTTCATTGCATGTTCTCCAGTTGTCCTTGACCTTTGCACTTCGGTTTGAGGAGCTTTCTTTGTATGCGCGAGCTCCTATGAAGCTTGCCACTCTAGATTGCAAAGACCTTGACGAGCTTTCCTTATACCCCCTTCGTTTTGTCTCGCAGGTACGACTACAACAAGGTGCTGAAGGCCTTGAAGAAGGAGTTCTGCTGCAACGGCACTGTTGTGGAGGATCCCGAACTGGGCAAGGTCATTCAGCTCCAAGGCGACCAGCGCAAGAATGTCCAAGACTTCTTGCTTGGCCAAAAGCTCGTGAAGAAGGACCAGATCAAGATTCACGGATTCTAAGCTGCTAAATAGTTAATTCTAGCCGCCGGCGCCGTTTTGCCTTCCCTCTTGGACTCAACGACGTCGAAAGTGGTGGCAACGACAAGTGATTGGGCCTTTGGGCCCATCCTATGTTCATGCAGAGCACCTTGCATCTTAGTGTTTTAAGTTGTGGCTCCTTGGCTTTGTTGCCTGCGAAGATCTGCTGGTCCCTTTCTCTTAGTCCTTGCTAATGGATCAGGCACAGACGCTTCACGCTAATGTAGCGTTTGTTATGTGGTTATATTGCAAAGTCAGTCTTGGCTTGCGGGTGCCCAACACCCAGGACTTTTGTTTGCTTGGTCCTAAGACTTTTGCGCAACACCGCAGACTTCGTCATTTTGCCAGCCTACCATGTAATTGTTGCAGCATCCTTCGAATTTGTGTGTCTTCACACCATAGTTGCAACGTTTCCCAGCATGCAATATTTCCATCATTAACGGTACAGCTAGGTATGCTGGGGGTTCGGTGCTTAAAAGATTGATGAAGAATCAAAAGAGCCATCACAGAAATGGACCATGCCAGTATCATGAGAGAGCTGCAGGTAAGAGCTGTACGAGTCCTCCGAAGGCGTGAAGTGCTACCATTGCATGTAGTTTGTATGCAATAGAAGGTGATCACAGAGAGTCTGAAACTGATCACTGCCAGGTATGCATTAGGATTTGATCACAGAACGTCTGAGGCTGATCTCTGCCACCTCCCAAGGACGATAACAGCATACGTGTCGAGGTCTATGCCAACCGTCGTTGCGCTGCTCTAACCGCTTCACTTGTCGGCACTGTCTTGGCTCAGTGGGTACCGGTATTAGCTATGCACTCACATCCATGTCGTCGACACATGTGTTTACCAACACCGCGAAGAGTAGCCCTGTGAACGTACCGTATACTGCACCTGCACAGCAACTGACCTAGTTGGAGATCCAATTACCGGTAGCTTGTCTGTGATTGACAGCAGTGACGACTACCAGGCATAAGCAGCAGGAACGACCTGGCCGCGATGGATGCCCCGGTTGCACACGGCGTAGTTGCCGACAGCGAGGAAAGCGAACCACAATCCTCGTCCAGTGGCGACATGAGCGAAGAAAGCCTCTCCACATCAGAGGAGGGGGAGGAGGAGTACGACGACGATGAGGACGAATTCGAGGACTTGCTGCTTGCCGAACTACAGGGTATGGACAGCGAGGAGGGCGAACAAGATGCCGATGAAGATGATGGCGGCGACGAGGGGAGTGAGGAAGGCAACTCGGAGGATAGCGACGACGACGAGTACCGCAATGCCACAACGCTGCGGGTCTCCAAACAGGTCACTGCACTAGAGGAGGGAATGACAGCGGGCGTGTTGTACGACATGCCAACTGCCGTACAGCGGGGCTGTGTGCTGTACGCACTGCCGGATGCATGCGGCGCCTTTGAGTGCGTCACCAAGTGAGTAGTAAGCGGCTAAAGGATGGGGTGCTGGAGTCCCTATAGGAAGGGAGTGTGGAAAGATAGAAGGCAGATCAGCAGTCCTGTCACACTGGCAGGTTTGGAAACCGGGCGCACAGGCGCGCAGGCATAGTTCCTGCATGTATCCCCGCGGCCACGCTTTGGGTCTCTTGACGGCGTCGCCAGTAGTCTGCGTTCATAATGCGCTCTGACATGCCGCTTTGCCTTTGACAATGACCCCCTTTACATCCCTATACTGCTCTCCTCTCCTTCACTCCCCCCCCACCCCACCCGCACCCCCGCTGCCAGGGCCCAGCACTTCCAAACCATGGACTGCCTAGCGCTCGTTCCGCCGCCTCCACCTACCACCTCTCCAGCCCAACACGGCTCTCCCAACTCACCTAGCAGCAGCCAATCCACGGCTCCTGCCGCCCCTGCTGGCATGCAGCCACCCGGCTCGTCAACATCACCCCCGACAGTCCCATGGGTCACTGCGGACGCCCCCAGCACCAGCTCCGCCACAGCGCCACCTGCTCCGGGAGCTGCATGGGAGCAGCAGGGTGCGGCAGCGGGAGGAGCAGCTCCGCAGGTGCTCCCGCTGCCCGGATCCGCCCCCGGCCCGGACGGCCGCGAGGTGGAGGTGCTCATTGGGGGGCCCAGCAGGTGGGTGTACGGCTGTACGGCATGGCGCGCTGTGCGCAGTGTACGGCAGGGTACCTGCAAGCCGTACACCTATGCAGCTGCATGTGGGGGTGAATGGCGTCTTGCTATGGTTGAACCAGCCAACCACCAGCATGCCACACGGTTGACCTCAACCCTGGTTTGCATCACAACTGCTACCGTACACCGTTCGCACCTCGCACACGCGTAAAGCATGCCGTGACCCGCACCCCCCCCTCCAACCGTAACCATCAACGGCATCAAGGCATAGCACCTGCCAACCCCCCTCCCTCCCCGGCCCCCATGCGGAATACGTATCCCTATTAACCCCGTCCCCAGGCTCAGCATCTGCCGCCTGCCCCCCCCGGGTCGCCCCGGCCCCCTGCGGGAGGTGTGCCGCATCGGCCTCCTCACAAACCACTTCAGCCTGGCCGCCTCGCCGGATGGGCGCTTCGTGGCAGCAGGTACGGTACGCGGGGGGAAGGGGGGAAGGGGGGGGGAGAAAGAGGAGACAACTCACAAACCGTGTGAGACGTACGCGGGAGGGGGGGGGGCCGCGGGGTACAGATGGGGAGGTGTGGGGGAGGTGAGGTAGTGAGGTGGCGGAGGAAGGAAGGAAGGCGAACCGAACGCCCAACTGTGGCTCTGCTGGTTCTGCTACCGGTGTGTTCACTTCTGTTTGCCGCATGCTGCGAGGCTCTCTGCTGTTGTGAAGCCCCTACTCCTTGCTTCAGGCGCTAGTTCTCCAAAAACGATCCTGTTTGGTTGCTTGTCGCTCATTTATGTACCCTTATGCGACCGGTATGCCCTTCCTCGCCTTGCCTTGACGACACGCCGCGCGCAGCTGGAGAATCGGGTATGCTGTACATCTTTGCATACGTGCGGGGCGAATCCGCAGACAGCAGCGGAGCAGCAGGAGCCCACACCGCTGCGGCGGCGGCAGCAGCAGAGCGGACAGCAGGTCCTCCGGGAGCTTCACCGTCATCACCACCACCACCACCACCACCAACAACAACAACAACAACAACAACAATGCCATCACAGCAGCAGCCTCAGCAGCAGCACCAATCGCGAGGAGCACCCAGCAGCTCTGCAGGAGAGCCTGCGGGGCAGCAACAGCCGCAGCCGCAAACCGCAAGACTTGTTTGCTTGGCGGCATTCGGGTTTCCGGTGAGCAGCAACGAGCTAGGCATGCTCGAACAATGCTCGCTACTACCGCTAGTTCATATGTACATCTGTACTGATTTGGGTCATGTGACACCAAGACGTACATATCGGTACCGGTATATCGAGCTACGTGCCTCGGACATGTTCCGCTGCTGAAATCTGTCCTCCTGTTGCTGCTGCTGCCGCCCCGCTGCTGCCGGGCTGTTCCTCCGCTGCTGACCCCACTGACAACCCCCCTCCTGCAGCTCCGAGGCGGCTTCTGGGGAATGAACAACATGGTTCGGTTCGGCTACTTTGGCGGCTCACTGAGGCTGCTGGTGGCCACGCAGGTGCGACAGTGGCCCAGGCTGCTTGCTAGCGTCGGTTTTTTTCTGGCATATAAGCTCACGCAGCGATTACGGGTGCCGTACTCGTTCCGCAAGCTGCGTTTCCCCGAAGCCCTTCCCCCCACCCGCGAGCGTTTTTCTGGCTAATAACATCCATGCGCTGCCATGTCCTTACCCACACCCTTATTCACACCGCAGGCCAAAGCCATCTACTTTTTCAACCTGCCGCACTGGGACGGCAGCCCCGGCCCCTCCCTGGAGCGCATCACCGACCCGCGGGTCTTCCTGTGCACCGGACTGCAACCCTGGGTGCTCAGCTGGCGCCCGGCTCCCTCCCCGCAACAACCTCAAGAGGAAGAGCAGCAACAACCGCCGCCGCCGCCGCAACAGCCGCCCGAGCTACTAGGACCGCTAGAACCGCAACCCGCGCCAGCAGCCCCAGCAGCAGCAATGATAATAAGCGGCGATGGCGTTGCGGACAACGAGCATGGTACCGGCACCGCTAGTCAGCCTCATCAGCCCCAGCGGAGGCCCCAGCCCCGCCCGCCCCAGCGCTACCCCAACGCCGCCGCCCGCAGATACTGGCACTCCCGGCGGCTGCCCACCTCACGACCCCAACCGGACATCAACCAGGAGGCCCTAGTGCACGCCTTCATACCGGTAGGGGCACATAGTACGACAGTAGTTTGTCGTACGGGAGCGGTACGATGATAGTGTGTCGTACTGGATGGCAGCAGGTTATAAACGTATAATAAGAGGGTTGTCGTGCTTCAACCACCGCGTCCCTCCCTGCCACCCCGCATGTCACCCCCGCCCGGCCGTCTCCTATCCCCTTTGCCTTGCCCTAACTTGTGGCTCCCTAGGTTTTGTAGATGGTCAATGGCCCCGCCACCCCACCCCCCCCGGCCGCATGCAACCCCATGCAACCCCCGCAGGACCCCCGGCATCGCGACCAGGTTCAGCTGCTCAGCGGCGACGACACCCCCGCCACGTGCGCGCTGGAGGGCTTCCGGCAGCCGCTCAACTGCGCTGAGGCCTCACCCGACGGGCGGTGGCTGGCGGTGGGGTGCGATGAGCCGGTGCTGTACCTGGTTCCCGCGGGGGCGGAGTGAGTGGGGGGGGGGGGGCACGGAAGGGGGGCAGGGAGTGAGGGGGGGGGCACGGAAGGGGGGCTGGGAGTGAGTGGGGGGGGGGCACGGAGCGGGGGCAGGGAGTGAGTGGGGCGGGAGGTCTTCGCGCATGGCTCTTGTGCACGTTCCTTGCGACACCCGCCTCATTACCAACCTAATTTTTACCTCTCCCCCCCGCCTGCCCCACCCCGCCGGCCTGCCCACTCCCCAGCTACCGTCTGCGCCCCATCGAGCCGCTGTTCGTGCCGCTGCCCGCCGCCCTCACCCCCGGCCGCCTGGCGCCCGGCTGCCAGTACACGCGCTTCAGCGGCGACTCGCAGCGCCTGGCCGCCTCCTTCGACTCGCTGTTCGTGAGTGGGGGGGGGAGGGAAGGGGGAGGGGGTATGTGTGGCGGTTTGGAACAGCGCGGGATCGTCATCGTGCTGCCATGCCATGCCATGCTGGTGATCTGATCCGCTCCTCTGGCTGTAAAACACCTCCCTCTTTCCGCCCCAGTCGCTTCCGCCCCTCTCGCGCCCCTCCCCCCGCCCCGCCCGCCCGCTCGCAGACCGTATTCGTGTTCGACGTCCCCCGGCGGCAGCTGCTGCTGAGTGTGCGGCACCTGCAGCGGCAGCCCCCCCTGGCACTCAGCTTCCCGCCCGGCCAGCCGCGGTTGCTGCTCCACTCGGCCCACCGACAACACCTGGTGGCGCTGGATGTGGAGGAGCCCAGGTGGGGTGAGGGGGGAGGGGAGGAAAGGGGGGAGGAAGAGGGGGGTTATGTGGGGTAAAGAGGAAGCGACTAACGGGTTGTCGGGGGAAGGGAACAGCCCAGGTGGGGTATGGGGTTGAGGGGTGGGGCCTGCGTGCCTGAGCGTCGGCAGCTGGCAGCCGATGTGTGCTTGCCCGCCAGCCTGCCCGCCTGTTTCTCATCTCCTCACTCCTGTCCCTCACTCGCATGAGCGTCCCGCCGCCTTTTCACCACTCGCTTCCTCCCTCCTCTCCTCTCAATCCCGCAGGACCAGCATGACGCGCATCTCCATCAAGCCGCCCGCCGCTCGCACACCTCCACCCACCTCCACCTCCACGCCATCCCAGCAGCCAGCCCCACCTCCTCCTCCTCCTCCTCCTCCTCCGCAGCAGCAGCAGCAGCAGCAGCAGCAGCAGCAGCCCCAGCGGCAGGAGGGGCAGCAATCCCCACCGCACGCCGCGGGAGGACCCACTGCCGAACACGCACCACCTGCTGCTGGGGATGCCGCAGCAGCAGCAGCAGGGGCAGCAGCCGGCAGCAGCAGCGCAGCGGGCGGCTCGGAAGGGGACGAAGCTGCCGGGGAGGAGGGTGCCGCAGCGGGAGCTGCTGCTGCCACCGCCGCCTCCTCGGTGCAGGACAGGCGGCGGCTGCGGCGGTTGAAGCGGCCGCCGCATGTGACGGGGTTGGTTACAACGGCAGACGGGCGGCTGCTGGTGACCACTGAGGTGCGGGACAGGGCGGGGGCGGCGGGGGAATGCTGGTGTGGGAGGTGGTGAAGTGGGAAACACAGGGAGTAAAGTGGGAAGCAACTAAGATGACGAGCGAGCGAGGCGAACCACCCCCCTGCGTGCGTGTGGAAGAGGGCGCGACTGGGTTGTTAGAGGGTGGGGGTTTCGTGTGTCACATTAGCCCCGTCTCGACCCCAATCCTCACCGTTCACTTTTCTTTTACCCCCCCCCCCCAAACCCCCCCCCACCCCACGTGTCTCTCCCCGCAGACCGAGTTGCTCTCCTTCCAGCTGCTGCTGCCGAACACCCCCTGGAGCCGCCGCCTGCACCCGCACATGCCGCCCGCCTTCCGAGCCGCCACACGAGCACTGCTGATGTGCGCTGCGGCGGGGAAGGCCGTCACGCCTGCCTCGCCACCCGACACAGCTTCTGCCGCAGCAGCAGCAGGCAGGGGAGGCGGAGGCGGCGATGGAGGTAGCACAGGAAGCGCAGGACGGGAGGAAGCAGGCGTGCTGGGAGATGGTGGTGGGGGTCAGCGACCCACGGGTCTGTGGAGCCTGCCGCATGACGTGGTGGAGATGATTGTTGCGGCGGCTGCGCAGCCGCGGCTGGTCTGGGTTGAGGCGGAGGCGGAGGAGGCGCTTGCGTATCCCTGCCTGGACCTTTGGGATCGAAGCATGCGGCGAGCTGGTGGAGGTGGTGGTGAGGGTTTGGAAGGAGAAGGAGCAGAAGTGGGTCGGAAGCGCAGTAGCCGCAGTGTTAGCGACGGCAGCGGCGATGCGAGCGGCCGGAGGAGAGGTGGTGGTGGTGGAGAGGGAGGTGGTGATGATGAGGGGGTTGGCGAGGGTGATGATACGGCAGCCGGCAGCGGGTCTTCGGGGGCTGCAGTGGAGGGGGAGGAGGAGGAGGAGAATGACCCGTGGTTCGCTTGGGATATAACCGAGGCTTGAAGGAAGGGGCTTGGAGTGCGGTTAACGTGATACTCTGATATGTGGAGGAGTGCTTTGTAGTTGCGGTTTCGCATGGGTGGAGCTCGCTAGCTCCTTATCAACTTCTGCAGGATACTTGCGTCTCCGCTTTTCAGTGTAACATCTTGGCTGATGCGGATCACACCCTAGCGGCTGCAGGGGCGGGCCAAGTGTACCCATCAAGTTTAACAAACCCTAGTGCCTCAAGCCTTCGTGCGCGGTTCTAGACCCTTCTGCTATCCAGGCAGCCTCTCACATCAACGCAGACGCCGCCTTAACAGGCCCCCACCTCTCCGCACTTGAATGCACCCCAGAGCGCTATCCCTTTCTCATTACCCCCAAATGGCCCGTCACAAAGGCATTCCCAACGGCCTACGGTACCCCTACCCCCTTAAAACACCCTGGCATGGTCCCCCTTCTAACTTCCACCACCACCTCCTCCCTACATGCACAGCCCTCCCTACATGCAGCTCCACCTAGCCCTGCAAAGCCGCCGGCAAGCCCTCAGCCCGACTCAACACGTCCTTGTACGACGCCAGCCGCTGCTGCCGCCGTGCTTTCCAGCCGCCTCCCACCGGCGCCCCCTCCTCCACCGCCGCCACCACCCTCAGCGGTGCCCGCACCGCCCCTGCACTGCCGCCAGCAACAGCACCTCCCCCACCACCTCCAGCCCCATCAACCACAACCCCATCACCTCCTCGACCCCCCTCAGTCCCAACCTGGCCCGCACAGCCCACAGGCCCCACAGCAGCAGCAACAACAGGCGACTTCCGGTCCCGTCGGCTCCTCCAAGCGCTCCAGCGCGCCCTCTCTTCCGGCTCCGCAGCCTCTGGCGGGGAGGGCTGCTGTTGTGAGGCCACCCGCAGCACCAGACTGCCCCCCGGCATTACGCCCCAGCCCAGGAAGTAGCAGCCGCGGACATGCGGCGGGAGGCCCGCAAGGGTGGTCGGCCTGGTGGGGAGATGTGTGTTGTTGGGGGCTTATTCGATACCGGTTGGAAGAAGAGACAATGGGAATTGGGGCAGATGGGGTAAGGGAAAGGGTAAAAGATAAGGGGTGCCGTACAGGGTGTAATGGGTGGGGTGATTTGATGCATCCGATAGTCGACTCTGAGCCGACTGAGGGAAGAGGGGTGCGGCAACTGGGTGGTTGCGCATGTCAGGAGGTGGGAGGTCTCGAGGGCCCCCTTCCCAACATGCTGTCGGTACCATGAACCGCCTTCCAACCTTAGATCCCCATGCGTGATGACCGCCATGACAACCCACCTTTCTTCCCCTCCCTCCTCTTCCTGCTCCTCTTTTTCCTCCTCCTGCCTCTCCTCCTTCTCATCACCATCACTATCGCCAGCCACTGTCGCGCAGCCAGCTGCCGTGACTCCGTCCACCCAGCCGTCTCGCTCCACGAACAGCCGCAGGGTGCCGCTGCGGCCGCCCAGCCGCTCCCGCAGCAGCCGGAGGGGCAGCGGCAGCCGGGAGGACTGCGGGAGGGGGGGCGGCAGAGGGGCGGCGACAGAGGGGCTGGGGGGGACCTAAAGGTGTGTGCCGGTCTTCCTCTCCGTTGGTGGACTCTTCATCCCTGCCTGTTCATACCCCGGCACATTAACCTGACCCCCAGCCTGCCAACACCCCCCTAGTTCTGTCCTCTTTACCCCTCTAGCCTGCTCTGTTTATCTTACCCCCCCCCCCCGTCGGGATATGGGATTGGGACTTTAGTTGTTTGCATTTCTTATATAATCCCCCCCTTACCCTGAGTCGCTCCCCCCGTGCAGGTGCCGCCCCGCAGCTGGCGGGGTCCAGGGGTGTCACATTCCAGGCGGGCCGGCACACGGGGCGGCCCGGGGGCGCACGCAGCTGCAGCGGGGCAGGCGGCAGCAGCGGGGCATCTGCTGGTGCTGGTGGGGGTGGTGATGCTGCTGGTGGGGGTGCTGGTGCACCTGGTGCCGGTGGTGCTGCCGCCGGTGCCGGTGGTGGTAGTGGCGGTGCTGGAGGTGCGGCTGCCGCTGCTGCTGGTGTCGCTGCTGCTGCTGCTGACGGCATGGTCAATTGCCGCTGCTGCTGCAGGGGCTGAGGCAGTCCTCCTCCGTCAATCCCCTCGGGGGCGGCGTTCGGGGCGAGGGCTGGATCAAGTCCCGTTGTTGGCAGTGCGGAGGAGGAAAGTGGTGGCGCCAGCGGCACCGAGCTGCCGGTTGTAGCGGTTGCGGCGGCGGCGGCGGCGCCGTCGGACTGCGCCAGCAGTGAGGGTGCGGTCCGTTTTGTTGGCCGCTGCCGTCGCCCCCGTGCGGTTTGGACGGTGCCGTGCGGCTTGACGCCGGCGGTGGTGGCTGCTGTTGCGGGTACGGGAGCATTCCCATGCGGGTGCGGCTGCTGTTGCGACTGTTCTCGTTGTTGAGTGCAAGGCTGCAGCGGTTGTGCTGCTGGTGGTTGGGCGCCCTGCGGGGGCTGCATGTGTGCAGGCAACGGGGGGTTGTTTGCTGTCGGCGGTTGTTGTTGCTGGTCTTCAGGACAGCAGGAGGAGGTGACGGTGGTGGCGAGGGGTGCTGTGGGTTTGGGCGGGAGGGGTACCTCCACAACGTCACTGTCGTCGCCGCTGTCACTGTCCAGGAGGCTAACCACCTCCTGAAGCGGCTTTGGTTGGGGTTGTGGCGGCTGGAGAGAGGGAGGAGCGGGAGCGGGGTGGCGGCGAGGCCGCCCTCGTCCGCGTTTCTGCGGCTGCTGCTGTGGTTGCTGCTGCTGTGGCTGAGGTTGTGGTAGCTGCGGATACGGCTGCTGCTGCTGTTGCTGTTGAGGCCGCTGTTGAGGCTGTGGTAGCTCTGGATGCGGATGTGGCTGCTGCTGCTGCTGCGGCAGCTGCAGCTGTTGGCACTGCAGAAGGGGTTGCTGCTGTTGTTGCGGATCGCGCGACTGGCTTGTCTTGCCCTCAACAACAACCTCCCCCTGCCGCTTTAGCTTCTGCTCCTGCCGCCCCCGCTGCTGCTGCCTCTTAAGGAGCTGCTGGGGTTGCTGCTCAGGCGGCGGTAGCGGCAGCAACGGCTCCCGCAGGTGCCGCCAGTCCGGCTGATGTTGCTGCTGCTGCTCCCCTTCCTGCACCCCCTCCTCCATCGCCGCCACGACCTCCTCGGCCTCCCCCGTCTGCTGCTTCCCGCTGCCCCTCTCCGCTCCTGCAGCTGGTGCAGCCTCGCCACCGCCCCCTTCGCTGCCACAGCTGGCGGAACCGGCGGCGGCAGCAGCTACAGCGCCTTGCCGTTCACCTGCCGAGTCCTGGGGTGGCTGCTGCTGCTGTGTCCGCGGGTCCAGGACTGCATCACCAGCAACAGCCGCATCACCAGCAGCAGCCGCAGTGGGCAACAGCAGACGGCGGCGGCGGGCGGCTGGTGCGGTCGCCACTGCCGTGCCCTCAGGGCCGCGGCGCTTGCGTGTGAGGGCGACGGCGGCTGCACGCTTACTGGTGGCAGCCATCAAGGCGCCTCCGTCGTCGCCGCCGTCGTCGTCAGCATGGCCCCCATCATCGCTGCTGCCACCATCTTCGGAGTTGTCCCGGGGCCTGGGAGCAGCAGCCGGGAGTTCAAACCGTACGGACTTGGCTTTTCTCTGGTGCTTCTGTTGTGGTTGTTGCTGCTGCTGCTGGTCTTGTTGCTGATGTTGGTGGCGGTGGGTGGTTGCGGCTGGTTGCAGCTTTTGTTGTTTTTGTTGCCGCTGGCAAGCAGCTGCCTTGGGCTGGAGCTGGACCGATGGGCCTTCGGGGCTGGGCCAGTGCTCCCGCCACACATGGCAGGGGCAGCTTCGGGCGGCGGGAAGGCGCGAGGGGAGGCATGCAGAAGGAGGAGGGGGTGGCAGGGAGAGGGTAAATCACAAGCAGCAGGTGTGAGCGTGACTGCAGCTGCTGATTTGCGGTTTTGCCTTGTTGCATTGTGCAAGATGCTGCGCAGGTTTGTGTGCGCTGGATTGTGTCCTGAGGGTACTGTCCAAACAGACCTGCAATAACCCTTCCGGAAGGGGTTATTCGGGATGGGCTGCCGCTGCTGCGGTGTCTCGGCCCCAGCAGGGCCCTTCTCCTTGCTTCCCAGCAGCCCTCCATCGCAGTCCCCGTCCTCCTCCATGCCACGCCCGTTGCCATTGCCACCAGCACCGCCGCCCCTTCCATTGGCTGCTGGCACCTTCAAACCCCCGCTTCCGCCTCCGCCGCTACCGCCGCCCCCGCCAGGACTCCGAACGACTGCGTGGCCTTGACGTTGTTTACCGTGGCTATGGCCCCGCGCGGCATTGCAGCCTTCACCAAAGCTGCAGTGAGTGCCGCCACAGGCGCCTGCCGCGGCACTGCTGCCACCACCACCGTCGTTGCCCTTACTGCTGCCACCGGCGCACGGGCAGGCGCTGCTGCTGAGCGTGTAGTGTAGCTCTGTTTGGCCGACCTTGCGCACCGAAACCAGGTGATAGCCGCCGAACAGGTCGAGGGCAGTGGTTTGGTTGAAGGAAATGCGCAGGCCGAACTGTGGGGGCGATGTGTTGGTATGAAAAGGTCAGATTTTAGAGGGCTGTGCGTCGCTGGTTTTGTAGAGGTTTTTGGCGTTTACGTGGTGTAGGTGGGAGGAGAAAAACAGGGTGAATGCTCACCTGGGAATCCTCGTGGGCGAGCCCAGCGAACCGTCCTTCGCTGCGTTTCCCATCGGCAGTTACTGTCACGGCTAGATTCTTGGGAAGCTGCCAATACAGCCGCTGCTGGACATACCAACTCCACGGCAGCACGAAGGGAGTCGGCACATCGGCATTTATATTTAGGTGTTCCTGGCCTTTCAGGTGGTAAACCTGCGACAACGGCAACACAAAAATCGCCCGTTATCTTAAGAAAATCTAAGCGAAACCATATGCGGTCAAGGCTTTGACAGCCCGACTACTGCTTGCAAAGTAGAAAGAGGCATCTAAAGCACTTGAGTCGCATTCTTAAATCATTGACACTCATTAACAAATAGCAGCGTTATGCGGGAATATACGTGTCGAGATTCAGGCCCGCCCTTCCGACAGCTGACAAACTCAATTACTGTAAAACAGCGTACCATGCTGCCCAGGCTCCAAATAAAATGAAATGAGTACAATTAAGCAGTCTGTTGGCGCAAGCGAGCTCCAGTGTTGAAGGGAACGCGTGTTAGGTGCTCTGATGCTGTTCATGCGTCGTACATACGTGACAAACGGCATCCAACCGAAAGCCGCCTGGTCAAAGGAGCATACGCTGAACATGCTAAATGTATGCACATCTGCGTCATACCAATGATAACTGTTCATTAATACCACTTCATGCCCGGCACACAACGGCATTGGTGATGACAGCCATGAGCCATCCATGTTTCAGCGGGCTGAAGCAATGACTTCGCCTCCAGCCCCATGGCGTCGGCCTTAGGCAAACCGCTGGACAAGATGGGAATCTAGGTTCATGCGGTCATCCACTGCGCCCAGCCAGTGCCCACTGTAACCACAGCACTCATACCACCGCTAGTCCAAGCACCCCAAACACCCCAATACCGGTACCTTGCGAACGCCTGGAATGACTCCCAACGCAATTGCCAACGTAGTTTTCAACGCAGTGCCGCGGTGTCTGACTCACCATGCACTGCTTCGCCAGCCACATGGGCCCCAAGCTGCCATTGTTATAGCAGCAGCTGAATGCTGATGGTCCTTGTACATCCACCGTCCCCGACAGTGTTGCATTAGCGCAACCCTTCTGTTGCAGGAGTTAGTCACCGGAATGTTGCACCCTTGTCTGTTGGCTTGATTGATCTGTTTCGGCTTGGTTGCATTTTGAAGAACGATTGGCCGCCTGAGGGCCATGGCTCTATAGCCCATGGTTTCCCACTCGTTATTATGAAGTGTACGGTTTGTGAAAACTCTCCTTACAGCTTGTGAATGCCTAGCCTGCGGCGAAGTCGCTGCGGTTGTACAGGGCCGTGATTACCTCCAGTCGGATATGTAGAGCCGCGCCAAGCTGGATCATATGTGGGCACTACCTGCCGTTGCCTATTGTGGCTAGCCCACAAAAGGAGTAATGCCTGAGCTTGGCATTACAATATTGGCCTAGTTCTCATAAGGTAGGGCATGTAAGGCAGGACATGAACGATACCGTCTTCGATGTTGCTAGGCAGATGGGCCAGGTACAGTACGTGGGCTGTCGTGCGCCCAAACCGGATTTCGAAAGGCCGACGCCTTGCCTTGTAGACACCTACCCGTAATTGTACATGGCATCATTTTGCTTTAAACCGCTCAACTGAGTACACGGATTCTACAGCTGGTGCTACAAAAGCCTACAGGGCCTCCAAGTTAGACCAATCAGCTTCTAAGCTGTCGTTGGACGCGAAATGTTGTTTCGTTTACTACGTTGCAAACTTAGGGGTCATAGGACGTTATGCATATGGGTCGTGGCCCCAATTTCGATGTGCAGTTTAGGAATGGCTTAAGCCTAAATCCTGTATCTAGCCATGACGACTATGTCTCCACAAGAACCTCAGCAGCCTAGCACTCGTCGTGGCGGCATCCTAAAGAGCGGATTCACAAGTCTGGGCGCTCGGACGGCCTCGGTGAATGACCTCCGGGTTCAAGTAAGTTTAGGAACTAGTATCAGGGCACGTATATTAATTGCCACAATCATGCTGCGCCTGTTATACGTAACAATGTACACTGTTTGCTCGGCTTCCAGGGTGCTGCGGCATGTATCCTCCAGCTTGTAGTGACCATTGCTTGCCCCATCGTCTGGTACATCCTGGTGAGTCTGACCATTGTAAACCTGCTTATGACTGCGGTAGTCGGGATTGCAACTCAACCCATCCGGCGCATGTGCCTTGTGGAATTGATGGCAAGCGTGCGCAATGGCCCTGGCCCTGGCAATTGGCAATGGGCCTCAGTGGGAGGTTGGTAGGGGGAATGTAGCAATTGCGGTGTTGCCAGGACGGCTTGGACGGGGCAACTGCAGGCTAGGGCACTTCCAACCGGACCATGACTAGGGAGGCTAGCACACTTCCCGATGGCCCGCATGCCGTTGCGCTTCTGGAGCAATGGCTATACTCTCTATAACCCAGGCTGCACTCCCCCCTCCTTTCCTGTCGCATGAAGCCCCCCCCCGCCCTCTCCCCACGCTCCCCGCCCCTGATTGCAGGTGACGGGCAAGGACAGCCGGCTGCTGCCCGTGCCCATCGTCAGCTGGGAGGTGACGGTGGCAGCGGCAATCCTGGTGAGCAGCCCAGACTAGACCAGCCCAGCCCAGTCCAGGGGAGGCTTGGGAGCTCAGCCCTCACCATGCGCCACCATCCCGCCATGCGCACCTTCTCCCTCCCTCCCTACCTCCTGGCTTCACGCACCTCGGGGCCCCCATGCTTCTCCCCCTCTCATCCCCCTCCTGCACGGCACCCCCCCCCTCCCTTGCCTCCCCTGACTGCCCCCCAGGGCGTGGTTGGCTTCGTGTTCCCCCGCTCGCTGCTGCTGGGGCTGCACGCGGCCATGGCAGTGGCGCTGGCGGCCGCGCTGGGCGCCTTCCACACGCAAGTGTACCTGCTGCTGGCGGACAGGTGGGAGTGTGGGGGGAGGTGCCGGGGGGGGGCAGGTGGGAGGGGGGGAGGTGCGGGGGGGGGGGTAAAAGTAAGGAAAACTGACGAACTGGATGCGGGGGGAGGAGAGGGGGCTGGAGAGAGAGAAGGACAGCTGAGGAGCGGGGTAACTGAGGGCAGGAGCAGCGCAGGAACGGACCCCATGCTCCCAAACCCGCCCCCCCCGCCCGCAGGTGTGACCGGCTGCCCGCCAGCTTCTCCGGCTGCTCCACCTGCCCCTGCGCGCAGCAGGCCGCCGGCAGCTGCTCGCGCGCGCAGCTGGACGCGGAGGACTGCTCCGGCTGCAAGGCCTGGCCCTCGGACGTGTGCTCGGGGGTCACCAAGAGCGGGCTGCCGTTCCTGGTGAGGCGGGGAGCATGGGGTCCAACAGGGAGCCGGGGGGAGGAGCCTTGCCTGGGTTTTGAAAGAAGCAATCTGAGTAGCTCGGGGCCAGCTGGGGTATCGGAGCCACAGCAGGGGGATATCTGGACGTGTCTGCGAGAAGGGTTGCACGGGGGGAACGAAGTCCCGTGCCCCGGGGCTTCACTCCTGACGACGCGCATGTGCTCTTGCCCTGGCCCTCGCCCTTCTCCCCGTACCTCCCCAGACACCCCCTCCTACACCCCCTCCCCCATTATGGTTTCCTAAGGTGCAGTATGGTCTTTGTCCCCCCCCACACCCTCCCACACCCTCCCCCCCTGCCCTTCAGGGTCTGATCCAGCTTGTGTTCGTGGCCCTGCCGGCGCTGTTCTCGCTGATGCTGCTGGTGCGGCTGGAGAAGGAGAGCACCGACCTGGCCAACCGCCTCATGCACGCCAGGACAGTGGTGGGTCGGACAGCTGGGCTGGCTGGGTTGGGCTGGATGAGGGAGGGGCACCGGTATGTGTCGGAAGTCTAGGAAGGGAGGCAGAAGAGGCCGTTGGAACGCCGCATATCGCACCTCCTGCACCCCACCTCCCCTTGTCAATACATCACCAGTTTCACAACACGTTGCATACCGCACATTCATCCCACGCACAGCCCGCCTGAGCATACTGGTAACCTTCTTCCCCTGCCTGCCCCCCTCACCCCCCTGCCCCCTCACCCCCCTCGCCCCCCTCGTCCCCCTGCCCCCCTCGCCCCCCTCGCCCCCCTCGGCCCCCCTGTTGCCAGATCACCGGGCAGCTGGAGCGGCTGGAGGCGGGCCGCCCCGCCGACGTGGAGCCGGGGCTGCTGCGGCAGTTGCTGGCCACACTGGTGCAGCAGGGCGGGCCGCTGGACCGGGCGGTGGCGCGGTCGTGTGCCATGATGCTGGACGGGCAGGGGAGAGCAGGAGCGGGAGCGGGAGGAGGAGCGGGAGGGGGAGGGGGAGGAGGAGGAGCGGCTGGGGTGCGGGATGTGGAGACGGGAGGGTGAGGCAGGGGGAGGGATGGGGTGGGCGGTGAGGGGCGTGTGTGTGTGGTTGTGTAGGTAATTGAGGGGCGGTGGCTGAGGAGAGGAGAGGCGCCGGAGGGCATGTAAAACGGGAAACGCCATGCAAAGGCCTGAAATGCGTTTCCTGCACGGGCCATGGCACCCGCTCGCTCGTGTCCCCTCTCCTTGTGTTACCTTGACTGCTGCTCCTGCTTTTCGCGCTCTCCCTCGCCCTTCCCCGACCCGTCGTCACCTCCATCTTATCCTTCCTTCCCCCGCCCCGGTTCCTCCCGCCCCCTTCCCAGCGCACCGGGAGCCAGCCCTGGAGTGATGGACGGCCCCCGCTTCGCCCTGCCCTCCGCGGCCCTCAAGAAGGGAGACGGCGGCTCGCTCAAGCTCAAGTCCGCACTTCGGAAGACCTCCGCCTGGGACGCCCCCGCCCCCTCGGGGACTCCTGCGTACGGAGAGGAGGCCGACGATGAGAAGGCGGGTGGTGGCGACGGCGGCGGCCTCAAGTCGAATCCCGGTGCCGCTGCTGCGATGGCAGCGCTGCGTCAGACGGGCGGGCCGCAGGTGGCTGGAGGAGGAGGGGCGGCTGGGGGCGGGACGGCTGTGGAGGCGGTAAAGGAGGCGCAAGGTGGGTGGGATTACGGGAGTTGGGAGGCGCCGAGAGGGAGGGAGGAAGGGCATTGGGATGCTGCAGTAACCCCCACCCGAAGGGCCTTGGAGCCCTAGCTTGGTCTGGACCCAGTCGCCCTTCATCAGCTGACCCTGCCCTATGCCGCACGGTCCGAAACACATTCGCCCCTCTTGTTGCCCCTCGACCTTGCTGGCCTTTTTCTCTTGTTGTTGTCCTGGGTGTCCCCTCGATCGGTGTAATAAAAAACTGGCCACGAGAGGGGGAACGTACTGGACTTGTCGAATGATGTTACAGAATGATGATGCGTTGATGCCCCCATCTCGGTGTTGCGTACCTGTGTGTGTGTGTTAAAATAACCAAGACGTCGTGTGTGTGTGTGTGTGCTCGCAGCCCGGGAGACGCGTGAGAAGGCGAATCTGTGGGCCGGTCTGGACTCCTCCTCCGAGTCCACCCCCCGGCAGAAGGACACGCAACGCGGCGGCGTCACGGACGCCTCGGTGTTCCTTGAGGACCCGGTGGTGCCGGCAGCCCTGCCTCTGGGGTGAGCTTTGTGTGAGGGCTTGGGGAGTGAGAAAGGACTGAGTGTTGTTTTGTGGTGCGGGCGCAGGTGCTGGGGAAGGGGCGGTGTCGTGTTTAGGTGAAAGTAGGTGAAAGAGGGCAGTGCACAACGGCATTGCCACCCTTGCTGGTCACATGCGGGTATCTTTTCACATCTGCATGCTGGTGTATATGGTATTTGGCGTGTTTCAAAAAGTCCTAGTTCCCTTCATACTTCTCAACCAACCCCACTCCTCCCTTGGAACAACAAACATCACCCCACCTCTGCGGGTACTCCTGTTTTGTTACGCTCCCACCGTTCAGATCCCGCATGCTGCCGCCGGGGGCAACGGAGGAGCTAGCAGTCACCAGCTTTGATGAGGCGACGGACGGAGAGGGCGGCTGGACCAGTGGCCAGGAGCCGCAAACAAAGAAGAAGACAAAAAAGAAGAAAAAGAAAAAGTCCGCGTCTGGTGACGGAGACGGAGCAGCAGAGGAGGGCGCGGAGGATGAGGACAAGCCCAAAAAACGGAAAAAGAAGAAGAAAGCAGCCAAGGAGGCTGAGGAGGCGGAGACTGAGGTGGCTGCGGTTGCGGAAGGTGGAGAGAGTGGAGCAGAGGAAAATGGCGGTGTTGCGGCTGTTGATGTCAAGAAGAAGAAGAAAAAGAAGAAGAAGTTGCTGGGCGCTTCGGAGGGGGAGACGACTGAGGAGGAGGGCGGCGGTGGCGGTGCTGAGGGCGAGGAGGGTGAGGGCACGGCCGCTATGAAGTCCAAAAAGAAGAAGAAAAAGAAGCTGCAACAACAGCAACCCCAGGAACAGCCGCAACAGGACCTTGAAAGGGAGGCGGTTTCTGAGCCTTCTGAACCGGAGCCGGAGACAACCATAACGGAGCCGCCAACGGAATCGGAGCCAGAGGCGGCTACTGTGGCACAGCCTCCAACGGAACCGCCGGAGCCGGAAACCGATGCTGACGCTGATGCGGACGCTGAAGCCGGCGGTGGGGGTCGCGGTGTGGGAGAGGGCGGCAAGAGTACGCTCAGGCCTCGTCGACGAAAAAAGAGCAACCGAGTGGCACCCGAGGGTGGAGGTGAGGAGGAGGGGGGGCCGCAGGTGGGGGGCGGCAGTGGCGCGAATGACATGGACCAGGGACCGGGACCGGACAACCCCTCCTCGGAGCCCAGCGGTAGGCGGGCGAGACGAGTGGGGGGCGCCGGCAGGAAGGACAGGAACAAGGCCGGCTGGGTGGCCGCATAGCCCCCCACAGCTGCATGCTCTAGGAGTCTACCTGGCAGCTCATCTGGCGACATCCGCCGTGTGATGACATCCTGCATGACTACCCTACCCTACCGGTATGTAGGCGGTTTCTTGGACGGGATACTTGTGACCTGGTGGTGTTGCAGCGTTCGTACGCGTGTGGGACTGGTATGTGTGCTACTAACAGGTGCTGTGGCTTTGTTGTAGCTGTATGGATGAAGACCGTTCGACGACTCGTTTTTTGCACCTCGGTGATGGGCGCGCCTTACACAGTGATACATGTGAGACGGCGTGTGACCGTAAGGATAGAACGGGTAGGATTACTGTTGGCCAGGGTGATTTCACCTCTTGTGAGGATGACCAGACTGTGAGTGAAGGATGCGTGTGTACCGTATGTGTGTGATCAAATGGGCCGCGGAGCAGCGCTGCGTGTGTGTAGTACCGTATGAGTGACTGCTTACATCCGCAGAGGCTTGGGGCTTTGCAAACAGACGTTTGGCCCAATAGGGGCAGAGGTTGGTTCGGTACCTTACGGCAGCTCCGTACCTAGTTGGTTTGTTGGCAGTTGTACCGTGATAAACAGGAACGAATGAGGGAGCAGCTTTTGTATGGCTGCGCGCTTTTGCTCTGAAAAGGAGCCGATTAGTCGGGTGCTGAGGCGGTTGGTGTGCTTCCGTTGATCTCGAGTTGACCCTGACTGTCTGACTGACCTGACTGTTGACTGACTCGCCTGAGAGGGGTTGCGCAGCCCATGCGTGTGTGCCTCTCTGGCGTGCCATGTGCTCATGTCCTGTCAACTAGTTCATCCCATGCTCGCATATGCATGGTGCTTTAGGATATCCTATTAGGTTTCTCGTGGAAGGAAGGGATTGGCGGTTTGAGGCCCGGATTTGTGTATTTTATGACCTTGAACCGTGCGGTCGTGGTCTATCTCTTCAGGAGGCATTGACGAGTCCTTACACGTCGTCATACCCGTTGCCGCCCTGTCGTACATACCGCCCAAAACCAACACACAGAGATAAGAAAGAGGTGTGTAACTTGGCAGCATGCGGGTGGCACCCGCTGCGAAAATCTACACCCGTGTAGCCCCTTCCATCCTACCTACTGCGTATCACGCGGTTAGTAACTTGTTCCAGATGTTTACCTACGGTACTGTGTATTAACACCAACAAGCCTGCCAGCATTGCCTGCATTGTAAGCCCGGATGAGATGATGAAAAGAATATCAACTAAGGGCGCATGCGCGCACCCTGGAAGGATACGCAGCAGCGCACAACATTCGCCCATGACCATGACGGCGTGGAGGTATCATAAGATGATCCGTACAGACCGTATAGGAAATGAAAATGGATCCAACAAGCCTCAAAAGCCCTTGGGAGGCCCCTGACCGGCGCCTCTCTCCCCCTACCACAGCAGAGGACGAAAACCACACTGGCCAGCTACGGTAAAAAAATGTGGAGAAATGGTACCGTACTGGATGGTGAATTTTCCACTAACCAATAATCCTTCCAATGCAGTTTAACTCTTCGGGCCCATCTGGGCAAATCTTCAGGGAAAAGGTCCGCATCTGCTCTGCATGTGCATGTGCCTATGCCGCGGTGCATGTGCTGCCCCTACCTTCACCTACACCGCCCCTACCGGTGCACACCACACCAACCTGCCCCTCGCCGTCCGGGCCCCCACCACCCGCTCTGTCTATGGGCTCCTTCCCACCCGCAACCTATACTCCTCTCGCTCACAGCCCCGCGCCCCACCCGCTCATCCCAACAGCAACCCAGCCCTTCCCCACCGTCACACACCACCATCAAGGCATGCATGTCGCAGCCTTTCCGCCCACAGAGGGCCACAGAGGTCCCTGCATCCCTCCTTGAATTCCCATCTCTCCAAGTTGCCTGCACCACATGAGTGCAGGCAGGGACGGCAAACCCGGCGTCTACCCGTTGCTTCATCACCAGCTGCCAGCTAACAGCTTCCAGCATCCAGCTACCAGCCAGACCTCACTCGACGCCAGGTGATCTACTCGATGGACAGCGGCCTGCCCGCCCAGCCGTACTCCGCCCGGTGCCTGTCGTACAGCTCCCCGAGCTCCTTGATGGTGGCGGACAGCAGCTTGTCCACCTCCTTGTCGAAGTCGGGGGAGTCGCGGGGGATCTGGGGGCGGGGGGAAGGGGGGAGGCCGCTTGGTGGACCCATGGGTCGGCTGGGGGGTGTGGCCCTTTCCAAAACATGCTGAACGACCTAAGACCACCTTATTGAACTGAAAGCTCCCCATCCTTTTCCTCCCGCCCACCCCCTCTCTCCCTCTTCCGCAGGTATTAATACCACTTTACCAGCCCTCCGGTGCACTGCCCCCCCTCAGATTCAGGCTCGCAACCCCCGGGGGCACGCCCCCCCACACCCCACCCCTCCGGAACCCCACCCCCCCCCTGCCCGCTCACCTTGGGCACGGGGATGGGCTTCCCGTTCACCATGTACACCGGCAGCGGCTTGGGCACCGGCAGCCCCATCCACCCCGTCAGATAGCCGAACGAGGTGCGCAGCCGCCGCGACACGCCAGCCAGGCAGGCGGGGCCGAAGCTGAGCAGCTGGCTCTGCCCAAAGTAGTAGACGCACACGATGCCGTCCACCTGCTCCTCCAGCGCGATCTTGGCGAAGCCGCGGCGACCCACCAGCTTCACGCGCTCGCGCTGCGGGTGACCCATGTACATCTGGGTGGGGGAGGGGAGGGAGGGTGGGGGCAGGAGGGGTGAGGCGGTGGGGGGTGAGGTGAAGAGAAAAGGGAGGCTAGGAGGTGGAGCGGTGAGGAGCTGAGGAGGCAGAGGGCCCGCCAGGAGCTGGACGTGGGAGACGGTAGTGGTGTTTCCTTGCGGTCCCCCGCTCTCCCCCGACCCCCTCACCTCCGCGATGCCGCCCACCACCACCGCCACACTGCCCTTCCGCAGCAGGCGCTTGAAGTTGGAGGAGGTGGCGGGAACGGAGCCAATCCACCTGCGGGGGGAGGAGCGAGTCGGAGAAGCGAGTCGGAGGAAGAGGAGGTGCGAGCGAGTCGGAGGAGCGAGTCGGAGAAGCGAGTCGGAGGAAGAGGAGGTGCGAGCGAGTCAACATGTATGCATGCATGCCGGGGCAGGCAGCTGCCCACGTGACTTATCTCAAGCTTCAGACCCAACCCAACCGCCAACCGCTGTGTCTCCAAGCCAGCAGCCCTGCGCTGTCCATTGCCCTCCTCTGCTCAATCCCGGGGGTCCCGGCCATACTCAGAAGCGCATGCCCGCCCGTCCGCCCCCCCGCTCTCACGTGATGAAGTGGCGCCAGAAGGGGATGTAGAAGACGGAGGAGGCCGCCACGCTGTAGATCATCATGTGCGGGAACAGCGTCTGCATCAGCGTGCCGGCAACAATGGGGGCTGCGCGGAGGGGGGGGCAGCGGAGGCCAGGAGTGGGGGAGGCGGGAGGGAGTGGGTGGGTAAGTAGAAGACCTATGTGTTGAGTGGGCGGCTGGGCGGGTGAGGTAGCACACGGCAAGACCTCCCTTGTACTCATTCCTCACTAGGTGCGTATACGCAGCAGGGGCCCCCTCCATATCCTACCCCTTACTCGCGGAATAAGTTAGGAGTAACTTATTACCAATGGGAATGCTTACCAATGGGGAAGGCGCCGTGCGGGAACCTGGCAGCAGCGGCAGCCAGGATGCCACCACGAGGACAGGTAAGGGGCAGGAGAGGAGCGGCAGGGCGAAGGGAAGGGGAGGCAGGAGGGAGGGAACGGCAGGGAGGCAATGGGGGGGAGGCAAGCATGTCAGGACGGGGTTGCGGGGTGCGGCAAGCACGTTGTGGCTGCATGCATCTACTGATTGCGCAGCTGCCGTGGAAGAACGGCACGTCAACACAACTGTACGGCGCACCAAGTACGGCACATGCAAACCCAAACCCACTCGACAAAGATGTAGCGCTTGTTGGGGTCCAGGTGCTCCTCGATCAGGAAGCTGTAGTGGAAGTAGTGGCGCCAGGTCTTGAACAGCCAGAGCTTGTTGAAGGCGGGCCACAGCACGGGCTTGCACGGCAGCAGCAGCGTGCCCAGGAGGGCAAGTACGACATACAGCGCCGTACGGCTGAAGAACGACAGGATGAGTAGGATCACAAAGTAGTTCAGGAAGCCGACGTATAAGGAGAGGGTGACGGCGGCGAGCATGGTGACGAAAACGTTCTGCTTTTGGTCGGGCTTGATACCTGGTGATGAGGGTGGTTGGGTGGGTGAGGGAGGTGGGGTTGGGGTGCGTGATAGCGTGAGGAAGTGGGCTGCGGTACAAGGCGAGAGTGGCCTTGAGATCCCTGGCAGGTTGGCCCGAGGCAACAAGTATCCGGGGCGCGGCTGAAGGGATTTCGCACACATGAAGAGGCAGGGACGACTGGGATGAGAATGCACCCACCATCTGCGTACACGCGCACGCCCGGCGGCGGGTCCTCGCCCGGCTTCAAGAGGTGCGTTGACACGCGTACTGCGGTTGGCGCGTTATCGCCGTTGCTTTTGGCATTAGAGGCCATCGTGGGAATTGGCGACGCAATATGCCAGCAGCGAGGACTATATTATTGGCCTCTCGCACTACAATCGTGGCGCCAATGCCCGCAAAGCGGCAGGTAGCCGGTTGGCTGTGTTATTATTGTAATGATCTAGGAAGTAAGAGCGTAGGAGGAGCCTGCTTCCAGCTAGGCAATTCAAGGTTGCGGGTGTGCAAGAACCTGTCAACGATTATGTCCGGTTACTATATTAAGCGAGCGCAACAAGAACAATTAGGCTCCAAAGGGGAAATGGAAAAACGAAATGATCTAGGCAGCGTATGCTGGCAAAGAGAAGAGTGCTTGGTAAACTCCGCGTCACGGGCCTTACGGCATTCGCGGGTGGTGTGTTAGTGCGTCTTCGTCCACGTGGAAATGTTTGGTTCTTTTCCATACAAAAAGATGGCTCTAGCAAACTCGCTAGCCCGCAAAGCGGGCACTGCTACAAGCAGGCCTGTGCCCTTCACTAGTCGCGTTAGCGTGGCGGCAAAGGCCCGCGTCGCTCTACCTGTACCATCATTTAACAGGCAGAACCAACAGATAGTTTGCCAGGCTGCCGCTGTTGATGTGGCGGAGAAGCCGCAGAAGCTTCACCCTTCACCACTTAGCATTGCACCTCCGTCGACCTACGCCATCGTGGAGATCGGAGGCACGCAAATGTTTGTCGAGCCCGGCAAGTGGTACACCTGCAACCGGCTGAAGGCGGATGTGGGGTCCAAAATTCAGTTTGGCCGTGTGCTTGCGCTCAAGCATGACGGCAAGCTCACCGTCGGCAAGCCTTATCTCAGCGACGTAGCAGTCGAGGCGGAGATTATTGAGGAGTTCCGTGGCCCAAAGGTGATTGTTTACAAGATGCAGCCCAAGAAGCACTACCGGCGCAAGCAGGGCCACAGGCAGGAGCTCTCCAAGTTTATGGTCACAAAGATCGAGGCGCAGTAAGCGCCGTGTACTGTTAACTTGTGGCTGCAATTCATCGCTGGAGCTTCAAGCAGCTGTAAAGATTGAGAGCTGTGTCCATGTAGCAGCGGAGCGAGCTGGGTGGGATGGTCAACCTGGGCTCGTGTTTCAGGAGGGATCGCGCACCCACCTGATGGGTACCATAAGGGGAGCGCTTGGTATAGAATAGGATTGCATCCCCATCGCATTTTTCCTGGTTGGCGATGGGGTATGTAGGGAGCGGGCATGGGTTACAGCGCCAATGGCGCACATGTTCGACGCTGTTGGACAGTTTAGGTGCTAGCAGGTCTGCATGAGGGGGCTGCGGCAGTTCAAGGAAACGGAGACAGATGCGCAGTTACCTATGGCGCTGCGTGGTGCGGGGAGGATGCCGCCTGTTGATGCCTTATCTTGCACGAATCGTGGCTTTTGGCACTCGAGACTGCTGCTGTGCTCGGGAAGAGCTCTCGTTTGGACGGCGTTGCGTTGACTGTGACAAGACGGGTGGCGCGTATCGAATCCCCGAGCTGTCCTCATCGTGTGCTGTGTTGGGGTTGAGGTGCCGTGGCGGTTGGTGGTGGGCGTGTGAGGTTTCGTAGCCTTGCACGCTCTGTAAGGCAAATATACGAATATTCAAAAAAAATGTCCACAATTTCCAAGGCTGGAGTTTCAATGACAGCCAGCGCCTAGTGGGGCACGCTTCCTACAAGGAGAGTACAAACGGGTCTTTCAGGCCAGCATGGGAATGTTTTAAGGAGAACCTCCACAACCGCACAGTCTTGGAACGCTGCTTCGCAGCGTGTGTGGGACACATACCGTTAGGTACTACCCTCTATGTCGGGGCGTGTGAAGGCTGGGGTCAAAAGACACCCGACCAAATCAATCCCGCGGCGGCGGCAACAGCAGCAACAGCTCCCAGCTCAACCTGCCACTTGTGGTGTGCTCCTCTAGGCAACAGGAAGGAGGACAACAGCAGTGCAACCCTGTACCCTCAACAACGACACCGCTCAACACCGTCGGTATGCGCAACTGCAACCCTGCGGTCATAGCCAAGACAAGTCCACGAACAATTAATGCAAAAACCAGCCTGCTACAAAATATCAGTGCCGTACATCATCCTGTGACAATGCCGGATGACTGCCGTACATTACCACACCTCCCCAAAGGGGTCGGGATTTGGAATTGGGACTCCGTTGCTTCACTGTTCATGTATTTTCACCCAAAACAGACACAATCAGTACGCCAGGAGCCCCAGCGTGCTATGCTTGGTTACCTTGCCATGCAGCTCCCGACCCTCCTCCACTAGATACGAAAAGTACGCGCCCACATCAACCGCCCGGAATACCCCTCCGCCGCTGCTGCTGCTGCTGCTGCCCCCCTTCCCTCCCCCCTGCGCTCCCTCGCCCTCCCTCTCCGCCCCCGCCTCCTTTCCCCCCTCCGTTGCTGCCGACCCCTCCCCACCCACTGCTGCCTCGGCCCCCGCCGCTCCCGCCTCGTCCTCCGCCTGGCTCTCCGCCTTCCTGGCCGCGGCCACGATCCTGTCGCATGCGGTCACCGCCGCCGCCCGCAGCGCCCGCTCATGCGGCCCCGCCGGCAGCTCCTCGCCTCCGTCCACCGCCGCTGCCAGCTCGCCCGACAGCCGCAGCACGCCCTTGGCGCGCAACACCGCTATGGTGGTGGGGCCTGCAGGCAGCATGCAGGCAGAGTGTCATCATGCTGCCTGATGATGTAAAGAGGAAACATCTAACTGACTGAGGGATAAGGCGTCAACATGGGTTGCAACATGTGTGTGTGGGGGGGCATGCGGCCAGAGCGTGCACGCGGGGTAAGGAAGAAGCCCGATGGCGAAACCCATAGGAACCGATGCCGGTGCCGGAGCCCGGTGCAAGGGTGCGCAGGTGCGGGTGGGTTGTGCGGGCGACTCATGCCCGACACACGACAACATGGGGAGCCACGACAGGACACACATGAGGAGTCAATGTGGTGGTGGAGGCGTGCCTTGCCGGTAGAAGCCTCTCGTCCGGCTGCATGCTGGCGTGCCAAACTGGGAATGCACACGCCGCCTCACCAGCATCCCCCACACTCAATACTACCGGTACTACAAAAGGCCCACAAGGCCCACAAACCCACCCGAGTCCGCTGCCAGTTGGTCCACGTCAGGGAAGGCGAAGCGCTCGTCCCGACTGCCGTACAGGGTGGCCAGATCTGCCGCCAGGTTCTGGGCCTTACGGTGCAAGGTGAGTGTGCGGCCGTCGTACAGTACGGCATCCCGGAACGCGGGCAGCGAGTCCACCAGCTCCTCTACGAAGGCGCTGGCGGAGGTGCGGCTGGCGGGGGGTAAAGAGGAAAGGTGGAGAGGTGGGGGGAGGGGTGGAGGGGGTTGGGGGGAGGGGATAAGAATACCCAATGTCGGGTGGAGGGGGGGAGTGGGGTGGAGAGGGAGGAGAGGTGGAGGGCGTGGGAGCGGAATACCTAGAGTGCATTGTCGACGCTAGTGGCTGCCTGTGGTGACGGAGGGAGCGTGTTAAGGGGGCACAAAGGAAGGATATGCGGTGTGCTGCCCTCATGCTTGCTCCTCCCATTCGTTCCTGCTTCCCCGCCCCCCCTCCCCCGCCCCGCACCCACCCTGCCTTCCGTAGCCCCTCCCCCACCGCCAGCAGCATCTCCCCCAGGCTGCGGTGCCCCCCCTCCCCCAGCGCCGCCCCCGTCTCGTTGAGCGAGGCCAGCAGCAGCTTGCACAGCGGCTGCAGGGGACCCTGCGGGGGAGGGGAGGAGAAAGGAGGAGGAGGAGGTGGAGGAGGAGCAAGAGAGCATCCATGCTAGTTTGAATGGGAGCGGCAATGCTTGGTGGTAACTGGTAAGACAAGCAGGGGGTGGGCAACAGAGGCATCGAGTTCAGGAGGAGGGCGGGGAGAGGAAGGGGGCCATCCACATGCACTATGCTGACCACCTCCCTCCCTTACCACCACCACCACCACCCACTTCCACTCGACCCCCCACACTGGGAGCCAGCACAGCCCCCGCACCCCCCATTCCCACCCACCGGCTCAGTTTACCTCACCCCCCACCCACCGGCTCAGTTTACCTCACCCCCCACCCACCGGCTCAGTTTACCTCACCCCCCACCCACCGGCTCAGTTTACCTCACCCCCCACCCACCGGCTCAGTTTACCTCACCCCCCACCCACCGGCTCAGTTTACCTCACCCCCCACCCACCGGCTCAGTTTACCTCACCCCCCACCCACCGGCTCAGTTCACCCCCCACCCCCCACCCACCGGCTTGGCCATGGTGACCCCCGGCATCACCGGCACCTCCTGGCTGGCCTCGATGCCAAACACCTGGGTGATGTCGTACATGGAGAAGGACCTGTGCGTGTGTGTACGACACATGTACGACATATGTACGACACATGTACGACAGGTACGGGGGGATGATTTGTGAGTGGTTGGGAGTTGTTGCTGGTTTGCTGGTGTTGCGGTCCCAGGCTGTTGTACACGAGGAGAAGCAAGGCATCTAAGGCAGCATGAGAGCTGTGAGGTAGGAGGGATGGGTACGCATGCAAGGCGAACATTCGTTCCTTCCTAGCAGCCCTCCTCCAACTCGCCATCCGCACGAGCCTTACCCTCGCACACACCCCATGGAGAACCCTACGCTGTGGCGAACATGCATCTCCCTTACCCCCGCCCCCCCTCGTGTCACTGAGGCTGCTGTAGGTTTCCCTCTCCAACCCGCCCCCCGCGCCACCCACTTGAGTTTGTGGCAGTCCAGTCGCGCGCCCCCCAGGTGCAGACCCAGGATGCCGTACAGCAGCGTCTCCCGCGCATCCCGACCCCCCGACTGCCGCTTCAAGAGGCTGTCGTACCCGGATCCGAAATCCAATAAGTGGTACAGCGCTAGCAGAGTGAGCTGGGGGGGACGAGAAGGGGGGGGGGGGGGTCGGGAAGGGAGGAGGTGAGAGGGAAGGGATTATAAGGGGTTCAGGATTCCCGCCGCCCCAGCCGTACCCTCGCCGTACCGCCCCTGCCGTACCTCTTGTTCTAGGCTGGTGAACTTGATGGGCAGCGGCAGGCCCCGCACCGCCCCCCGCACGTCCGCAGCTGCCTGCCGCAGTTCGCCGGCCACACGCGCCACTGCAGCCTCATCGATCTGAACGTGCTCCGAGTGCAGGGCCGCAACTTCGGAACAGGACCTGGGGATGTGGATTAGAGGCGGCGATAGGATTGCTCTATGCAGGAAAAAGGAAGGAGTATAGCTCCATGATGACGTGAGGGACAAGTTAAACTGGCTGGATATGCTTAAGATACATCAAGGCGTGGAAGGAAAGGACAACAGGTTATATCAGCCGCACCTGTGTACCAAGTCCAGAACGTTTGGAGTGCCTGGCATTCGCAGTGTGTCTTGCTAGGATATCGGTAGACAGGATGACGCGAGAGTTTGAGAGACTATATGAGGAGTATAAGGTGCGCTACTAAGGGCCGCTTCGCACCTCACACTCTGTCGGAATGAGATGCAAGAAATGATCTAAACTGTTGGATCAGCTTGAAAGGTCGTAAGTAGAAGGCCAGATTGTCAGACGTTTAAACCACGTAACCTGTTAGTCCCTTGCACAGTCGCTTCTTGTAAGCTTGTTCACCCCATGAGTCACTAACAGCTCCGAGACCCATACTTCGGGTTTCCGTTTGTCCTGACAAGGTAGACCAGCGATGGTCAAACTACTGTTCTTATACATCGATGCAGCCCAGCCCTAATTAATAGTAGTAAGGATGAGCAATCCCGGCGGAGATGACATACCTAGCAGCAGAAAGAAACGCGTTCGCTTTTCCAACACGGCTGATGTATTTACAGTAGGTGCTGCTGAAGAGGATGTTGTGCCTGCTAATCGGCGCCAGCGTCAAACAATTCTGCCCGGCGAAGGTGCGCAACAACCTAACCTGGGAGTTGCCTTCATCCGTAAAAGATCACACCTGAAAAGCCCTGATCCCGTTAGTATTGCATCCGGCACCAATCGGGGCTGTCAATACAGCCTACAAAGCCCTTCAACGTCATAGGATGGCCTCCGACGATATGGCCCTTTCGGTGCTCCGATAGCTGCTCCAACGGACGCTATCGAATACCTCCTCGGCCTCGCTCCCACCTCCCTCCTCCTTCCACTCCCCTCCCAGATGAATCCAGGTCGCGTCGCCAAACCCAATGGCAGGAGCTACAGCCCGAGTCTCAAGGTACGGCAATCACCTTCCCCACCCCCACCCCCGCCCCACCATCTCCTCTCCCCACCCCACCCCACCATCCCATGCTACCGGCACTAACCCCTCCCCCACTCCGTTGCTTCACTTTCCTTCACATTTACTTCCCTCCCCCAGGCCCCATCCTGCCCCTGGACCCCGTCCTAGCCGCCAGCCGCCGAGCCCGTCTGCGGGGGCGCGCCGACGCCTCCGCCCGCCTCGCAGCTGCTGCCGCTGCTGCTGCTGTTGCCGCTGCGGTGACGGTGACGGGGGTGGTGGGGGCGGAGGACGTGTCGCTGCCTGACGACCTGGCGGCGGCGGAGGAGGACTACGAGGAGCCGGAGGAGGTGAGGGCGGGGCGTGGAGGAGAGGGGAAAAGGGGATCCATGGAAAGGGGAAGGCAGGGGGTAGGCGAGGAACCCATGATGGTGAGACCCCTTCTGCTCTCCTTCCCTACCCCCTCCATCCCTAACCCAGTTGTTCTCATGGTAAAGCCTTGTCATACAGCTCGTTAGTTGCATCGTCAGTGCAACTCATTATTTTTTACCTAGCTGTCTAACTACCGTACTTATCCGTCTCCTATCGCCATTGCTTTGCCCTAACTTATGGTAGCCATGTTCCCCCCCCTCCCCCAGTTGTTTAACGAGGCGGGTATCCCCTTCGAGCCCTTCCACCTGCGGGCGGAGCGGGAGGCGGGCTACTTCGATGCGGAGGTAGGGGGAAAATATAAATAAGTGGGGGGGGAGGGGGGGAGAAAGGAGGAATCTGACGAGCTGTACGACAAGGCTCACCATGGGGGAAAAGAAGAATCCCAAGGTGTTTAATGATGCTAGCAAACAAGCGGACGACCATGGGGGAGGGGGAGGGAGGGGGCTGAGGGGGGATCTGACATGGGGCTCCGGAAGTGGATGGAGCGAAGGGGGTTGCGAGACGACAGCAGCAGCTCCGAGATAGGCGTGTACGTGACGCACCCCCCTTCCCCTCCCTCCTCCTCCCTTCCCCCTTTCCCCTTTCCCCCTCCCTCCCCCCCCTCAGGGCAACTACCTGGAATACCGGCTGGATGCGGCGGACAGGGACGCATGGCTGGACAGTGTGATGGACGAGCACCGGCAGGTGCGGGCGGACCCCCAGCTGGCCGCCCGCCGCCGCCAGGAGGCTGCTGGGGCTGCTGGGGCTGCTGGGGCTGCTGGGGCTGCTGGGATGTCGGGGGGTAGCGGTCGCGGCCGCACGCGCAGCACACCGCACGCCGCTAGGGCCACTACCGCTAGGGCCACTACCGCTAGGGCCACTACCGCTAGGGCCACTACCGCTAGGGCCACTACTGCTGGTTCCGCTGCGGGTCCTGCCAGTTCAGGAGGCGGTCGCAGCGACGGCCGCGGTGTCAGAGGCAAAGCGGCGGGCGTGAATGAGGAGGCGGAGGAGGCGGAGAATGATGGGGATGAGGCGGAGGAGGGTGATGAGGACGATGATGATGAGGATGAGGGTCCCTTCGACCTGCACCTGCTGGAGGACACGGGTGCGGAGCTGGGGGAGGAGGAGCGGGGTGTGGCTCAGAAGCGGGTGGCGGACCTGTTGCTGCCGGGGGAGCGGCCGTTGGAGGGGCTGAGGAGGCTGGGCAGGGTGATGCATGGAGGGGCGGGGGGAGGAGGGGGAGGTGGAGGAGGAGGGGATGCTGCTGCTGGCGCTGCTGTAGCAGATCGTGGCGGAGAAGACGAGCAGAAGGAGGCGGGTGGGGGTGGGAGCGGTGGTGGGGCGGGAAGCAGCAGCGGTGCTGGTGGTGGGGTAGCGGGTGGTGGGGGTGGAGGTGGCGGTGCGGGTCAGCTGTCATGCGGCGAGCGGCAGCGGCTGCGGAAGCTGCGGCGGCAGCAGGGGGGGCAGCAGGGGCAGGAACAGCAGCAGCAACAAGGGGGTGGGGATGGCGGTGCTGGGGGCGACAGCGGAGGCGGTGGGGGAGCGCAAGCCGACGGCGCTGCCAGTGGCGGCGGGGGCGGGGGTGGCGGGGGCGGGGGCACGGACATGGATGTGGATGTGAATGCACCACCACCATCGCACCCACATCAACATCAGCCGCCGGAGCAGGAGCAGGAGCAGGAGCAGCAGGGGGGAGAGCAGCAGCAGCAGCAGCAGCAGGAGGGGCGGGGGCAGCGGGCAGGCGAGGGAGGGGCGCTGCCTCCGCCCCCCTCCCCGCCCGCAGGTCTGACGGCTGCGGAGGCGGCTGCTGCTGCGGCTGCTCGGCGGCACCCGCCTGCACAGCTGTCGGAGGAGGAGGTGGAGGCCAGGTGGGGAGGGAAGGGGTGAGGAGGGGGGCATGGGGGAGGGGGGGGTGAAGGGAAGGAGGGTAGGGGGGGGTCAGCAAGGCTTGGGTTGGTTGCTTACAGCGCCTGCATCGTTCAGCTGCACCCACCTAACCCTACCTCAGACCTAACCCCCCTACCGCTGCCAGCATGGTCTTCCATTACCCCTACCTCTTCTCCCCACCTCTCCCACCTTCCCCTACCCCCCCAGATATGGGGATATGGGATTGGGACTCTCGTTGTTTGCACTTATTATATAATTTTCCCCCCTCCCCCCCAGGCGCCAGTTCGACACCCTCACCTCCCTCTGCAACCTGCTCCTCTCCGCGGGGCAGTACGAGGTGTACGACAGCACCCGGGAGCAGCTGCTGCGGGCGGCGCAGCGGACGCTGGGGGTGGAGGTGGTGCGCAGCCTCACGGTGGCGGGACAGCGACCCGTGGGTCAGTCGGCAGCGACAAGGCAGCGACCCGTGGGTCAGTCGGCGGCGATAACGGCGGCGACGGCGGCAGCAGGGTTAGGGAAGGGTGGGAAGAGGACGGAGAGGGAAGAGGAGAAGGGCGCGGCTCCAACTGTCGCAACCAGCAGTGTCGTTCCCGCAGCCGTGGATGCTGACGTGGATATGTTCGGAGAAGGGGAAGAGAAGGAGGAGGAGAAGGGCAAGCAGGGGGAGGACCAAGGGGAGGTGGTCTCGCGTGCTGATAACACTGGCTCGGAACCTGCCCAGCCGCAGCCCCTGCCTGCGACCCACGGGTCGGCACCCGCTACCGGCCTTGCGGAGAGCCCCGCAGGCCCCGGTGGAGGTACGACCAAAGAGGCGGTGGCTGCTCCAGGACCCGTGCCTGCCGCCTCCGGCTCCGAAACTGCTGCCGCTACCACCGCTACTGTTCTCACTGTTCCCGCAGCGGGGCAGGCAGTGGGGCCATCAGCTAGTAGGGCTACACCGCCGCCTCTTCCCCCGCCGCCGCAATCCGATCTACTGCCCCCTGCTGCAGCAGCAGCTGCTGCTGGCAGCAGCTTCCAGCCCGACCCCTCCAGCGGTTACCTCTACTCCTCCGAGCTGGGGTATTACTACGACCCGGCTAGCGGGCTGTACGGAGATGCGAACACGGGGCTGTGGTACAGAGCTGTTGTGGCGGCAGGCGGGGAAGGAGGGGAGGAGGAAGCGGGGGAGGGGGGAGGGGCGAGTAGTGGTGGTGGTGGAGGGCGGTATGAGCTGGTTACGGCACCACAGCAGCAGCAGCAGCAGCAGCCGCAGCAGCAGGAGGAGGAGGAGGAGGGCCCGGAGCAGCAACAGCTGCAGGAGGGAAGTGCAGTGTAAACCACGTTTGTTGAAACGAGGTCTGCAACGTTGAACGCGCAATGAACGCGTGGTTGCTATGCTGCCTGTTGATAGGATGATGTGTTGACCGTTGTAATAACAACCTCCTCTTTTACAACGACAACCCCCCGCCCCGCCTCTCCCTCTCCCGTGCCTGCAAGACCTGCAAAACACCACATGAGAGAATATTCTCACAGCTCTCACATCCCCACCCCTCTGGGTTTTACAACGGGGGGTGGTGGTTACTTGCAACCTTCACTCAGAAACCAACATGCAACGCACTTCGTAACAGTCCTCGTAACAGAATGTTACTACGGCCGCCAAGAAGAGGTACCGGTAACTAGCCGCGAGTCGGAAGCGGTATGTATGTGTACAAATTGGCATGGTGGTAGTAGCAGCGCAAACCCCGTGTGTGACGTACGTGCGCCGCACTGTTTGTGTTTGCAGCACAAAACCCACATCAACATGGCATCAACCCATGGCAACATGGCAACCCGCGTCGGCCAAATCCTGGACGCTACAAACGACTTCGCAAAGCAACCTCTGGCAACCAACAACACCAACCGACCGCTGTGCCTGTGCGTGACCCTTATTACACGCGTAGCCTACACTACACGTAGCCTCCACTACACGCGTAGCCATCCCCATAATGCCCATTCAACCATCACCACTCCCAATTACCGGTAAACTCAACAGCTGCCACCACCCCCACCACCACCATCATTACCTAGCAAACCCTCCGATCCCCTCTACCTCCTCCTCCATCGTCCCACCCTCCTCAACCCCTCCACACCCCTGGCCTCCCCTCCCCCTCACATCCCTCCAGCCGCCACCGCATGCGCATGGTGGTGGTGATGGTGGTGGGTCCCCACTCCCTCCCCCACCCCCACTCCCTCCCCCACTCCCGCTCCCTCCCCCTCCCCCACAATAGGCCCCTGGTGCGCCGCCTTGTACACCTCCCCAGCCAGGTCCTTGATGGCCCCAATCACACCCCCGCCACCTGCGCCGGTGACGCCAGCAGTGCCGGCGCCGGTGTGGTGGGGGGTGCCGGTGAGGGAGGTGGTGAGGCCGGCGGGGCCGCCGTGCAGCGCACCGCCTGTGGGTGCATGGGGGGTGAAGCGAGGGGGGGGGGGGGGTTAGAAAGCGCCGGGAAAGCAGAACACGTGCCATTCTGCCGTACAAAACACACATGCAACGTCCCCCCTGGACCCTCCCCGCCTTCCTAGCCCCTCCTGTAACCACCTCCCCCTCCCAGCCCTCCTCCTGTAACCACCTCCCCCTCCCAGCCCTCCTCCTGTAACCCCTTCCTCCCCCTCCCACCTGCCCCTCCGCCGGCCAGCTCGTCCAGCGGCACCCCTGGCATGCCCCGAGCCACGGGAGGCACGGGGGCGTAGCGTGGGGTGCTGGTGTCGGCGGAGGTCTGGGGGGTGTGGGGGGGGGGGAAGAGAGATGTACCAAAATAAAAGGTTTAGGGCAAAGCAATGGAGAAGCGGGGAAGCAGCGAGACAAAAAGGAAATACAGCACCTGAATACAGCAGACTGGGTGGTGGTGTGGAGGGTTAAGGAGGGAGAAGGGAAAGAGGGAGGCCGCCGCCAAGCAGCCCACCCGGCTCCAGGGACCATGGGGTCTCTCTATAGGTTCCCTTCTCAATCCGCCCCCCTCCCTGCCCTCCTCCTTGCACCCTACCAGGAGCAGCTGCGTGATGCGGCCCCCTCTCCCAACATGAGGCGCGCGGGAACGGCAACCGTTGCCGTTCCCGCGCGCCGCATGTTGGGAGAGGGGGCCGCATCACGCAGCTGCTCCTACCATAACCCGCCTCTCCCCACAACCCGCCTCTCCCCACAACCCGCCTCTCCCCACAACCCGCCTCTCCCCACAACCCGCCTCTCCCCACAACCCGCCTCTCCCCACAACCCGCCTCTCCCAAAACCCGCCTCTCCCCACAACCCGCCTCTCCCCACAACCCGCCTCTCCCCACAACCCGCCTCTCCCAAAACCCGCCTCTCCCCACAACCCGCCTCTCCCCCTCCCCCCATCACATCCCCCCCCACCCACCTGCAGCGGCTGCGCGGTGATGCGCTTGGGTCGCAGTGCCGCCGCCACATCCGCACCCATCCCCCCTCCTCCAAATGCTGCTCCTCCCGCACCACCACCGCCTCCCACGAGCGCCAGGGGTGTCGTACCACCGCCTGCAATGCCACCAGCAGCAGCGGCGGCGCCTCCGCCCGCCGCCGCCGCCGCCGCGGTCTTGAGGGTTTCGGGGATGTCGGCGATGAGGGGCGAGGGGTCGCCGATGGCGCCGTACTCCCCTCCCACGTGGAAGCGCGGGAAGGCGGGGAGCGGCAGCTTGCAGGGGCCGAGGGCCACTGCGCTGGCCTGGGGAGGGGAGGTGAGAGGTGAAAAAAATGAAACAACAAGTCCCAATCCCATATCCCGACTCGCACAGTGGGCGCATTCGTAGGGGTGAGGGGTGAAGAGGAAACAACTAACTGACTGAGGGATAAGGCATGAGGGGTGAGGGGGGGTCCGAGGGGGAGGGTGTAGTTGCATGTGTTATAGCCGGAGGCGGTGTGTGTATTGCACGGCCGACGCCTGGGCGAAGTGCAGCCCTTGCATGCAGACCCTCCCCCCCTCAAACCCCCCCTCCCCCCCCCCCACCTGCAGCGCCTGCTGAATGTCCAGCAGCGCCCCCGCCACGAATGCCTTGAGCCACGCCGCGTCGCGCACCAGCCCGCCCAGGTGCTGCCACACCAGCTCCTCCTGCTCGCGGTAGGTGGACTGTACGGCTGGGGGGGGGGGGAGGGGGGAGAGGATGGGGAAGGGGGGTGATGGGGAAGGGGGGGGGGAGGAGGGAAGGGGGGAGGGGCGGGGGTCGAGTTGTGTTAACGGTAGTGTCAATCCTTGCTGGGGAGATAGGGGGGTGAGCGTGTGGGTATGCCCAAATCACACGAACCCACTCCCCGAAGCTTCCCCCACCTTCACTCCCCCGGTCCTCCCGCCACCCCTCACCCTACCCTCCAGTTTGCGTTGGTAGTACAGTGCCGAGCGAATGAAGTCCTCCTTGCCACGGATGGCCCTCAGGCTGTCGCCCTCCCCGCGCCCCCCGCTCGACACCACCACACCGCCCGGACCGTACGACAGCTCGTACTCCTCCTCCTCATCCAGGTCGCTGGGGGGGAGCGGGAGGGGTGTGTGGGGGCGTGTGTGTGTGTTTTGGGAGACATGTCAGGGAGGAGACAGGAGCGAGGGACGCCCGGCGCAAGAAGTTGAGGCACGCCACGGTGTGTATGTACGGCACATGCAGCCCCCATCGCAGCCACTCCAGCCCCCTCCCACTCAAGTACCATTGCCCCGCAACCTCTCCAGCCCCTCCTACCCCGCGCCATGCCCCTCCCCCTCCCCCCCCCCGCCCCCCACCTGCTGGAGGGGCTGCTGGTGCCCGCCTCCTCCGCCTCCGCCGCACCCCGCCCGAACGTCGCGCTCCTGCGCCGCCCATGCCGCCTGCTCCTCCCCCCCTCCCCGCCCATCCCCAGCGCCCCCCCGCCCCCGCCCCCCAGGCCCCCCCCGCGCCTCTTCTCCATGCGAGCCAGCGCGCGCATGTACCGCCGGTGCACCTTCCGCCGCCGCGCATCCACATCCAGACGCAACCCCTCCAGCTTGCGCATGCGGACCTGCAGGTGGTGATGGGTGGGGGGGTTTAGGTTAACTGAGCCGCGGTGGGGTGGGGTTGGGATGTGGGTTGTTAAAAGGTGTATAGACCAGGCCATAGAAGCTACAGGAGGTGGTAAAGAGGAAATAACCAACCACAGGAGGGGGTGCGGGTGGGGGTGGGAGTTGGGGGGACATGATGCAGCGCAGCATCCTACAACCCCCTGACGTCATCAGCCCTATTCCACCCCGGTTTCAATAGCCATGGCCGACATGTTGCCACCCTCCTCCCCTTCCCTCCTACCCCCCCCCCTCACTCGCACCACCGCCAGGCTCTCCAGCCAGCGGTCGATGGGCCGGATGATGTCGGCCGACAGCTGCTCCTCAAGCA